TGATGCATCATGTTAATTGAAAGGGACAAAAAAAGTCAAAAGTGTCAAGAAGCTTGGTTATAAAAGGCAAAAAAAAAAAAAAAAAAAAAGCAGTGCAGTAGACTGAAGTCTATAGCCAATCCCGGCATCTCAATTCCGCATACTTCGGATCCTCCCCGCATCGCCCCTCATCGGCAACTTCTCCGAATACTTAAGTATCACCTTTGAGCATCTTCGTCTCTCTCCAATCTCTCAGCAGATCAGAGAAAAGATACCAATGGCAACAGAATACCCCCATAAAATTGCCCTCTTGGGGCTAGGCACCATCGGCCTCTCCATGCTAGCAATGCATCTCCGCCGTCCCGACACGAGTATAACAGTCTATGACCCACGACCAGACTACGAGTCTCAGATCCGGACTGTCCTCCCTGGACTCCTAGACTCACCTCCCAATGAATCGAACATAATCGATCGCCTGATTGCCACAAACCGTCTCAAACTAGCCACATCCTTACCCGAGGCCATCAATGAAGCGACAATCATACAAGAACAAAGTCCCGAGATCACGACCTCGAAACAGGTGCTTTGGAAAGAAATATCCAAGCTGACTGGACCGGAGACCCATTTATGGAGCAGTTCGTCTGGAATAGCAGCATCTGCACAAGCAGCAACTTGCGAAACAGGGCACAAGGTTGCTGAAAGGTTGCTCGTAGCACATCCATTCAATCCACCGCATCTAATGCCCCTTGTTGAAGTTGTCCCTGGACTTGAGACACAGCCTGAGAGGGTTGAATTTGTGAAACAATATTTCAGAGACATCCCCGGTCCGGCAACAGATTCCTCGAGCAGTGCGGGGGATCAGACCATGTCGCATTACCGCCCGGTCACGCTGCATAAAGAGGTTCCTGGCTTTGTGGGTAACAGGCTTGCTTTTGCGTTATTGAGGGAGGCCTGCCACCTTGTTGGGGAGGGGGTTGTTTCGGCTCAAGATTTGGATTCGATTGTTACGGCTAGTTTGGGGCCCAGATGGGCTGGTAGTGGTGTTTTCGAAAGCTATCATGCTGGCGGTGGAGAGGGTGGGATTGATGCTTTCTTGCAGAAGCTATCGCCTACGATCCAGGATGTTTGGGGGGATTTGGGGCAGATTGATATTGCGGGTGAGCAAAGTTGGAGAGATGTGGTTGTACAACAGACCGAAGAGGCCTATGGGCCTTATACTCCAGAGACGCGAAAGAAGAAAGAGGAGATGCTGAGGAATGTTGTTGAGATGCAGAAGAAGAAATGGGGGGAGTTATCGTGATTGCTTGCAAACTAGAACCGTGGATGGCGAACATTGCCTACTTTTAAGCTTAAGTGTGACCAGTACTCTATTTTAACGTCCATGTAGACTGATAGATGAACAGGTGAAAGCTCTATTCGCATTCTTATAAAATCCGAGGGCCATAGCTCCTCTACTAAAAACTTTAAAAACATTTTGTTACGTCATAATCGTTCCATCGCTTTACAGGATCTGCTGGAAAGCGCGGTTGATGGGCGAACGCACAGGAACACCCTTGTAGAAGTCGATGGTGGCAAGAGCACGCTTGGAGATACCCTCGGGGGTGAACTCGAACTTGGCGTACACCTCCTTGTAGGGACCGGAAGCACCGAAGCGGTTCAGGCCGAACTGCTCGTGGGAGTAGCGCTCCCAACCCATGGTGCAAAGAGCCTCGACGGAGAGCACAGGGATGTTGTCGGGGAGGACGCTGAGGCGGTACTCCTTGGTCTGGGCATCGAAGACCTCGAAGCAAGGAATGGACACGACACGGGCAGCGACACCGTGCTTCTCCTGGAGGTAGGTGGCAGCCTCAATGGCAATGCTGACCTCGGAACCGGTGGAGACAATGGTGATGGCAGCGTTGGGGGTATCGACAGCGACGTAACCACCGTGGAGAGCGTTCTCGAGGGTGGAGCGCTCAAGCTGGGGCAGGTTCTGACGGGTCAGGGCCATGACGGTAGGAGTGTGCTTGGAGGTGATGGCGGAGTAGTAGGCAGCGGAGGTCTCGTTGCCGTCAGCGGGACGCCACACCATGCAGTTGGGGAGGGCACGGAAGTGAGCCAGAGTCTCAATAGGCTGGTGAGTGGGACCATCCTCACCCAGACCGATAGAGTCGTGAGTAGCGACGTGGATGACACGGACGCGGGAGAGGGCCGACAGGCGGAGGGCACCGGCGGCGTAGGAGACGAAGTTGAGGAAAGTACCACCGGCAGGGATGATGGTACCGTAGGCAGCAAGACCGTTCATGACGGCGGCCATGGCGTGCTCGCGCACTCCGTAGCGAACGTAGCGACCGGCCCACTCGCCAATACCGAGGTCAGGGGGCTGGAAGTCGACGGCGTTCTTCCAGCGGGTGTTGTTGGAGCCAGTCAGATCAGCGGAACCAGAGACCAGCTCGGGAAGGATATCGTGAATGGCCTCGAGGCAGGCCTCGGAAAGCTTGCGGGAAGCAACGGCAGCATCGGTAGGCTTGTAGACGGGGAGCTTCTTCTCCCAGCCCTCGGGAAGCTTGCCGGAAAGACGGCGAGTGAGGTCAGCAGCCTCGGTCTTGTACTCAGCAGAGTACTTCTGGAAGAGCTGGTTCCACTCCTGCTCCTTGGCGGCACCCTCAGCAGCGTGCTGGTGGTATTGGTCGTAGACCTTCTGGGGAACGTTGAAGCTCTCCTCGGGGTTGAAGCCGAAGAGCTTCTTGACACCCTGGGCATCATCGGCCTTGAGGGGGTTACCGTGAACACCGCCGGTACCGGCGAGCTTGGAACCGAAACCAATAGTGGTGGTCAGCTTGATGAGGGAAGGCTTGTCAGTGACCTGCTGACACTTGCGGATGGCAGCCTCGATACCCTCGAGGTCGTTGTCACCATCCTTGACCCACTCGGTGTGCCAGCCGTAGGCCTCGAAACGCTTAGTGACGTCTTCAGTGAAGGCACACTTGGTGTCACCGTCTACATCGCGGAATGTCAGTTCTTCAATCTCAATGTGATAATTAGATCTCACTTACCAATGGAGATGTGGTTGTCATCGTAGATAGCAATCAGGTTGCCGAGCTTAAGGTGACCGGCCATGGAGGCAGCCTCGGAGGCAATACCCTCCATAAGACAGCCATCACCCAAGAACATGTAGGTGTAGTTGTTGAACAGCTCGTAGCCGGGCTTGTTGAAGACACCGCCGGTGTGGGCCTGGGCCATAGCGAGACCGACGGCGTTGGCGAAACCCTGGCCGAGAGGACCAGTGGTGACCTCAATACCGGGGGTGTCGTGAGCCTCGGGGTGACCGGGGGTGATGCTGTCAATTTGCTACCAAAAAGAGTCAATCCACTGCTGCTCTGCTCGGCGCAGTTTTACTTACACGGAAGTTCTTGAGGTCGTCAATGGACAGGGCGTAGCCGAACAGGTGGAGCAGGGCATACTGCAGCATGCAACCGTGACCGTTGCTATCGGAAGCTGTTAGCTAGTGCTCTAAGAATCATTGCCACTCGACCTGCTAGGTCTGCAGCCCAAGGTGAGATCAAAAGAAACAAGGGGAAGTGCATACGAAAGAACGAAACGATCGCGGTTGGCCCAGTCAGGGTTCTTAGGGTTGAAGTTCATGAACTTGTTGAACAGAACGTGGGCCACAGGGGCCATACCCATAGGCGCACCGGGGTGGCCGGAGTTAGCCTTGGAGGTGGCATCGATCTAATTGTAGCCTGTCAGTCAAGATTCAAAGATCTGAAGCATTGAGGGAAGCATTGAAGCGTTGCTATGAAGATCCTGGAGGGACTCCAGCTTCCTGCATGAAGGCTAACTTACCGCAAGGATACGAATGGTGTTGATAGCCAACTGGTCCAGATCGGTGTAACCCATTTTGGCAGATTCTGAGAAAGTTAGAGAAAGAGAAAAGGGATTATAGCCGGGGTGCACCTACTAATAAAGATGGGAGAATGGAGAGAAGAAGAGAAGGGGAGGAGGGGAACGTATTTGTTGGTGGGGTATGATGTAGGGTGGGGTGGGAGTGGCTTGCAGCTGGACTAGCTGGACTCAGCAAATTCGTACCGCTCGATACGTATTTTAACCAACACCTTGAATCATATACGATACTAGGGAGGACTCGATCCATTCACCATTTGCTATATTTGGCTTAATTTCTTCAATTGCTCTCTCTATGAAGCTCGTTTGCCATTTTCTCTTCTAGTCGCCATCTCTTTGGATTGCATCATGGGATGAGTCAGCGTGCCCCGGGCCCCGGGGTTCGCCTGCAGCTGTCTACGGAGTACAGATGCCCTGGAGTGCATATAGACTCGTATCTCGTATACTTCCTGTATGCTATCGCTGTGCTGTCCACGGTATGGAATTTCCATTTCTCACCCGTTACTAAGATTGTCTCGACAATAGCCGTTTCTTCCGCTCGCAGTTGATCCAATGGCCCGCATTTTCCGATACACACCTGCTTTTAGTGACTCTTAGTAGACACCGGGAGCCACCCGGAGGACCCTGCTCCGAATCAGTACCGGTCTTTCGTGAAATTAACCGCTTTGCGATATTCAAACACCGTGCCGATGATCAGCCCGGTAAAACATCGATTATTAAGGTACTCTGGAGCCTCCTGGACAAATGGTTCTCCGTGCCTCCGGGTCTCCAAATGAGGAAATCCGTAAGAAAGGCGAGAATAAATCTCCGTGCCCAACACCAACAGTTTTTCCGTGTCACTTCGGTGTGCCGGATGCAGAGTAGCGCGGGAAAACCAATCAACCGGGCCCCCGTCACGTGGCAAGTATACATCTTCAATGTTACGACATCTGGAACCTCTACCTTTGTCAGATGATGGTCTTTTTTTTCTTTCTTATTTCCAGCATGAGAAGGTTCAAAGTTGATTCTTCTTCCCACTGGTGGAGATCTCGGTTTACCTCTGGAAGTTACGAGTTTGATTTATCCTTGAACCTTGCTTCAAGCTGTGCCTCCTGCGGAGAATATGACCACCTGAGATCGCCAAGAAGGTTTTCAATCCCTCGGTCAGACTTCAAATACGAGTACCAAGGCAGAAACGTACCCTGATTTGACCTGGGCATGGATATGATCAGATAAACTGGGATGCGCTGAGCCATCTCGGGGCCTCAACAACTACGATGTCTAGGTAAGCCGGACTTGGGGCACGAGTTACACCCGACTTCGTGGGCCTGAGATTTGGTTAGCCCTGGAGAAAACCTAGAATGTGTACTGCCGCTTCAACTAATGAGACTACCTCAGTACGGATGTTCACTTTTCATGGAGTTGTACCAACAACAAAGGAGCAATGGCCCTCGGGCTCTGACCCAACATTGGAAGCCAGGCGCACTGCCCTCAGGACTCCAGGACTCAGCAGTGACATGGGCAGGCATCGAGACGTGAGAACTAATATGTTTCGGTTGGTCAAGGGACGCCTGGCTGAGGTGAATCCCACCTTACGAAGTTTGGTTGGTAGCACAGCATAAAGCTCCTAATATAAAAAGCGCCCTGGATGTGTCCCAAGTGCTCCTTTATCCACAAAGTAAACATTCATATCGAAATCTACGGATCCCTCGAGAGATTGCTCGTCAAAATGAATGGAGACAATCGTGTTGAGAGCAAGGTCGATGTGTAAGATTCCCCGGTGGGTTGATTTACATGGTCTCATAATCTCTAGGCTCATCATCGGAGCGGGTCCGTCCGGCCTCATGGCTGCGTACTGGATGGCCCGCTGTGGAATCAATGCACGTATCATCGACAAACGCGAAACCAAGATTTTTGTAGGACATGCAGATGGCCTTCGACCGCGTACTTTGGAGCTGTTTGATAGTATGGGATTCCAGCACCGTGTTCTCCACGAAGCCTCTGAATCCACAGAGGTGAACCTATGGGTGTGTGCGCCTTGATCTTCAAACATTCGAGACTTGGCTAATCACATTATCCCAAAAGGGCCCTGGTGACCAGGGAAAGCTTGTACGACAGGCTCTTTTGGATATGACCCAGGCGGACCATTCGCCCTACCATAACACTCGACTCAGCCAGGGTCGTATAGAGCGATTCATCCTTGATAGTATTCATGAGCATTCTGATCTGAGAGTTGAGCGAAGCGTGGTAACCGAGAACCTGGAGTATGAAGAGAAACTAGGACTGGACCCCGAAGCATACCCCATCACTGTTAAGCTGCGCACCTTAAGCCCAGAAGAGCTCAACACACCAAATTCTGACAAGCAAAATTTCCAAACTGAGCTGACACACGAAGACTTGCTCCCAGATGATTGGGATGATCTAGGTCAACGTGGATCGCATAAGGAAAAAGTCGAGACGGTCAAGGCCAAATACCTGATTGGGTGTGATGGCGCCCACAGCTGGACCAGAAAACAACTTGAGATTCCCACCGAGGGATCCAACACCGACCACATCTGGTGAGTACCAATGATACCTGCCACGCCACAGAGGCCAGTATTGAAACTCATCATAGGGGAGTGATCGATGTGATCGCAATCAGCAATTTTCGTAAGTCGAAGACCATCCCACATGATCCACTCCGACTAACCTCGACCCCAGCGGATATCAGGCGCGTTAGCGTAGTCACTGGCACCACAGGGACGATCCTCGTGATCCCTCGCGAGCGTGGGATAACCCGGTTCTATGTCCCTGTTCAGACATGCGAAGCGGGCACAAGTGATCGATTCGATCGATCGATCATAACACCGAAGATGATCAAATCGCGGGTCCAGGAGATAATTGCACCATACACTTTCGAGTTCGAAGTATGCGACTGGTGGACGGTGTATCAAATTGGACAACGAATTGCAACACAAGTTACCAGAGGAGACAGGATCTTCCTTGCAGGTGATGCGGTACACACGCACTCACCCAAGATGGGATTGGGTATGAACATGAGTCTGCAGGACGGTTTCAATCTGGGCTGGAAGGTTGCACTGGCAGCCGCAGGGACGATCAAGCCTGAGACCCTGAAGACATACGAGTTGGAGAGACACCCACTTGCGAAAATGCTCATCGAGTTTGATCGTCATTGGGTGAACTTGTTCCTTGATGTGGAACCTGGGGAAAAGGACACAAAGGCTGAGTCTATGGCTGCTATGTCGGCCAAATTTGAGAATTTCGCTCATGGATGGAGCGTCTATTACCCTGCCAGTAATATTGTTTCAAAGTCGCCAGAGCATGGCGATGCTGCGATTCCTCAAAATCTCGTCCCCGGAGAGAGAATCCATCCTTTCAAGCTCCGCAACCAGGCTGATGGGTGTCCGCAGTGGACGACAAGACTATTGAAGAGTGACGGCCGCTTCCGAATCCTGCTACTGGCTGGGGATGTGCGTGATTCAATTCAGAAGCAGCGCATCGAAACCTTCACCCAGGCCCTAGGTAGTCGGTCTGCATCAGGCAGCCCCCTACTAGACCGCTACACTTGGATTCCTGGGCGATTTGAGAGCCCCATTGACATTTTCACGATTCATTGCTCGCCATGGAAGGAAGTGGAGTTTTTCGACTTCCCAGAGGTCTTGCGTCCACTGAGCATGTCGACTGGATATGCCTATGACAAAATTTGGTGTGATGATGCGTGTATATTTGATAGATATTGCGATGGAACAGCCTATGAGAAGTGGGGAGTTGATCGAGCTCTAGGCACATTGGTGGTCATTCGCCCAGATCAGTATATTGGCTGGATGGGAAATATTGAGGATGTGGAGGAAATGACTCGCTACTTTGATGGAGTTCTCGTGCGGAAGCCGCCTGTGAACGAAATGCCAACTGCCGTTTGATAAGACGTCATACACGATAGCACCGACTTTGAAGATCTTGCCAGGGGCTAAATTGCAACAAATGAACTGCTATTAACTGTTATGGATTGAATATATTGACAAAAAACTTAGAAGAAGACCAGGAAAATAATAGTATAGTGCAAGAAACAAGAACCAAAAGCCCAAATAGAATGTCTGATTCCGAGGTTGATTGAACAAATACTCCAAAGAAAGGGTTGGAAAGGTTGCATATGTTCATGCTACACGTGGTTCAGACGCAGCTGATCCATCCTCCCGCAGCTCGGTGGTCGGGTTAGCAACGTGAGATGATCCAGCAACATCCTCGCCTTTGTCGAATGAGCCTCGGATGACATTCGGATCGGCGGGGAACTGGAACTTTGAGCTTTTCCACGGTTTGACCTTCATCAGATACATGGTATCGATTTCCTCCAGGGTGCGATCTTTACCCTCAATGACAGCAACATAGACTAGGCCAGCTGCAAGGAAAAGGCACCCCGCAAAGACATAACCGAAACGGAAGTCGATGTCTGCCGTAATGAAGGGAGTGAAGAATGCGAGCAAAAAGTTCCAGAGCCAATTCGATGCAGTAGCCAGGGACATAGCTCGTGCACGGTATTGGGAGGGGTATAGTTCTGCAATGATCGTCCAGACCATAGGGCCCCAGGTACTAGCAAACCCAAGAATGAAAAGGCAGGCGAAGACGACCATGGCCACACCTGCAGATTTTGTCCTCTCAGGGAACTCTTGATCGAGGGAGAAGTGGCCCACCGAGGCAAATATCATGAAACAAACGAACATCCATAGGCCACCGATTATAAGAGACCGGCGTCGACCGAAGTGTTCAATCAGGTAGAGACCGAGGAAGGTTGTTCCAAAGTTGACACCACCCAAAATCATCTGCGTAACGTAACTGTTGGGAATACCGGCTCCTTTAAAGATGGTTGTTCCCTGAAGGAAAGTCAGCTTTCGATAATCCCAATAACTGCAGAAGTCTACTGGGACTTACATAATAGAAGAAGTAGTTGGCACCTGTCAACTGTTGGAGGGCTTGCAAGGCAACACCGACGGCAACCCGGTACGACATTGTCGGAGCACGGAACATTTGGGCCCAAGTGGCTTGTCCATTGCGTTTCTCTTCCTCGTGTTTTTCCTTGATCTCGTCAAACTCAATATGAAGAGCACGGTGATTGAGGGGTATGCCATAGATTTTGGCCAGGGTGTTCATAGATTTATCCACTTTTCCATTGCGGTAGTCGTAACGAGGACTCTCAGGAAAGAATGCCATACCAACACCAAGCACAATGGCCCAAAGATAGGTAATCCCCATGGGAATACGCCATGAACCTGTGTCGGCTCGAGCCTCGGTTCCAAAATTGATGCAGTTTGCGACAAATATACCGAGGGTGATAAACAGTTGGTAAGTACTAATTTGCGAGTCAGCAATAATGACACGCACAGGTTTTCTATCTAGACTTCAACGAACCTGATCAACGATCCACGGATATGCCTGGGTCCCGACTCAGCCTGGTACATGGGTACCAACAGAGAAACGGCGCCGACGCCCAGTCCAGCAACCCATCGGCCCATAGCAACTTGGTACCATTTCCCGAAGGGTGATGATATCTGGATTGTCACGCCAATGCATACCATCATGGACCACGCACTAATGGACCACTTTCGTCCCAGGCGATCAGCAATCGGTGCTGCAACCAAAGCTCCGATCAGAGTACCGATAGATAGCTAGTTGGTCAAAGTTAGTAAAGACTCACGATGGGTTGAACATGAAGAACTTTACCAGGCCGACGATCAGACCAGAGCGGACATTACTAAAGTGATAATCGCCATCTGGACCAAGCTCACCGTAGCGTTCTAGAAAATCTTTCATTTCCAAAAAGCCAGAGATCTGACCAGTGTCATAACCAAAGAGAAAGCCTCCCATAGAGACAAAGAGACCCATCACGCACGAACGCCATGTTAAAAGTGGGATAGGGGTATCCACAAGATCACCGGGGCCTTTCTCGTGTTCATTGGTCGAGTTCGACTCTCTGGGGATATCTCCAGCATAGAGGTCTTGTGGACGCTTTTGAAATACTTTCTTCAGCATGGCGCCTGTGAGAACCGTTTGATTGTTGAGTTTGGCACTTTCTCACTATTATTTTCTCAAATTTAGGAAGTACCGGATCAAGGGATTTTATACAAGGTCCCGACCAAGAAAGCCAAGGCTGGGCAACATGCCGTTCTGACGAACGCCGAGTCTTGGGGAACGGACCATTCATACTGATTCAGAAAGTGCGGTTAGAAACGATGACACCTTGATCTGGGAAATGGAGCATGTACCTTCAGGGCCAGTGGTGGTCTCCGGGGGGTCGGCATAGTCTGGGGAAATGGAACAGGCGTTCTGACAGGTCAACCATTCTGTGGTCCATGACGCTGTATGGTTGGGACCTCAACCCCACGCTCCACGCCCACGAGTTCTGGGTGGCGCGGAAGTCTCGGCCTACTGCGCCTCGTGATCATGTTTTCCTGGAACGAATAGTATCGGCAAGGGAATATTAAACGCGATGGGCTGATGTCCGAGGAAGTCGTGATGAAATCGGTGGCAGCCACAAAGCTTGGATTTTGCCCCCGTTCGCTTGCCGGTCGGACAGGCACTTGACCTCGCGTCGGATTGTCATATAGCAATTACTTCCCGATCGCCGATCGTATTCCGGCTCTAGACTCCTCGCCGAATTTCAAGAGTGCCCAGCCATCCTTCAGCGGGGGCCACCGTGGCGCCGAGGCAAGTGAAGAAGGGGAGGGCAGTGGTGCTTGAGGCAAAAAGTGGTCATGCAATGCCAGTTGGTTTTTTTTTTGAATGAGAAAAAATTGGATGAGGAAAAAAAAAACCACAGACTCCCTATATGTATCGTATGTATTGTGCATATAATAACTATAGAAGAAACATTGTATGCTGCCATGCGGATAAATTAAAAAAATGTGTTGGTCCTATTCAGTAAAATATCACCCACGACGGACGGAGCACGGAACACGGAGTACACTTTCCGTGAACACCAAGCCATAGAGGCAACCCGGGGGGAACCGAGCCCTTTTTGAATTTGTCTCCGTGGTTGGTGTATGCAAATCGGGCATCCTTAACCAAAGCGTCAAGTTGCGGATGTTAAATCTCACATTAAACTGATAGTAAAGTGTACTCCGTACGTATACGGCAGTGTACAGCGGCCCAACCCCATACTAGTCTAGACCTTTCTAAAGTTGTCGCATTACTCGCCCTCTCCTGAAATACACACAATGAATTCTAGAAGAGGGGTTGGATCTACAAATCTTGATCATCCGTACCATTAGCTTCCCGTCGGGTAGTTGGGATGTTATATTACTACAAATTTAAAGCGTGACTTGGTATATATTGAGGCACCCAGAACTAAAGATTGTTTTCTTCCTCCGCTAGCTGCTCTATGCGCTCCTTGCGCTTCCCACGCGTCACAACGCGCTCAAGAATGTCGATGCCAAATCCAGTCCATAGACTTAACGCCACAACGAAACACAGCCCGCTAACCCAGCCATGTGTCTTTGTGAATCTTGGCGCCTGTCCACTCGGAAATTGGAGCTGTTGGAAAGGAATTACAACAGCCGATCCCAGACTGACCATGAAAGCCAGGACAAATGCTCGCAGCTGCTGATCTCCACCGCATGAGGCGTTAACCCATCCGGCAAGTAAAGGTGTATAGCATCCGTAACATCCCGAGATAATGAAAGCGGCCATTTTCAATTCATTGGAGGCTGGCCATGCGGTGAAGATTGCAAAGCAGAATGTTAGAAGGCACCCAACTGCGAAACATACGGGCCCTCGCTTTCCAATCTTATCAGCGACATATCCAGTGCCGATCATGAAGACAAAGTTTATGGCTCCCATTGACGTGGGAATGTTGTTAATTTGGGGTACCGTATATGTTTTGAGTGACTTGAGCCAAAGCCCGAAGAATTGCATCACATATGACCCACAGGTCAAGGACCAGAAGGCGTATGCAATGGAGAAAGCATACAGTTGCCACGACCCCAAGATGCGCTTAAAGACAGAGGCATCTAGCTTTCCAACCGGAGTACGGCCTTCTTCGTCGATCCTCTCCCGAGCGCGATTTCTTTCCCAGTCAGAGAGATAGAATGCAGTGGTGTTTTGGGGTGTGTCTGGGTAGAAGATATAGCCGTATATCACCACGGGGATGGCAAGAATGAAATCAAAGATAAAAAGCCATCTCCACGCAGACAAGCCGGCTTTTCCATCCATGTCCTTAAACAATGCTGCTTGCAGGTAACCCGAGAACATTTGTCCCAGTACTCCGGACATGACGAAGAGACCACTCCGACGCGAAAGTTCCGATCGACGATACCAGCATCCAAGGACATATTGGATTCCGGGCCAGGCTGCAGATTCGAATAATCCGATACAGAATCGAAGACCGTAGAATGCGGATGCAGTGTTGCATTTGTATAGGAACAACACCAAAAGAGACCATATGAAAAGACAACTAGGAAGCCAGTATCTCGGACGAATTACTGTCAAAGCAAGGTTCGAGATCGGACCTCCGAGGATGGCACCAATGCTGAAGTATGTGTTCATCCAGCTTAGTTCATTCCCCGGTCCAAAACCGAGCTCCTCTTGCATACCGGAGACATAGGCATTAGAGACATTGTTCCCGTCTAACTGCTTGATAAAAAAGCATAGACAGCTGTAGCTGAGGAGAAACCAGTCAAGTTTGAAGATCAGCTTTTTGTCGGCCTTTGAAGTGCCTGGCTCATGCCAGTGGAACCAACGCTGGCGGGATTCTGGCGAGTTCGTTTTGTTGTTTTGTACATCAGAGTTTGATTCAATTGAACGCGAAATGAGCGCAGGCTTTTGGACGGTGCTGCCGTCCGCTGCTTTGGCCATTGTGTGTATTTGGGCACAAAACCTAGTCAAAATGAACACAAGTTGCCATATTGCGACAAGAAAATCTGATTGCGAGCAGGGGGGGTGGTTAAGACATAGTTCATTTTATTAGGAGGCGTTATAGTAGCACAGAAATCACAAAACAAGCTTATCACGACATTCATACTTGCAGTTGCGAGGATTACTCTCCCGTTGACATTTGGCCGATCTTCGCCATTTGCGGAAATATTTATCGGCGCGGGGCCGAGTGGAGATAAGCTTCCCTTCCACGTGCTCCCATTCAAGGTTGTTCCATCCATGGATGATTTAGTTATAGATTCTGAGAGAGCATTTCATTATTTTTGTTACAGCAGTGGTATACAATGGTTGAATACATCTCCATTAACGGGGCCCAATTGGCATATCGGCTGATCGGACCTGCAAATGCACCGTTGATAATCACTCTCCATGGCGGGAGAGGGTTTGGTAAGCTTCTATCAAGATCGCTCATTTGAATGTACCGAGTAAGACAAGCAATTCACTGATATTTCAATCAATTTCGAACATAATAGGAGATCACAAATCAGACTTCAAAGCATACTCACCACTTTCTTCATCTCACCGAGTACTGTCTTTTGACTTCCGAGGACATGGTCAAAGTTCACGAACAGAGCCCTTCACTTTCGATCAACTGATTGATGATGTTGAAGGTATCCGACAGCACTTTTCTGGAACTGAACAACCATGCATAGTCTGCGGTGGCAGTTTCGGGGGGTTTTTAGCCCAGCAATATGCAATCACATATCCATCAAAGGTTTCGCATTTGATTCTCCGGGGAACTGCTCCCTCGCATCACCGTATGTGCCATGGTAGAGTTAGCTATACACTCAGCTTGATTCTTTTATTTTGAAGACAGCTGGTACATGTGCTAACTCTCGTCAGATGAGGACACGGCCATCCATACCTTGGAACAAAGGGCATCCAAAGCGCCGGGTCTTTCGATAAAGTTCCTGAAGGATAAGATTTTCGGTCGATTCGAAAGTGATCTTGAATTTCGCCTCATTATGTACGCAGCTGCACCGCTATATAGCGAACACTTTGACGCCGAAGTCGCGTTGAAGCATAATATCGACACGGCATTTTATGCCAAGTCGCACAGTATGTTGTTGCATGCCCAGATGGTCGGACCAAAACTTAGAAGAAGTGAACTGACCGCGGAACTCTCAAAGATGATCTCTACGCCGAGCCAGAGAAATTCTTCGATTACAGACATCAACTTCATTTGATCACAGCGAAAACATTAATTCTTGTGGGCGAATGGGACTGGATTTGTCCACCAGAACAATCCAAAGACATCGCTTCGAGGGTTCCAGGTGCTCATTTGGAGGTTATCAGAAACGCCAACCATGGCGTTCATCTCGAGAAGAACGCGGAGGTGATCGCGCTCATTAAGCAGCATCTCTTGTGAGAATTGGTGATAGAGATAATCGATTGATGCATCTGTCGATTAGAAGATAGTTAAGCGTGAAGAATAATGATCTTTAGCTTTTCCCTCGTCACTACTACCAGTAAAATCAAGCGTCAACAATAGCACTCTTTTCGAGGTACTTCAGAATGAGACAGCATTCGGATCTTGCATTCGGCCAACCTCCGAAAATAATCTCCACTTTGAGGGGATTCTCCACATCACCTAAAAGCGGCTTGATAATGCGTGATTGCACTGCCAAAATCTGGACAAGTCCATCTCTAGCAAGTATATTAAAGAAACGAAGTAAGCATTGGGGATGGCGAGCTCTTTACCAAGACGTGCACCTTTGGCCATGGCGGTTGCCCAAGGAATAAACATCTCCATTGGTATGTGGGACCCGTTTCTCTCGGGTGATTAGACCATCCCAACTAAGTCGTGAGGTAGATCGTGGAGGCACTTTTTGTGATGTCCTGGTACAAGTTCCAGGCCGTCAAGATCTCGTGTTCAAGCTGCTATCTGAGGATCCGCAAAATTACCGCGATGCCCCGACAGAGGCAATCCGAAGAGCATTGGAAGTGATCGAAGAACGGCAGATACCCGCTGGGCAACTACTGGACGGATCACAGATAGCATCATGTCGCATTGGAACTACCATCGCGACCAATGCGTTGCTGGAAGGCAAAGGGCGTGACTTTGCATTTGTCACAACGAAGGGCTTCAAAGATGTCTGCGTCATTGATGACCAAACGCGACCGAAGCTGTTTGCCTTAAACGTGAGAAAACCCTCTGCGCTGCACTCCGTGTCGGTGGAAATCGACGAACGCATCACTATTGAAGATTATGATCTCAACCCATCTCCTTTGGACAAAGCAGCCAAGCTCACGGATCCTGCACTGGTGCGAACGCCTAGTGGAGAGGTGGTGAGGATTTTGAAACCCCTCGATACTGTTGAGGTTCAAGAGGTGTTGAGTGGACTGTTGTCTGCGGGCTATACCTCTTTGGTCATCTCCTTCATGCATTCCTATTTGTATCCTTCCCATGAGGACCAGGTAGCGGAGATTGCGCGGAACATGGGCTTTGAAACTGTGATCAAAGCGTCTGAAGTTAGCCCCGTTATCAAGTTCCTTCAACGCAGCAGTTCCGCTTCATCTGAGGCATATTTGTACCCCATCGTGAGAGATTATGTGCAAGCGTTCCAAACCGGCTTCAGTGTACTTCCTCAACGCGTCGAGTTCATGGGTTCCGACGGAGGACTGAGACAAGCTGAAAAATTCCGCGGAAATGAAGCCCTCCTCAGTGGACCGGCGGGTGGTGTTGTTGGAATTGCCCGAACGTGTTTTGATGCGTTTGAAAAGTCGCCCGTACTCGGGTTTGACATGGGAGGGACCAGCACGGATGTTTGTCGATACGACGGCAAGTATGATTATTTGACAGAGACGGTAGTTGGTGGGCGCAAAATCACAGCGCCCATGTTGAATATCACGACGGTTGCAGCTGGCGGAGGGTCGATGCTGTTTGCCCGACACGGATTGTTTGTTGTTGGCCCCGAGAGCGCGGGCGCCCATCCTGGTCCTGCATGTTACCGAAAAGGGGGTCCTCTTACCGTGACCGACGCGAATCTTTTTTTGGGAAGACTGGTTCGGTCTTCATTTCCAGCCATCTTTGGTCCGGATGCGAATCAAAGCCTAGATCTTGAGATCACCAAGCAGAAGTTCGATGAGATAACTCGTCAGATCAATGAGCAAACTGGGCAGACACTCACCCCGGAGGAAGTTGCTTTCGGGTTTCTTGATGTCGCAAACGAAACCATGACTCGCCCAATGCGCAATGCAACAGAGGTGCGTGGATTTGCACCGGGCAGGCACACGTTGGTCAGCTTTGGAGGTGCTGGCGGTCAACATGCTTGCTCAATCGCCAACAAGCTGGGCATCCAACGAATCCTGATCCATAAGCACTCATCCTTACTCTCAGCTGTTGGTATTTCCCAAGCCGATCTGCAGGTCGAAAAAACATTGCCCTTCGTGGGATTCTTCAGTTTCGACATCTTGGGGGAGATTCGAAGTCAGATAAAGAAGCTGAGATCCAAGGTGGAAACTGCCTTATACTCACAAGGCGCAGATCCTTTGACTATTGTGTTCGAAGAATCCCTCAGTCTGAGATATGCGGGAACAGACACCAACATTATCGTCCCCAAACCGGATGATGAGGATTACGGTGGATCATTCGTGGCCACCCATCTACGAGAGTTTGCGTTCTCCCTGGAAAGGAAGATACACATCGACTCTATAAAGGTCCGTGGAGTTGGAAGAAGCGGTGTTACTGCTGACAATCCGTCACCGTATTATTTACTGGAACAGGTCAAATCTGGCAAGGAATACCTTCAGGCTGATCGAGCCCAACCTGTATTTTTCGATGCTGAATGGCACAGTGTGCCAATCTTCGAGCTCGGCTCAGTGCAGCGTCCCTCTCAATTGCGAGGCCCTGCCTTGCTAATTGATGCTACCCAGACAATCTTCGTAGAGCCTAGGCTCAATGCCTATCTTCTTTCGGATCACCTGGTGCTCGAGAAGACAGAAACCATAGCTTCCACATCCGAAGTGTCGCATTCTACAAAGACCATTGACTCGATTCAGCTTTCGATTCTGTCCCACAGGTTCATGGCTATAGCAGAGCAGATGGGAAACACTCTGCAGCGCACATCTATTTCAACCAGCATCAAAGAGCGCCTGGATTTCTCGTGCGCCATCTTCTCCCGAGATGGAAAGTTGGTGGCCAATGCCCCACATATTCCAATCCACCTTGGAAGTATGCAATATGCAACCCAATATCAACACCGTCTTTGGGAAGGAAGACTGAAGCCCGGAGATGTACTTCTCAGTAACCATCCTGAATGCGGCGGAACCCATCTTCCGGATCTGACCGTCATCACTCCGGTCTTTGTGGAGGAAGAAGCCACTGTTGCCTTCTATGCTGCTGCTCGTGGTCACCACACAGATATTGGAGGACAGGGAATCACTTCGATGATGCCCGACTCGAGGGAGCTGTGGCAAGAAGGCTTCAACGTTAAATCCATGAAGATAGTCGATAATGGTGTTTTTCTTGAATCTGATGTACGGGATGCTTTCCTGGCTGCGGGTGATCTCCCCGGCTGCAGCCCAACACGAAGATTAGACGATAATATTTCCGACATCAAGGCGCAGATCTCGGCGAATCAGCGCGGTATTCTGCTTTTGCAGAACATGTGCAGGGAATTCAGTTTCCCTTTTGTGCATCGCTACATGAGCGCCATCCAGATGAATTCTGAAACCGCTGTCAGAGAATATCTCAAGCAGGTGTCCCGATCGAAAGCCATGCCCTTAACGGCGAGTGACCACTTCGACGACGGCACTGTCATCAAAGTTACGATAAATATCGACGAGGCAGGCGGCGCAGTGTTTGATTTCACAGGTACGGGCCCCCAGATGTGGGGAAATTACAACTGCCCGATTTCCATCACTCATTCCGCCGTGATATACAGCATCCGGTGCTTGGTAGATACGGATATTCCCCTCAACGATGGATGTCTGGCACCCATAGACATTCGAATCCCCAAAGGCACCATCTTAAGACCCAGCGCATCCGTGGCAATATGCGGCAGCACACTAGCAAGCCAGCGCGTGATTGATACGATTTTGCGGGCGTTCGAAAGCTGTGCGGCATTCTCTGGTTGTGCGAATAGCTTTGGCTGGGGAATGGGAGGAAGGAATCCCGTCACCGGTCTCATTGAGCCCGGATGGAATTATGGCGAAACGGTAGGAGGTGGTTGTGGTGCTGGGCCTGGCTGGCACGGAGAACATGCTATCCAGGCGCACTCGACCAATACGAAAATTACAGATGCGGAGGTTGTCGAAAAAAGGACGCCTGTCATTATTCGAAAACACGCGATCAATCCTAGCACTGGCGGTGCTGGGGAGTATCGAGGAGGAAACGGCGCGGTTCGTGAAATTGAGGCTAGAATTCCCCTCAAATTCAGCATACTCAGTGACCGGCGAGTCTTCTCTCCCTATGGGATGCATGGAGGCCACCCTGGCTCCGTGGGCAAGAATTATGCATTCAAGTGGAATGAGGACAAGACTGCTTTGGAGAGACTGTCTCTCAGTGGGAAAGCTGCTCTTTCTCTGCAGGCTGGAGAACTCATGCAAATCAACAGCCCGGGGGGAGGAGGATGGGGGTCTTCACTGTGATAGCGTCTGGATATATCTCTAGTATTTCTATGAACATTAGAAGCTGTGTAAGTAGTGGCTTTTTTTTTGGTGACATCTATAGACTTTTTACGTTGTTTTCCCTCTGTAGGTATCAATTCAAAATCACCAACAGAACTTTAGAATAGACCGCTTTCGTGACTACTTAAGTATATTTGATTATTCTCCGATAATGCGCTCCAAGTAGTTCAGCCAATTCTCTCCCAGCACTTTCTCCATTTTAGATTTCGACCAGCCCGCCCGAGCCATTGCTTTGGCTAACTCGGGACGTTCCTTCAAGGGGCCCAGAGGCTTCACAACAGTTTGACTGCCCCAAGGAGTTAAACGACGGGCATACCCCTTGTCAAGATTACACCAGGCCATGAACTCACTTGGTCGAGCATGGCCCTCACTGGCGTCCGATCCAACACCAACCAAATCCTCGCCGATCAAATCAATGACAAAGTCCACAGCAGCAACATAATCGTCGATAGTTGATTGATTCCCTTTGGCCATATGCGGTCCAAATTGACTGATTCCTACAAATCCGCCTTTCTTGCCAATGAGTTGCAGTAGGTGATTGGACTTGTTGCGTGGATGGTCGAGCAAACCTCCCGGCAAGACGTGGCTGAAGCAAGGGGGTTTAGTCGCATATTCGATGACATCCTCGCTTGTGACCGGTCCAACATGCGACAGATCGACCACAATGCCCAACCGCCCCATTTCATCAACAACCTGTCGACCAAACCCAGTCAGACCCGAGTCGCGAATCTCGGTGTACCCGGCCCCGGAGTAGTTCTGGGTATTGTAGGTGAGTTGCATCTTGCGCACACCCAGGTCGCGAAAAACTCGGAGGTAATCCAGCTGGTCCTCAATACCGGCTGTGTTCTGCCAGGATAAGAGCACCGCTGTTTTGCCGTTTTGTTTCGCCTGGCGGATGTCTCGCACAGAATGTGCTTGCACGATCAGGTCGGAATGTTCCTCGAACCATTTTTTCCACTGGACCACGTTGGCAACGGCACCGCGAAACCCTTCCCAGATACCACAGGTGCATGATACACCGGTGATTCTACCCTGGTGCCAGGCTTCGAAGATGTCGCGTGACCAGTTGGCGATGTTTAGTCCATCGAAAACGACTGCGTCGCGGTAGATCTCAACCGCTTGCGCTTCTGATACCATGATGGAATTTGACAAGGGAGAAGATGTGGCCATCGCATTGTCGGAAATGATCCTTTTTGAACGTTCAACGCGGTGCGGTGCCGATGAATATTTCCCGATGGAAATGGCGTGCTCCGCACGAGTATTGTTTATCGCGGCATCTCGCCGAATGCTCCCTTCAAAGGTTTACATTCCACTAGCATGGAGGGCGGAATTCATCGCTTCCGAGTCCATCGAAATACCTCCAAACGGGAGACAGCACAGGCACGGCAACATAGACCCGCAAATAATGGTCACCGATCCACCCTCCCCGCGTGTCGTCGCTGTCGCCAACAGAAGAAGCGGTGCACCCGCACAGCTGACGGTTCATGCGAACAATGTCTAACTGGGTGGCTCCCTTGTTCTCTTAAAGAACGATCTGCGAGTCCACGCACGCGGGAGCGAGAATTGCGATCGCGCATTGATTGGTTGAGCCAGCTTGTTAACGACACACTCCCTGACGGTACATCAATTGAAGCTGTCGAGACTGGGCGAAACATGCCCCTGAGTGACTCATTAAGATGTCTGTCGCCCAATGAGCTGGACGAAATCAATCGCAGTGAAAGTGCCGACGAAGAAATGCATATTGTTAAGCCTAATGATGATACTCATATTTCTGTTACGGCCAGTCGCAAGTGCTTGAAGGCCTATTTTCGACACGTCCACCGAACATATCCATTTTTGGATAGCGAGTTAGTGCTTCAAGATTTCGAGTCCTTCTGCAAAACAGAGGCTGAGGATGACCTTCTCCCCCCAGCATCTCTCCCAAACCGCTTGTACATGATGATGGCCATCGGCTTCACCAGTCTGCAGCGGGCTGGGGAAGCGCAGAACATCCAAGAGCGGGACTTCCAGCCATGTCTCAAATCAGTGCTTTGCGAGTGTGTCTGCCAAGTAAATGAGGATTCGACCGGCACCTTGCTCTTGCTTGGCTTATATCTTTTGTTCAAGCCTAGCGACCAGGATCCCCGAGCCATTACTGGTGTTCTCACCAACCATGCTCTAGCAGTCGGGTTGATGAACGAGACATCCAGCAAGCAGACACTATCCCCTCGGGTGCTTGAGCTGCGTCGACGGTTAGGATGGTCGGTCTATGTCTTTACACGCATGATCAGCGTATCTTACGGCCTGCCGTTTGCCTTTCCCGACACTGTGATGAAAATACCGCTGCCAAGCATCATGATACACGAATATGGATCTGAGGAGGGCAATCAATATGCAATAGCCTTACAAGTCAGCCGCCATGTCATTGCCCTGCGCCAACTGGAAACACGCATTGTCAACGCCATTTATGACCCCAATATCTCCATACGCCCTCAAGACCTGCGACTTCAAATCGAAGACTGGTATACGCAAGGATGTCTGCTGTCTAGTTCAACGCTCTGGGAACAGGACCAGCTCCCATTCCATACTACCATAACATGGTTGAACGTACGTTACCAGAACCTGCTACTATTATTATACACTCCTGCTCAGGGAGATTCCGCGAGCGAAGAAAATCTCCCAAACTTGCAGGCTGCTGCACAGCAGTACATCCAGCTTAGCTTGATCCTGCATGAACGCCGACATCTGCCCATGAACTGGATCACACTCTGCCGACTCCTGTCCTTGGCCGCGATTTTTGTCTACTGTACCATTCACTGGGCACCGGGCTTTGATGAAATTCCGGAAATCTCTTTACTCACCACTCTCCTCGAGTACTTTCCGTCCACTTGGGATGCTGCGCACGAAGCCGCTCGAATTCTGCACCATCTTGTAGGTCTTACGACAAAAGCGAGGAGTCCCTTAATCCCACGCAGTCAATTATCAGGGTCCTCCATCTTGCCTGCTTCGGCTCTAGATACCGGATCAGGATTGCAATCCTTACAAAATAAGTTGGCTTCATTGCTAAGTCGGACAATGGGCGAAGCAAGCTTTCACGCTCGACCCTTGAGGTCAAAGGTTTCTGACAGGCGGGTTTCAAATCAGCCGTTTGCTCTGCACCGCTTGCATGTCGTGCCGGGGGGAGAGTTTGTTACTCGACTTGCAAACGCGCAGAATGAAACCCTGAGCCCAGGAGACAACAGTATGGGCGAAAGTCCACTGGAAACGCAGTGGATGAATCTCTGGGGTGGCGTTGGATCCGATATGCTTTGAAGAAGATTAACGAATTAAATTTTTGATTTCATTTGGTGAATTGAATCTAGGCAGTATACTCTGTAGAATAACTTCCATTTCTTTGGATCCATACATGCTTCAGTTTTTCCCCGACCTACAGCCGCGCTCCAACATCCTGCGCAGAATCCTTCTCGAAGTCAAACCCAAGCTGCTCCAAAGTTTTTACATCTGCCCGCTGTTTCCCAAGTGCCCGTGATGCCTCCTTGATTAGTGGAAATCTCGCACGTGTCCATCTTTCCTTCTCGCCCCAGAACGGCGACCTCTTACCCTGACCACCATTCTCCAGCCCCTCCTTTCGAGCCGCATCTGAACTCAACCCATGCAAATGATTAATATAATCTGCATCGAGTGGAAAGGCAAGAGTGTTGAAACCACGGCCCTCGCCGCGACTAGCTGTCCACTCCGCTATCCACCGCTCCATCTCAAGCTCGGATGGCAGTGCGACTCGACCTGAAAAGACGCGCGCCACCCAAGCTCCCTGTGCCTGACTGAAAGGGAATGGAACAATCCGCTGCGGAAATCCTATCAGGGCTAACGATGGCTCTTTGCTGTAAAATACATGCTGGTATAGATGGTGTGGGCGCACACCATCTGTGACGATGGATGGCTGGAGGCCTGACAAGAATGGAATAGAGAAGTGGTAACCTGTGCAGAAGACAATGTGGTCGACCCCTTTCTTTTCCTGGCCATTAGCGAAAACAACACGTCCATCTTCAGCGCTCAGGAAGCTGATTTCTGGGAGGGATTCGGCAACGGCAGCTTGTTTTGGGGAAAGCGTTGTTGCTGTCCGTTCGGAGATCAGCAGAGGGCGCTTTGAGACATGACCGATCTGGCTCGCAATGTCAATCCCCGATGCAGAGTGCCCGACAACAATCACTTTCTGTTTTTGGGTGAGTATAACGCCGTTTGGAGGAGCCAGTGGTACATACCTTATCCGAGAAAGCTTCGGGGCGTCTGTAAGAAGACGAGTGAATAATGGAGCCTGGATATTTCTGACTCCACTCTGCTATTCCAGGAATCTCGGGGATATATGGATCATTGTGGTGACCATTGGCCACTACCACTGCGTCGAATCTCTCTACCAAGACCTTCTCGGATTTCAGATCACGCCAGGTCACTGTCCATTCTGGCTTTGGGTACTTCTGTGATAGTACCACGCTCAAGATCAGGGATTGAGGGCGTATGTACGGTGTTAATTCCTCTGCGTACTGATGAAGATAGTTCTTCACGACTTCGTGGGTTGGGAATAGCGAGGTACCCGCTGGGAATGGAAGGTCGATGAACTGCATCATTGAATTGGGGATGTTTGTTTCCAGGGCGTCATATACTGGAGATGCAAAGGTCCCGTTCACTGCCTGTTGAGGCTCCTGGCTTGGTTTGGGGCGGGGAAGTGCCGCATTGTTGATACCTTCATCCCCAGTATAGTTCCAGACGCCGCCAGGCCGGTCGCGCTGCTCAAAAATCGTCACATTTTTGAACTTTTGCTCAGCGAAGAGATACCTGAGCCGATTTTGTCAATAATTTACTTTGTTGGAAGCATTGAGTTGCATACTTGGAGATTCCCAAACCACAGGGGCCGGCGCCAATCACAGCAACACGATCGACTTCCATGGTGAAGTAAATGATTCGTCGGAAGGCTAACAAAGCACTGACGAAATGGCGACACGAGTCCTTATTTAGACTTGAACTTTGGAGGTCGAATTCGCAGTCGACAACATGAAGCTCCTTGCGCCATCGTCGGCCAAGATCGCGACTGGCTTAGTCCCAATACGGTAAAAATTATCGGAACCGCACCGATAGGGCTAGATGATGTGCTTGTTGCAAAAAATCAACAAGACCGAGGTTCTATAAATATTGACTGGCTTGGTATGGAAGAGATATCTCACATTTTCCGCCAAGTCGGGCTCTTGTGATCATGCTCTCTGATCTGAAAATGAAGCCCGAGGTCAACGACCAGGAGGTCAACCCGTCAAACCACGAGTCGGAGCTAGAGACCCTGCCAAAAAGCAGGCGTGCAAAGCTCAAGGCATCAATATGGGATACCTGGGATAAGTCGCCCCGAGAGCGCAAGCTTGTTCAAAAAGTGGACTGGTGGCTGCTCAGTTATGCATGCACTGCATATTTCATCAAGTCGCTGGACCAATCCAATGCAAGTGGAAAATCAATCGGGGAAACTAAACATTTGCTAACAAGACTAGACCTCCAATGCCTACGTTTCAGGGATGAAAGAGGCCCTGGACTTGAAGGGTAATGACCTGAACTACCTAACAACATATTGGAACATCGGGTATATCGTCGGACAAATCCCATCACAGTTGATTCTCACCAAGATTCGGCCCTCCATTTGGTTACCAGCTCTTGAATTGCTATGGAGTATATTGGTGATGGCTTTGGCAAGCGCTAAGAATGCCAAAACGATATTTGCACTGCGCTTTTTCATCGGTCTTTTCGAGGCTTCAGCTTATCCAGGCATTATCACACTCCTTGGAAACTGGTATACACCACAAGAGCTGGCAAAGCGAAGCGCAATTTTCCAGGCCTCATCTAGCGCGGCCAACATGTTTTCTGGGTATCTTCAGGCAGCACTGTATTCGGGCATGGATGGTCGTGCAGGTCTCTCGGCCTGGCAGTGGCTGTTCATCTTCGATGGAATTCTTGGAATACCCATCGCGCTGTATGGCTTCTGGGCTATCCCCGACTCCCCAAGCGATTCGAGGACGCGCTGGTTAAGCGAAGAGGATACCAAATACGCCGAGCAAAGGATGGAGGCTGTTGGGCGTGCACCGGCGGCCAAGCTCACATGGCGAACATTTCTGGACGTTTCCCGTTCCTGGCCAGTTTGGTTATTTTCCACGGTCTTCATCGCCCATGTCTGCGGCCTTCGCATCTACTCGTATTTCAACGTGTGGCTCAAGTCAACTGGCAAATATACAGTTGAACAGGTGAACGTCATTCCATCAGCCGGATATGGTCTCCAGATCATCTTCACGTTGCTTTATGCCTGGACGAGTGATTATCTGCAGATGCGGTGGCCTGTTATCGTGCTTGCCTGCGTTCCAGCGTTGGTCGGAACGATAATTCTTTCTGTCTGGCCGGCACATAACACCGCAGCAATGATGGCGGGCTGGCTGTTGACGTACTTCGAGACGGGAGCTGGAATCATCTTCACGTCTTGGGTCAGTGAGACTTGCGGGTTCTCGGCCGAGCATCGTATTGTGGTTATTGGGGTCATGGAGGCAGTTGCCTTCACCTTCAATGCATGGGTGCCTCTTTTGGCATATAACTCTAGCCAAGCGCCTCATTTCAAGATTGGGTATCAAATCGCTGCGATGTTCTTTGCGTTCGAACTTGTCATGACGCTCGGGATTGCGGTGATCGAGAAGCGATGGCCGGCTCGAAATTTGGTAAAACCGAGGGATTCACTCGATGTATAAAGCTGGAATCCGGTGATTTCGAGTCGAATATTTTCTAAACAATAGTGAGCCTTACACATAATATCAAAATTTCAGTCCAGGCAAGATGTCATACTTTAATCACACACGCTCAGTCCGAGGAAGCAGAGTACCTAGTGACTCCAATGTTCCTGTCTGATCTTCTTCTTGCCTTGTAGATTCAAGAGCTTACAAATACAAGCCCTTTCTCCCTTTATCAAACGCTTTATCTAAGGATCAACATTTGTTTCCACTTCTCGGGGGTTGACAGGTATCCGCACCTAGGCCCCACGGCCCCACCGACAGCCCCGAGTTGTGCCCACCATGTGAGCTCTGGGCTATACAGCCGTCGTTTCGTTAAACCTGACCCGTTTCATCGATCATTACTCAAGCCAAAAGGTGTCTAATAGTACACATGGATGTGGTGGAACCTTGGAAAGTGAACATGAGAATCAAAATTCTAGTAACTCATTATGTCGCTTTCCCATTCACCACTGCCATGTTTCAGGTGTGGCGAATGTTTCGGTCTGCGATATCGTAGCTCGACTTTGGATTCCGGAGTATAGATTTTCACGTTGATCACACAGGCCCGAGCAGCTTCAGGGATGTTCTCCCCTGGCTTTACTCCATTTGACTCTGTGTCAATCATTCTCTTTAGGGCGACAGTTGTTGCAGATGCCCAGTGATCACTTCCTGATTGATCGTCCATCATGGAAAAGATATCCCGACGAATCTGCCAGTCACGGCATTTCGCTGCAGTCCACACTAGAGCGGGGAAAACAGAGGACCTGTAAGCCAATGGGGAAAAGTAGATGTCGCTTGGGCCCGATCTCGAACTCGCTATAGTCTGCATAAGCTTGGTGACACGCTTGAACTGCTCCAAGTAGCCATCATAAACCATTTCGTCTGGTTTTAGACTTTGAGCAACACCTAGCTTGATCTCCATGATCTCAATCCACAACGAAAAGACTCGAAGTGTATCGCAATCTTCCGGCTTAAGACCATCGAGTTCGAGAAGAACCACCATAAGGCAACTCCTGCAGAACCGAATCTTAGACAAAAGAACTGCTGTATCACGGCCAATGAAGCCTGCGGGTTCAATGTTAAATCCGGAGGCGGAAAAATCCAGAATCAACCCTACGATAAGGGCGAAGAATTCTTGAACACGATCCATCTGGTCAAATCCCGAATATCGAGGCGTGGTAATTTTTGATAGAGCCTCTGTGGGACTGGAGGGTATCCAATGCTCGCTATGGGGTACTTTGTAATCCTGGGAAAATAACTCAGAGTGAGAGCAAAAAAACCAGTGAACATGGAGCTGGGCGAATGCCTGTCTCAGAACCAAAACATTAGAATCTTTCTCCTTCTGAAAGTCCCATTCTATCAAAAGTTTGTAACCAGAAGCAAGGTGACAACGAGCAGAATGTAGGTCTCCTTGGAACAAAGCAAGAATAATGAAAAGCAAACACGTGACTAGCACAACCTGCTTGTGGGTGCGGTTTGAGCTTTGCGAATGGAAAGTTGATCTAGTCAGGCTTTCTCGTAGAGAAGAAATGGCCTTGGAGGCATGGTGAAGAGACAGACTGGGCTTCGAATCGTCTTTATGGCTCCTAAGGACTCGGTCTGGCTGGGTATGCCATGCACTCATGGCAATCGCAGCGTGACGGAGAGCAAATTGACTCTGGCACATTTGAAAGTATAATCTGGACCAGTATGAGTTTTGAAAGTAATGCGAAAGTCGGACCGCTATGCAATGATGGTAAAAGTCCAAATGCCATCGCTCGTGCCAATTAAGATCGATCTGGTAGGGAGTGGCCAAAGGAAGCGGAACGGTAGTAACTGTTTGTGGGATCTTCGAGCCATATCGAAATTGTAGAGTGAAATTGGTATGATTGTGAAAAGAGTCTCTGAATTCGGCGCTGCGCCATTCACGCGTCCTCTTATCGACGACTTGCTCATAACCATCACATTTTCTGCCTGTGCTCGTACAATTGAGACAAGCAGGATGGGTTTCGTCGCATCTCTTATGTCGAATCCTTGACGGCGTTTAGTGGTTGTGTGAATGGGCAATTTGAGAAACTTACTTGCACGTTCCACATCCCGAGCGCGATTTTGAGTGCAGTGATCGTATTCTTCGTGTTGGGTCTTTGCTAGTCATTCTGCATTGTAATGAAAGGAGATTTTCAATGTCAACATCGAGTACTCCGTACTCCGTACCTCCGGTTAAGATAACCACAGTACTCGTATAGCCAGTCACGGTGGACTTCACACACGGAGCATTGTGTGGGGTGTGAGAGCCAGGAGCAGAAAACAGCGCCAAGACTCTCGACGAACGTTGGTTGGCCAGAAGGCCCTTTTTCTCCCAACGGATCGACACCCACCGCCGCGCAATTCAGCCTCCGAGGGGTAAATACACTTTACCCTCCTTTGCGACTCCCGACTAGGCTTGCCCAAGGTTCGTTGTATTACACAGAAAACGGAGATTTGGGCAACTGTTGGGATTCGTATCTTATGATAAAACTAGCCAAGGATAAGTGGTGAAAAAGGGGGTGAATTCCGCCTTTAGTCGGTAAAGAGGGGCAACCCTGTGTCCGTCAGAGTAGACAGTTGGGAAATTATGAGAAGTGTAGAATTCTGGCCAATCAGGAACGATGTAGGGGTCCGTAAAAATATGATGAAAAGTCTGGTTGGTTATCATGTATGTACATATGTACATGGTCCTGCCCCTGTTTGTATTTACATAGGACAGTAACCACGTGACTCTCTCCGCAATTGACAGATGCAAACTATGCAAACTATGTTCCTATTTCTGGCTTCCGACACCCCCCCTCATCTGATGCAGACTTCTTTGATTAATGTGAAGCCCAACCCAATTCACCGGTTTGCACTGTATTTGCCAACCAACCTCTTTTTTTAAATTGGGTTATCTCATTAAATATCTAATACTCTTTATTCTAAACTCGTAGATAAATTTCTTGTGTTTCAAATACAACAAAGATTCACTAAGTCTATTTGCCATCATCTCTGTGATCGGAGTCTACGTTCTCTGGGAACGTCTATCCAGTTTCCCCCGAAGCTTTGGACTTGCCCCTCACAGTTCTTCGTCTCTTACAAAACATTCTGCTCGACAACTCTTGACCAACGCATCTCTATCGCAACCATGACTACTTCGCCTCCCTCCACTCCGCCATTCAGGACCATACTAGATGATGAACGGAGATTCAAAACGATTAGATTGCCCTGTGAGTGGGTGGAGGATTATCGGCCAGGAGGTTATCATCCAGTCATTCTCGGCGACGTCCTCAACAGCCAGTACAAGGTCATCCGGAAGCTTGGCGAGGGCTCCTACTCAACTGTTTGGCTCGCCCATGACCTGAGGTAAGTCCATCTCTTTTATATCTACCCGCGACGATATATGTTATCGTTACTCATTCACTTTAAGAAATAATGGATATGTCGCTCTGAAGATCCTTGTGTCGGAGACTTCGAATTCTACAAACGAACTACGAATATTACGCCATATCATCGAAGTCGCACCAGTAGGAGGGACCCGATATGTCACGCGACTGCTAGATGAGTTCGAAATCCGCGGGCCTAACGGTGTCCATAATTGTCTGGCATTTGAGCCTATGGGACCGAGTGTCAATACGATGGTCGAGGAGCTGCCACAATTCAAACCTCGTAAGCGAGAAATGAGAGTCCGTTATCCGCTTCGGATGGCAAAGAGTATCCTTAAGCAATCATTGCTGGCACTTGCATTTCTCCACGAAAATGGTATCGCCCATGGAGACTTCCAGCCGGGAAACATACTCTTCACTCTTGACGATATCGACTCGACCCCCGAGAACTTGCTCCTACAAAAGAAAGATGTGCAATCCCGGTCGATCTCGTCCCCGGTACAGAGGCAGGACGGTAAACAAGATAAATGGGCCCCTCAATATCTTTGCGTTGCGCAGCCACTGGTTCCTTTTACCTGCTACGCCGAAGGGTTTAAGGTCAAATTATCCGATATGGGTGGTGGTCAGTCCCTCCTGTTTCCATCATCTATTCATTTTTCTCACTGAACATTTATACTTATACATGACTGCGCCTGATAGCATATTTATTTACCGACCCACCAACAAAGCTTGTTACTCCCGTCGGTCTTCGAGCCCCCGAATTGATACTTACCGGAGCGGTCGACAACACCGTTGACATCTGGAGCTTCGGCTGCCTTATCTTCGAACTTATCACCGGACAGCCACTTTTCTGTATACCATATTCCGGCATGGAAGATGACGATCATCTTCTGTCCCTCGCCGCCCAGCTCGGTGCGCTTCCCGACGAATTATTCAAGTATTGGACGACTTCGTCTCTCTACTTTACGCCCGAGAGGAAGCTCTTTAATTGTCAGCTTGGAGGAGTCGCTCCCGGGGAGGAACCGCTTATGGTGGAGCAGACGTCCATGGAAGAGTGCTTCGATCGAGCAGGCCCGGATCTCGAGGAAGAAGAAGCCAAAAAAGTGAAGGCACTCATTCGATGGATATTGCAATATGATCCCGCGAAGAGACCTTCGCCTACGAAAATCTTATCTGATCCATGGTTCTGCGAGATTGATGTTGAGAGCGACTAGTCCAAGGTATCTATATTCTGGTATCTCGCGTGGGATATGAACAAACTTCAGAGGTCATCGGTGGTCTTCGCGGCCTATCGGTCCTGAACTGCCCAGATCTTCAGTGCCATCCGCTCCAAGTCCGACTGTGAGAAAGTCAAGTCGGTTTCAGTTGGCCTTTTTGGCCGGAGAAACACATCCTCAAACAGGATGGTCATATTTCCGGTAACCTTAGGCTTGCTGTTCCTCTCAAGGCCCTTCGTGATTTCGATTTTCGCAGTTTGGACTGGAATTGGCTTTTCTTGACCACGGCGGTGGTGTAGAGACCATTTTTCAATTGATATCCTATGGCGCGCGAAGATTGAAACAGTCAACACTACCTTGACGTCTCCGTTTGATTCGTTCAGCCAAAAGCACACATCGTTCATGAGGTGCGATGCTGGCTCCGACCACCTGACTTCGACGGCCATAGTTGGCCATTTAGGGCTCCGTCCTGATGGTAACTCGGCGGGTTTCCAAGAGCAATCTGCTTTTTTCTTCCTCGTAATGCCACGAAACATTGCAGACCCTGTCGGAGAGACAACGCTCTTCGACTTGGTGACCCAGGCTTCAATAAGGAATCGGAAGGCATCACAGCCTGATGCATGAACCTCGCTTTCCATCTCAATGAGGACAATGGAGTGTTGCTCATCGTAAGATACACATGACTTTCGCAGAATGTCATTGCTTGATTTTGTAAAGTTTTCAAGGAAAGAACGTTCCGAAACAGAAGTTACGATCACATAAGGATCTTTCCCAGTGAGCTCATACCTGTCGAACTCCTGGTCTAAAATCCGAGAAGACTGCTCTTCTCCATGAAACTGGAACATCGGGGTTGTCGTTGGAAGGCCGTACATAATTGCGCGTGAATCTTTGCAAACTGACTGGACGTGTGCGGAGCAAACGGCATAGTTAGATCAGTTAGTTGCGTCATTATGAGTACGGAGTAGACATTGTTGGGTTGGGCGAGGTCCACGACCCAGCCCGCAGTAGGCTATGGACCCGATGTCGAAAGCCGGTCAACCATATCCTGGTCATCCTTCATTTTGGCATTGTAAAGTCTAGCATGTCCGTACTGTGAAACCTTGAACCCATTTTAAATCAAATGTTTTGTGAGTGTTACTTAAGTATACATGCATCCCGAGGTCTGATGGTTTAACTCGAAGTGTGCTCCTCCATTGCAGGGCGCCTTTCCTCGGCTATGTTCTTGCCTCCAGGACCCTGGACCAAGAGAGAGTTGCTCCTATTGGCCTCCTCATCCTTTTGAATCATTCCATCATTCTCACTAGGAGGTACCCCAAACTTAGCCACATAGCTCTCAAAATCGTAGTACTCTTTCCCTTTCTTGAAAAGCTCCACAAGGGCAATCGCCAGAAGCATGACGGCCGTTGTCTGACCAAAATCCCACTCATTCTCATGAGTTATCTCTCCTTCCAATTTCTTATCATTTGCCACTCGAAGGGCAATCGTCATATAGAGGTGCAAGGGGAAATGGAGCGACGAGAGCACCAGAATAGCACGTCTTCTCTTGACTCCAGCAAAAACACTGGCAAGGACAACAATCATGAGCCAGGTACTGGTGAACCCCACATAATACTTGTCTGCAGCAGGGTGAGAGGCAGATGGATCGGTGACGAGTGTCGAATAATAACAACGACCAGGCTCCTGGTGGGGTGACCATTCATTCAGACGGATACCAAGGAGAATGGTGAGGGCCAAATATAAAGCAAGAAAAATGTAAACCGCTCGATAACGGTTATTAAACCAGCTAATGCGGATCTTGCGCCGATTATGAAGCTTCATGTCTGGTTCGTCTATTTTAGCGCGGCAGTATCTCCAGCAAACGAGCGCTGCTGTATTCGATACTCCCACAAAGCTTGAAATGTCGAAAACGAGGTGCAAGTGGTAGGTGCTCATGATTGATACCTGGGGAGGGAAAGGTAAGCCAGTCAGCTCAGGTAACAAGACGGTAAAGCACCAATCTATTCCTTTTGACTCGTGTTTGGCATACCTGTGCGAACGTAGTGACCAAATAAGCTATTCCTAGCGTAGATTGAAAGTCCGATCCGATCATCAGGATTTTAGACACAAAGTCCATGCGTTTGCGCTCAACCTCGCGCCCGACAGAGCCTTCTGGATGTGTGATATCCATATTGCCGTGCTTCGTTAGGAAAAAAACCCATATCGACAGACATAGGGACAAAAGCGCTTGACCAGCGAATCCCACGAGGATCTGATTTCGCTTAGTACGGCCAATACGCCCTTTCCCTCTCAGCACCAACTCACCCCGTTGCCCACCAGTGTAGCCATTTCCTCTCCCACTAGCTCACATTCTCCACCTCCCTCCTCCCTTAACCGCAGATTCATCTTGTCGTATTGGGATGCAAATGGACACAGGCTTTAATGCACGAAAAGAGGCACCGGTCGTAAGACGCAGCAGACTTGGCCCAGCCTCTTTATAGTCATGGGCCCCGTGGCTGACTAGAATAATCCAGCTTTGCGGCCCCAGGAAATGGGGCCATTTTCTGTCGGCGTGCACGAATCTCCTTTGTTTAAGGGATGATGGTAGCCCTGTCAGTCGCTCTAAACGTGGGATTGTACACCGTATTAACGCAGCTCCTAACGCAGCTCCTTTGAATATACACGCGGTGATTGGTGTGGCATCTGCCTTTCCCAAAGTTGATTAGGGCGATGTGCCGGGTGCGCTTTCTGTGGCGCAAATTGAGAGACATCATTCGCAGTCTGGCTTGGCCCCATTGAGATCGGCGCTACCTAGGCTTATTTCTTCCTTAATCCTTGGATGTCCGATAAGCGTCTTTCGGGTGGATTTCCATGTTGAGTATAACGGAGTAGCTGTTGAGGTAAGAAGCGACCGGTGAAAACTTGGAACTTGTGTACTCCATATAATGCCGATTAGACAGTTCTTGTCCTCTCTTGAACGGTCGCAAGCAGTGGCTTTCTATTAGGCGTGTCAGCATCGAAGCCTCATGCGTAGTTAGCGGGGCATGCTCAAGTGCCAACGAGTTCTACATAAGCTTTGTATGCAAGCTGACGGCAGGTTGATACGAGTAGCTTGGGCCGCGCCAACGCACCGACTAACCAATTTCGTTTTCGATGGTTTTGAGACTTTCAGCCTCATAATACGTCACGTACTGACATGACGCATTCTGTATAGTCTGGTGCGGAATGACGGGAGGGGATCGGTCCGCGATAGCTCCAGGCTCAAACTGGTCTCAAGGTACGGGGTAGTCAGACAGTGGGTGATTGAGAGAGCCGTCTTCTCTCCACCCCTGCCAGCCCCGGTAACTAAGCGTCAAAAAGTGCCAAAGGGCTGTTGGTAGCGATGAGAACACAATATATGGAAATCCAAATCATCAGAAGATCAGAAGTTGAGTACGCTGCTTGATCTCAAAGGATGCAACACACGCGCCAGTGCCAGATGTCTACCTCAGGCTTCCAAATGGGCCCTACCCCATCCACAATCTCTATCACGGGCCCTTTTCACCTGGGCATATTGGCACAGAGAAAAATATAGCATAAATCACCTGATTAGCAAGGCTGCATTAGGTGTGCACCTTTTTAGCTGAGCGGTAAAAATCGGTGCTATTTTTTCCGTCACATATATTTAGGGCCTGAACCTGCCACTTCATGATCCATTCAGACCATTGCCACCAGTTTTCATCAATGTCTTACTCGAGAAGTCTCCATCCTTGTGTCTCTCAGTGCGCCCCGTGGTCTGCCACAACTCACTTCGTTTGACGCGTCCCCGTTGCCAACATTTCAAACCACAACCCTAGCGTCCTACAGCGCATTATAAAGCAACCCTTGCACAACTCCTCGAGAAGTGACTATCAAAAGAGAAAGAGCTTGTCTTTTCTCAGTTCGAAACGTGGCCAAGAATGTGTCTTGATGAGAGTGGAAGTTTTGGATGAAGATCGGAAGTGGGTCTAGTAAGCACAACCAGTTATGTCCGCTAATTCCACTATTTCCAGGAAATCAGTACACAAAGATGCATGGATTAACATGGGCTAACGCCGATTACTGTGATAAATAGAGAGTACTCGTACACTGAGCTCCAACTTTCCAATCCGACAATCCATTCTCCTTGCACGCCTTGGTCTTGAGAACAAAATGCGTTTCGCAACAAGAATCCTCCCTATTCCAAGACTGATAGCGTTCTTTCTACAAGTGTCCACTGCGTTGTCACATCTCAACACTTCAAATTATTCTCTATCTGTCATCGATACGTTCAATGTTCCTTCAAGTTTCGAAAATATCGCAACGCGTCACAATGGTCATCTCATTCTGACTTCAACGACGTCTGCAACCCTTTACCAAGTATTCCCACACGAGAAGAAGAAGTCACTTGCAATCGCCACCATACCTGAAGTGACGAGTCTACTTGGAATCACCGAGCTGGAATCCGACGTGTTTTATGTTGCGGCCGCGAATGTCAGCGGAGCCACGGGTAGCCGTGGCTCGAATTCCATTTGGAAAATAGACCTTCGTGAATCCGAGCCATGTTTCTCGAGAAGAATTAGGAGCTCCTGCGCCAAGCCTTCTCTTGTTACCAAAATCGACACTGCTGGGATATTGAATGGGATGTGCCGCCTGGACCCCAAAAACAACTCAACGCTCCTGATTGCTGATTCTGTTGCGGGGAATGTTGTGAAACTGGATGTCGATACCGGTTCCTACGAAGTCATCATTGATGATGACCGAATGAAAAATACCGAGACAGGTTTACAAGTTGCCGTCAATGGCATTCATGTCTTCGGTTCCGATCTGTATTTCACCAATCTCAACCAAGGCATCTTTGCCAGAGTGCCAATCGCATTATCTAATGGTACAACAACTGGCCCAGTCGAGATCATTGTCACTCACACAGCTGGCGATGACTTTGTACTGTCAAAGGACGGGGAAAAGGCGTGGATTGCCATGAATGTACAGCACAGTCTGGTCGAGGTTGACGTTCGTCGGAAAGCGGCTAAAGTCGTGGTTGATTCGCCTTATCTAGAATCAGCCTCCGCAGTTTCATTTGGAAGAACACGAGTCGACCGACATAATTTGTACATCTCATCTGCAGGAAATATCGATTCCGCAGACCCTGGCAACAATTCAACAGTTGGAGGTATTGTTGCTCGGGTAGATATGTGATCCATCCTCGGGTCCGTTCCGAGTTTGAGCATGCACATACAGACTTGAATGTCATATGGATAAAGGATTGAATATGTGAACATAGTGGGATTTAGAATCGTACTCATGAATTATGTGGTATTTCTGCATCAACATGGAATCATGCTCTCCTCGAAAACTCATAATACTCTCTTTTGTAAGTCATATCGTCCCCTGATTTCCTTGATGTGACATCCGTCTGTATATCCGTCTTCATCATGATACCATTCTGATCTTGGTCCACATTATTGACACTGACGATGGCATCCTGACTACCCAATGTCGTATCGCCCAGTCCTCGGCGTCGATTGCTTTTTAAAGGGTTCCTCCGTTGCACGTAGCTTGCCCCGGGAGATCGTGCGGTACTCGGGTATCTGGAGGCACTAGAACCGAATATGTACGGGGCGTAGGACTTGATCAACACAGAGAGGGATGGGGCGGAACCGCAGAAGATTGCTGCAATCGCTAAGTCAGACGCCATTTGCTATTGTAATGGGGGAAAACATACCAATGAAAGCCTCAATCGTGCACCAGTTGAGAGAGTCAGCCAATAGAAGATAATAATCCTCTTTCGCTGAAGCCAGCTTCTTGACGAAGTCATAGCGAATGCATCCAGCTAATTCCAATATATTAGTACAAATCTAGTACACAAGTTGGGGGGTGGTATATACCAGCAATGGATAAGATACCTAGCCCAAATATTCCCAGGATGGCTCCCTTCTTGCGCCAGTTCAATTGGAGTCCGTAAAGCATGGGGACTGGCAGAAGATATATCAAGATATCTGTCACGATGTTCAGGATGCCATTGACCTCATAGAAGCGTTGTGACATTTCCATGCTCATACAATCACTCGACGTTGGGTTGGTCCAAAACAAGGATGCGGGTCTGCAGCCTATCAATGCACCAAAGAAGCTTGCAAGGGATAATCCGATGTTGATGAACATGACGAAGAAGACAGCCCAACGCATGTATTTGCGAGGATCAAGACGGAGATAGAACCACAGCAAGGACATCTTGACCAGCCCCATGGCAAGTGTGTAAAGGATGCGCGTGGCCCAGATGCACTGAAGATGGTCAGAATTTATTTACAAGCTGGGTGTGTTACATACTTTTAGCATCGGTACGGTATCGCTTTGCTTCATGGCAAGTGCATGTTTCCCAATTCCGTACTGGGACCCGATCATAATCGTTATTGATAATCCAAAGTTCAGTATCTGAGCGAATACATGTGAGAGAGATATCATCATTCGCAAGGTAGATAAATCCTTACTGTGCCAATTACCATAAGTACTAGAAAATCAGTTAGTTTGGTACTCAGATTGGCTTCCGCTTGACCCACTATCATCGGTTCCGAGAGCGCGCAGCATAAAACCGCGTACATATATGCGCAGCGCAATAACAATTGAGTCAAAGACAATGAATCCAATGCCCAGACCGAAGATAGCCGCACGGCGATTCTCGGAGATATCACCCTGGGGTGCTGCGTTCTGGTCGACGTCCATCTTGCATGCGTGCTGGAGGATGAGATGGAACCAACGTGGCGAGAGACACCGAGGGATTAAGTATGGGACAGCATGTAAGACAGTCTGTTGCAATTTGGGGCGAAATGCCACATAGACACGGTAGAAGCAATCTACATCCTGGTCGATTCCCGGCTAGAGAAATCGACTAGCGCTCGTAAATGTACGAGTAAGGAACGGCCGATCGAAAACAAAGGCCATAATGCGCACCCACCAGGCTGGGGCGAAAAAAAATTGACATGCAGCAAAGGATTTATTCTGTGACGATGAACAGTGGAGCTGTGGCCATTGTGTTAACAATCTGCTGCGAGGAGAAGATCAGTTGAAACAAGGCCTGAAAAAATTGCTATCAAATCCAGTAAGACAGACGGCCCCAGTGCCGCCCGCCAGCAGTGGGTCGCGATCCTCGATTGTTGATTCGGTCGCATGGAGCCCCTAAGCCTTAGTGAAGTGGCATGATACTGAGTGATATTGCGGCCCCCAAACCCCACAGGGCCCAGGCGCGCATAGTGGATGGTAATTGGGCATCGATGATATCCGCGCGGGCGTGGGCCGAGGCTCCACTAGTTTGGGACCCCAAATGGGTCCGAACTATTCGGAATCAAGCTCGCCCCGAAAAGGTTGCAGCAATGAAGTCTTTCGCGTCGAGGTCGCTAGCTTGTTAGTCTCTTGGCAGACCCAGAAGGGGCCGGCGAGTTGGCAGCATTTGAACAGCAATGTATCCATGAAGGGCAATCACTTTCCACAAGTCCATATTGCTCCGGTTGCAATTTAACCGACCCAGACTAACAAGGAAGATGTTATTAAACATACTCCTCCCTGTCATTGAGGCCGAGGGAAACATTCTGCCTCCGCGTTAATTTGCCGTTTGTCGAAGCCAAAGGCGCTGGGATCAAGATGACTGAATCGAGAAAAGTTGCACTCATCTTTGGGGCTAGCGGTATTTCCGGCTGGGCTGTCACCAAATGTGCTCTCTCTTATCCCACGCCAACCACTTTTCAGAGAGTCATCGGCCTGACGAACAGACCGTTGCCGCTGGAAAAAAGCGGTTTACCACATGATTCTCGGCTTGAGTTGCATTCTGGGGTGAATTTGCGAGGAACCCTAGATGAAGTGAAGTCGCAGTTGGAAGAAAAGGTTCCTGATATGGATGATGTTACTCACGTGTATTATCTTGGTGAGTCGAGGAACTGCCCTCGCGCATCTGAAATGATCAGTAACTAACAGTTGGACTCCCACCAGCTTATTCCAATGCCACTGCATACTCAATGGACGTGATGGGTATCCGGAATATCAATGAAGGAATGACATATAACGCCGTGCATGCTGTTGATCAGCTGTGCAAGAGTTTAAAGTTCTTCGTTCTCCAAACAGGAACCAATGTATGTATCAATTGGATGTCAGTCAATGGCTCTGACTGACTAGTCACAGAACTATGGAGTCGCCGTGTTTCGCTTCCAAGAACACATCGAGATTAACCCTCCCTTGCGCGAAGATAACCCCCGCATTCCATCGCCCTGGGGAGATGAGATCTTCTATTATGCGCAAGTCGACCTCATCAAGGAAGCCAACAAGGGAAAGTCCTGGAAATGGTGTGAGGCTCGACCAGATCAAATCGTCGGTATGTGATCAAATACAGAATACAAGATCATACTAACGCCATCGGCATCCAGGCCATGTTCCCGTTCCCACAAGCATGACATACGTTGAGCCCCTCGCCCTCTACTTAACACTATACCGTTATGTGAATGGCCCCGGTTCCGCCGTTGTCTTCCCGGGACCATACACAAATTATGTCCATACGTATACTTCGTCGTCGCAGGACATCATCGCCCGCTCAGAGCTCTACCTCTCTGTCGAGAAGCCGGAACAGGCGCACGGACAGGCATTCAACACGGCTGACAACGCTACCCCAGAATCCTGGGCCATGGTATGGCCAAAGATCTGTGAGCGCTTTGGTCTGCAAGCTGAAGGTGCAAGCCCTGAGGATAAGGGTTGGAAGAATATCGACCAGTGGTGGGTTGCACACCAGGATGACTACCGGAAGATGTGCGAGGAGTACTGCTTGCAGCCTCGTGAGATTCTCCCAGAGACCTGGACTTTCCTTTCGGCAGGCTTTAGCTTTTTGGGTCGAGACCGCGCTCTCAGCTTAGAAAAGATCCGGAGTGTAGGCTTTACTGAGGAGTATCCAGTAGGTTATGGCTACATGCGGGTGTTTGATCGCCTGGTAGAAGATGATATCATCCCCAGCAGAGAGACTTGGTTGCAAAAATAGTACGTCGTGATCCGAGCATCTTTCATTCGCTCCAGCTCGCTGGCGCGTTGACCCTGAATTCAATTCTGTGAAAATGTTAGTGGATCAAAACAAAACGCCCGCGAGGAAAAGTGGATCTTCATGTAATTCTAGCTGAAGGATGAACAGAAATATCACAATATAGTAAAGCAAGCTACCCTAGTCCTCCATGTCGAGAGTAGCGGCAAGATAATTGACGACGAGGCTTTGTGAGATAAGTCCACGGGTACGGTTTTGGTAATGTGAGGTGCCTGACCCCTGACGCTGCTTCTACGAGAGCGCCCAGGCAGCAATCAGGCATCAAGCTCAGGCATCAGGCTCAGACATCAAGCTTCGTACGCCCAGCGTGACACTACAGCTTTGACTTGTTTTGGTCCCTTGAACACGTTCGTTGAATTTTGAAAGAAGACTTTATCTCCGGTAACACTTCTCCGGTCCCACATCGGTAATCTCATCTTCGGTCTCAAACCTGCATTCCCTCGCGGGTCGTTCCCAGTTCTCCGATTTCGACAGCCATGCCACAGCAGACAAAAATCCCTTCATTGCATGGGAAACTTCGGTCGCGTGCATTTGCGCGTCATCCCAAGTGGTGTTGAGCTTCAAAGTTGTGTCAGCCTCCTTGAGTGAAGGATACCAAACGAATCCGAGATCCGTGCGACTGAGGACTTCAAGCATTTCAACAGAGGCTGGATCACCGGCGCTTGTCTCTTGTCCAGCTTCAGCAGCAGTCGACTGGGTTGATGATATATCCGGCAACCAGTCAAAGACCTGACGATTCAAAATGCTACGGACGACGTCGGCATCTGCCCTGCTTGTCGGTGAAGCACCACCAGGTGATGATTCCAGCCGATCAATGATCTTGGCTATAGGCGCATGTGAGTGCTGTTCGATGACATGTTGCTCTTGAAGGAGGCGGGCAAGGAATTGAACGACTGTTTCGTCGCCCAGAAGTCGAGTACGACTCACTGCGAGAGTGACTGTCGGGCCGTCGATGGATAACGGATTCACACCCTCTCCATTGTCCTCGCTCTGGTCACTCTTACCTTCGTCTCCTGCAGCTGAGTCAACAAATGGCCAAGAGCGACCGGATTCATTTGTCACGAGGATCGCTTCCTCGCCACCGGTGAGATGCATATTCAACAATACGCAGGCGCCCTTGGCGACGATGGGAGGAGGAATCTCGAAGCGCTCTCTCAGTCCGAGAATTTGGGGCACAGAAATTGCATATTCAAGGCCCATTGTACCAATCGCGTATTTTCCATCTAGTGGGGTACGAAGCCCAGGCTCTCCCAGGCGACCGTCGGGATACTTCCACCCCGAGTCATCGCCCTTGAGCCAGAGAGGAACCCGCTGAGGAGGCCAAAGGTAGTCACGGGCTTCACTAATACCTCGAAGAGCCTGTACATGATGGTCGATGGCATGCTGCGCGGCGACGTTTCGCATCCGGCGATTCAGTGCGACCGAATACCGCTGGAATGGATGGAACCCAGTGGAGAGTTGTCGTGACTTGACAATCTGACCCAGCTCGCGGTACCATTGTCTGATAATCACCCCATCGAAAATGACATGATGCCAATGGAAGATCAGTCCGATGTCTGGGGTGTTATTGATGGGGAGGATGGTGACTTTGAAGAATGGGCCTGGCGGAGCCACATGATCCCACTCTGGCTCATTGAACCGATATGTCAGCGTATCCTCGGCGTTATCAATACTCTCGCCGTGACAGATCTGATGGCACAGCCAAGATTGGCGTGCTGGCATTATGATATAGAAGTCATTCTGTTCGTCCGATACCGTGATCGACCGCATCAAGGGGTGTTTGGTAGCCCAAGTGTGCAAAGCCGCCGTAATACGGGCTTGGTCGCAATTCCTAACTATCACGGAGTGTCGGTGGTTCCATGAGTTAGGACGAGCACCTCGAGCCATAGGGCCAATGATGTCGTTCTTTGGATAAACGTCTTCTACATCGCCCCAATCGAACCCCATGGAATTCAAGCGCCCCATTGCCGCTTGTTTGATTCTCAGAACCTGCTGACGGTTTTCGGGTAGTTCCCGCCATGGTGGTGGAGCCGCAGAGTTCATATCTTGGGTTTTATCAGATCCTGTTTCCATTTTCTGGCGCCCTTCCAACAACATTGCTTGTGATCGCACGGTCTTGAACTCGCCTAGATCCTTGACCGTGAGACTCTTCTGGTATCGCTCGAAAACAGCCGAGCAGAACTGGATTAGCGTCATGCTATCAGTGAACGTATGAATCGACATATCAGGCGAAATGCTCGCCGCCGAGCGACCAGTGAGAGAAGACCAAATCTCAGTCAATTGAGATTCAATAGAACTCTCCGCGTGATTGGACTGACAGGAATTGGTCTTCTTGATATGCTCCAGGGTCCATTGGCGGAGGGTAGCTTTCTGGGGTTTTCCTGATGGTGTCATGGGGAAATTCTTGTGGCCTAGATCCCCCGTCAAGTCGAATATCATGGACGGGGAAAGTTGAGGTCCTAGGCTTTTGGATACAATGTTTCGCAGCTCATCATGGGGAAGCTCGATGCCTGAATCACGTCGGATAATCGCGACTATGGCCTCACCAGCCACAGTATCAGGCACACCTACAACTTGCGCCTATTTCAACAAAGTCTATTAGCAAATTTCCGGGCAATTTGACCAAAAAGATTTCAAAACTTACTGTGATCCCTGTTTCGTGTGACAGTACCCGCTCAATCCTGGAAGGCGAGATGTTCTCACCTCCGCGGATGATGAGGTCTTTGTATCTTCCCAGCACATACAATCGACCCTGCTCATCCAGATAACCCTGATCCCCGGACACAACAAAGTTGGCCCCATCCTTGCGATAGCATGATTCATGCTCCAGTCCCAAATAGCCCCCGAAAACAGGCAGGCCTCCAAGGTGCACCTCGCCAATCTCTCCTCGGGAGAGCAGCGTACGGCTACCCGGTTGGCAAATACGGATACACGCTCCTGATACCGCAGTTCCCAGGCAGACATCTTCCCCTCCTGTCAATGCGTCTTCTGTCTTCTGGTTGTGGGTCGTAACCACCAGACTCTCGCTCATACCATATCCCGCTGCTAGTCTCTTAGGCCCCAAAGACGCGCAAAGCTCTAGCAATTCCGGGAAGACGGTTGATCCACCTATGGTAACCGTTTCTAGAGTCTCAAACCTTGGCGGTCGGATGGGCGATCTGGCAATTGCCTGGATCATAAGTGGCACGCAAGGGAGAACGACATTGCGGCTCTGTTGTATGGCGCGAATGGAGCAATCCGCGTCAAAAGTAGGGTTGGGGAAGACGAGACTGGCGCCCTGTAGCCAAGCAGTCAAGCTATAGACAACACTAAAAATATGGAAGCCAGGTAGATGTTGACATATAGTGTGGTCACGAGTGATAGCATGAGCTTTGCTGAGACCACGAGCAACCGAATAAAGCGTGACTGCGCTGTGTGGACAGGCTTTGGACGTGCCGGTGGTACCACTGGTGAAGAAAATAACCGCTGTTTCTTCAGGATTATTCGGAGACACCATCGGTTTGGTCACATTTTCAGTGGCATTCTCAGAAAGTTCTGCCAAGGTTTTCCATCCAGGTGTCTGGGAGCTCTCCACGACGTAGCGGTTTTTGATAGGAGCTTTTTGGCCAAGAGCTTCATCAACTGCAAGAGCTAATTTGTTGCTCGATGCTACGATCACATCGCATAGAACACTCTCCAGGAGATCTCGCGCGTGATCTTTGTGGCTCACTGCACGATAATCAATTCCAATGAATTGACATCCAAGATGCGCCGTAGCCCAAAACATAAGAGCCCACTCTATTTGGTTGAAAAGAATAGTCCCAATGCGACTTCCAGATGCTACTCCGTTTGCAGACAATTGATGGGCTAGACCGAGACTTGCCTCGTGGAGTTGAGCATATGTCCAGCTTATTGGTGATGTGCCTCCCTCCTTGTCGCTAGAATGTTGGTGTAAAGACACCAGTGCGGTGCGATTCGCATGTTGACTGGCTGATTGGGAGAGAAGAGTCCCGAGATTTTGTGTGGGTGCTGTTTGAGTCTTATCCCAAACCTCGGCGAGTGCTATAGAGCCCATGTTGATTTTGGTGTTATTTTCAAGGTCGGCAATCGGTTTCTCATCAATTAACGCGACACGACCAAAATCTTCAGTGCTCGGACACTTTCTGTCTTGTCACAAACATATGCCCCCTTTCGACGTCATGCTCAAATGGTTCCTCTCATGTGGGGACTGTGGGCCTTGATCTGCATGAATCTTTGCAAAAGATCTTGATTCGGAGGATTACCGAACGTGCTTGTTTACAATTAGGCGATTGAGTTGATTCTCCTATGCCTCTTGAGATGTACAGAACATGCAGGGAATTTTGCCAACGAGTCACCCAGGCCCGTGTGTCCTTCTGCTATTCAGCCGCTGATCCCATCAGCTTATACGAATCGGGCGTGACGTGAATGCTGATCAAAGGCCCACACGCTAGTGAGAATCCACCTCCTTTATCCGGCAGATCGTCCCCTTGAGCAAACGAGATCGATCAATATCTTGATTCATGCCCTTGCTTCGGGTTTTGGATGGGTCTCGGTTCTTGTCGAGTGGGTCTTTTTTCTCGTCATGAATGACCCCTGGCCCTATTGCTCACGCGTATCAATCCCAAAAAAGGAGATAGATGGACATGCGACAACATAACTCACGGCCAGTCTGTCTTTCCAAGAGTTACTCGTACAATCCAATGTTTTGCTAAACCTGCTCTCGTCACCATGGCAAAGCCAGATGAAACTTCCTCAGAAAATGAGGCCGGCGTGGAGGCCATTGACTACGAAAATCCACACAATTGGTCTCAGTCAAGAAAAATCTTATCGGTCGTGATCTTTTCCTTTTTGGCCAGTGTGTCTCCCTTGGCATCCACGATCACAGCGCCAGCGCTTCCAGATATCGGAAAAGATCTTGCCATTTCTTCTGGACCAGTGCTTCAATTCACTCTATCCATCTATGCCTTGGGCTATGCTTTTGGGCCGCTCGTTCTGGCGCCCATGTCAGAAGTTTATGGTCGGGTATGGGTTGCTCAGCTGAGCGGAATCTGGTTTCTTGTTTTCAACTTGGCCTGTGCATTTGTGCATTCCGGAGGCGCACTTCTGGCCATGCGCTTCCTAGCTGGACTAGGAAGCTCAACTACCCTCAGTGTAGGGTCCGGGGTTCTGGCGGATTGCTATATGCCAAACAAGATGGGATCCGCCGTCGCGATCTACAGCCTCATGCCAGTCGTGAGTCCCATCGCAGGCCCAATCATTGGTGGCTTTGTTTCACAAAATACCACCTGGCGTTGGATCTTCGTGGCCGTATCCATTTGGGATGCACTCATTCAGATTGTGGCTTTCTTTTTCCTGCGTGAGACCTATGCCCCAGTTATTCGAGCCCGCAAGCTCCATGGTACATGGTTTGCGAAGCCGCCAATCGAAGGCTCGCAGTTTCGCGAGAATCTCAGGCGTGCAGGTCGTAGCATGCGTTTACTCGCCACGAAGCCTCTGATCCAGGTTCTTGCTCTCCATCTGGGCTTCTTGAACGGAATTTCATACATCATGAGCTCAACATTTCCACTAGTCTGGTCAGAAGTTTACCACTGGAGCACGGAAATGGGCTCGCTCAACTATATTGCTCTAGGCATCGGTGCTATAATCGGTGCCCAGGTATGTACCCGTGTGAACGACCGCGTCTATACCATGCTTTCTGCACGCAACAACGGCGTCGGTTCACCGGACTACCGTCTCCCTACTATGCTTGCAGGAACGCTCATTGCGCCATGTGGCCTTCTCTTGTATGGATGGTCGGCCGAGGAAAAGCTGCATTGGATCATGCCAGATATCGGCGGTGCGATCTACAATGCTGGTTTCATGACTGCCTATATCAACGTGCGAATCTACGTGATTGAGTTCTACGGTGCATCAACTGCTGCATCTGCTGTTGCCGCGGTATCTTTCTTGCAGTACTTGTTTGGTGGACTATTTCCTCTCTTTGGTACGGATATTCTTCATTCCCTCGGATTTGGTCGCACAAATAGCGTGCTGGCTGGAGTTAGTTTAGGTCTGGGTCTCCTTGCTCTAGGAACGCTGTGGAAGTTCGGATCAAGACTGCGTGAAAAGAGTACGGAAAATGACAAACAACCATTAACTTAGAGCCTTTGAATACCACAACATTCTCAGGTCACCACATTTCAGTCTCCTTAGCACCTCGGTATTTGTTCAAAGTACCGCACAAGATGAAGGACTCACTGGCGACCCCCAGGTCTAATCACTTGGGTAGGAACCTCCGGGGCTCCTGGTATGAACTCATCCGAGCGTGTCAGGCACGCGTTCAAACTTGCCGATGTCCTCTTTCGCGCCGCCGAAAGTAAAATTGTGAAAAACCTCGGCAATACATCCCCTCTCGACCATTCAACTTTCTCCTCCGTTGGGGGTATTTTGAATGGGTCCCCGTCACTAGCATGCCAAACCAGTGCTCCAATATTACCACTCACGGTCTGCAAACGTTTTCCTCCACGCTCGCCCTCCACCCCACATCTCTGCGGTTCGGCTCAAGTGGAATGAAACAAACAGAAATTCATCAAGGACATCCAAAGCGTTTTGGGCGACAGGAACAAGGGGGCGAAGACTATACCGGGTGGTCACACACGAAGCAGTCCTGGGCCCCATGGCTCTCTTTTTTCCCGTTTTCTCGGGGACAGCACTTAATTATTGCATCACCGGCTCTTCACTATGGCTGTTCGAAGATCCACAATATCTCACGAGGCATATTATGAGAGGGAATGAGTGGGATACCATACACTTTGAGCCCGGCGTTCAGGTTGGTGATGTTGCCGACAGAGTTCCACCAATTTGACGAGGCGTGGATATCTTAGGAGGGGCTATCTCGCGGGATAAAATCAACACTTGGATCTGAGGGGAGGCTCTCCGGGTTTTAGGGGTATCAATTCCTCCTGGAGCGTTGGAATCAGCCCTGCGGATGGTGATTTGGCTCACTCAGCATTGTCATCTTGTGCTGCTCTTCCTCTCTTACCTCGCGTTTTCTTTTTTCTATCTGAAGCGCAGAAGAGCAAACAGTATAGCTCATTGCTATTCCTGGAGAGAAGAGAGAGCAAGAGAGCAAGAGGGAGAGATGGAGAGATGGAGAGGGCACGATGGTTTCTTTTCAAGTCTCATGGGAAACCACCGCTTAAAGTTCTTTGCCCTGTTTTTCGCCCCAGTGATCGCAGAATCGGGAGTTCATTAATCAGGAAGTACGGAATATCTATGGCTATCATTTCTAACTGCTCATTCTCTACTATCAAGCAAGAAAAATTGACAACATCGCTTGATGGAAGCCAGAAGCAAAAAGCAAAGTCGAGGCTTCAGCCCCCGATTTTGTAGATCCAGTGTAAGATGCTCTTCAGCACTTACACTTCTTCACCTGGTCGTAACTTGGCGGTGCATCAATCATGTTGGATGGGTCCTCCTCACTATCACCAACAAGGCCCCAAATTGAGACTTGGCGGTATCTGGTCACGCGATGGCTCGGCCCCTTCGCACACATTTTAAACCAATCTTTCAATTGTTTCCTATCCATAGTGGATACCCCAAACCCTCTGCTCTTCCGACAACATGCACATTCGAGCGTGCAATGTCCAACCCCAAGACTCCGTCCCGGAGATATCTCACGCTTCTGACAGCAACCACAAGCTCGTGCGCAGCACCCCTGTCGACCGATGCATTCCTCGACGAGCGCACGATGCATATACCACCGAGGATTCAATCGCCATAGTTTGAACGCTCGTAATTCGAAATCGTCCAAATTCGAGCGACAGTACCACCACTTCTGAGACAAGAGCCAAAATTGAATGTTTAAGGAACGCAGTCTCTCTGTGGGATTGCCTCCTGGTGCCGCGCATCCCTTTCTAATTGAAAGCTCTTCTTGGGCGATTTCTCGAAGCTCCTCTTCAGTGTCAAGAAGTATGCACGAGAATTTGGGATCGAAATCTATAGTGTTCTGTTGCCATTTTTGGTATCGATATCGCTGTAGCGCATTGATTCCTTTCTTTTCCAGCTGAACCTCTGCTCCGGGCTTTTCGCCACCTATCGGCTGAGACATCAGGTTTTGTTGGTGCTGAATTGCTGGTGCTTGGTATGTAATGGTCAATAGTCGGTGCTCGAGGTATTGCTAACATGAACGTTTTTGTTCGGAGTATCTGGAGACTTGGATTTCTTGTATCGAACCTCCGACACCTGATTGGGAAGGGAAAATAGCATGTCGGACCCCGTTCCTTGGTATGAGGGGGACCTCGATCCGAACCTTCGAAAGTTGGAAATACCTCTGAGGTCCTACAATCTGAGAAAAGTCATGCATCGTATAAAGAATGTGCACTGGGCATCGGTTGAAGCTGCCTACTTAAGTGATCCAAGCCATGCGCTTCACGATTCTTTGATAAACTTCGAACTTCTTTGCGTAATCAATGACTTTGGGTGAAAGACGACTTTGGATTCTTCAGATGAGGAACCTTGGATCGTCAATCGTCATAGTAAATGTTGAAGTGCTACTACTTCTAAAGTTACTACTTCTTAAGTTACGGGTCGGCAGTTAACTTGGCATGAGGTATCGTCAAATTCGTATGTACGCAAGTCCAGATCAAAAACATACTCAAAGAGCACAAGCTGAAAAAATATCAACATCAGACAAGCAGACATAATACAAAAATCATAATTTACGCATGAGCGCCACCACAGGTATCATAAATAGAAACAAACAGCCTAAAATCCCCCAGTAATCCCAAAAACCTAAACACCATTGAAGTATTATCAAGGCACTCAGACGGCCAGCCGTCGGTCCCAGCCATATAGACCAAATTCATCGGACTCCTCGATCTTCTCCTCGGGCATACCAAAAGCGTGGAACGGATCCAGGGTATTGATATCCTCGGGAAGGACACGAGCGTCGGCATAGGGCGCCAATGAATCATCCACGCTTCCCAGGCTCTCACTGGAGTAACTGAGGACACTCTGCGCGGTGTGTCCTTGTTGAGGGGCCAGGTCGCCACTGCTAGCAGACCAGGCTTCCGGTGAGAGGTCGTGCAGCTCGGGCTGAGGAATGTTCAAGGGTGCGTCGTTGGGCTTGCGGTTGTATTCTGCCGTGATGGAAGCAAAGGGACCAGGGTCCTCGCCGCATTCCTTGCCGCCGTAGATTCCAGTGAAGATGTTCGAGTAGCCGCGGTCCATGTCGCTTAGTACATATTCCCAATCGGCCATGGTAATGCCACTGGTAGCGGGGTCAGAGGGGGTAGAGCAGGACATGGAGCGATGGTGTTCGTATCCCATCTGGCCAGCTAGACGGGGGTCTGAGGTTCGATCAAGAGGAGAGTGGTATGGCGGGCCGGGGAGCTGATCGGATTGAGAAGGGGGTAAGCTGGTCCAACTGGGGGACCGGAGAGACTGGACTACATGAGGTGGAGTGGCACCGGAGATAGTGTTCCGGCGGGATTGAGGCGATGGGATTTGTTGGTGCTGCTGGTCGCGTACAGAGGAGACAAGCCGCGCTTGTGGGTCGGACGCATGTTTCTTGGGCGATTTGCTTGGCTTTTGCGCTGGCGCAATCATCTCCTGGGATGTCTGATGTTTGCCCATAGATGGTCGTCTTTCGGTGTGTAATGAAACCAGTGTGTTCGACAGTGTGCCGAACTCGGCAGCGGCAGCACTTGACTCCGCTCCAAGGTGCACCATGGCGGCGCCAAGTAGCTTCTGGGATTCCTTTGCCAGCTTGCTGTCGCGCTTGACTCCTAAAGTTTGCCACAGGAGTCCAAGTCCGGAGAGGAAGACCAGCTCCATCCGGTTGATGCTGAATGAAAGACACAATCGTCTCTCATCCAGCAAGTCAAGGATCTGAAGCATATGCTTTGAAGAGTCAGACAATGCCAAGACCGACGGAGAGCGAAGGCTGTCGTCGGCAAAGCAAACGGCCGGGCGGTGAATCAAAGAGCGAATGAGATAGTAGACAAGGGACTGTAACAAGGTCAGATTTGCGATTTTCGGTCATCACATGCTTTTACTTACCAGTAGCGGAGATCGGCTGCTTGTGACATTCGTGCTTGGCTTATCTTGACTGTATTCGAGACGAAGATGAGCGGGCAGATTGTGAAGCCAATCATCTAGTTGTCCAGATACTGAGCGGATCTTCGAGATATAAACATCATAGTAGGACTTTGAGGGATATAGGCCTTCCAAAGCTTTGTTCAAAATTCTCGCAGCACCAAACAGAGCGATGGCGCTAGAGATGCGAGTAGACTCGCCAGGGAGAGTAGGCAGGAATCCAGTCTCGGTGACATTTTCATCGTCCACATCGACCGGGTACTGGGCTTGGATATCCTCTTCGCGTAGAAGGACAGGCAAACCAGTGAACGCGGAGCAGAATCGATCCAGCACGTATTGAGACCAGAAAACCTTCTTGCGAGTCTCGTCCTCTAGAGGATTGGCTGGGCTTTCCTCATTTTCATGGAGTCCAAGTTGATGGCAGACATCAACTCCAAGAGCACGGTAGCGGAGTAACGTGCGATAGTCACCCTTCGTCATGCAGTAAATTTGGCCAAGAACAAAGCACTGCAGACTAGCAATCGATGTTTCACTTGACAAGGAGTCCAGAGTAGCCGACCAATTTTGTTCAAAGAAAGTAGGATCTTGACTGGTTCGTGGCATTGAAGAGAGAGCTGCAATGCCAAAGATCAGATTTAACTGTGCCATAACATGAACATTGCGCTGTAGACTCTCTGCATTGTTGAGATATTGCTCATAGGCCTTCAAGATAGTCGGGCGATGTACCACGGGGTACAGTGGCGCCCATTCTTGAAAGAAGATGTTAATCAGCTGATCCGACACCAAGCGGGGTGGCGTTTTCACAGCCTGGTTCGGTGCACCCTGAGATACCGAGGGAGGCAAAGCGGTGAGTGCTTCGGTGGATATTTTGGCCACGGATTTCCCTTCGCGGACAAGCTTATCATTGAACACATCTGCGTATTCACATAAGCTTCGGTGTTGTATTACTAGGGAGAAAATAAGACATACCTGCAAAGCCTTTGGTGCTAGAGAACCCGGTAAAAGGGTTCTGGGATTGCCGGGACTTCCGGTTAGAGGATCTCTCCACATGAATAACACCCTCCGATGACTCCGAACTGCTCGATTTTGCCGTCGCAGAGGCCGAGGGAGACCGGGCACAAGCGGTTCGTTGTGAGGGTGGTGAAAACGAATGTATCCGGGATAAAACGTCGATCTTTTCGTCCTTCTCGTCCAATAGATCCTTCAAGTCCTTGACCTCAGTCTCCAGACTACGGACTCGCTCTTCTAACGATTCGGTATATCCTCTAGGGAATGCTCGGCGACTCAGTTTGTCGCTCGTACGGCACTCGAAGCCAACGTTGGCGCATTGCGAACAACAAGGTCGGACCCCGTCGCAGCGGATCTTTTTGCTTCGGCATCGGTCACAGGCTTGGGCGATGCGGCTCGACGTACCAGTGCCGCCGACCTTGATCACTTTCATGGGCAAGATACCAGGCATGTTGGACAGATGGGGCACACGGGCCGCCTGGTGTGTAATTTGGGCTGTAGCGTCTGAACTGTCCAATATAAGGGCAATTCTTGTCGAACTTGTATAGAAGGACAGATGTATGAAGAAAGAGGCCTAAAGCATGGGGGGGAAAGATGGGGAACACGCCAATGCTGAGTCAGGTGGGGCTGCTGACCATCGTCTGCGCCAATAAACTCCGCGGTTGTATTGGATGGCGGGATTCTCGTCTTTTTTTATTTTTTATTACTTCGTACCAAGGCGCGTTAGAGTGTTCATTACCCCGTACTCCTCCGGAAGCGGTTTCTTGTTTGCCCCGGATTCTTCCTGCATATCGACATTCCGACAATCTGACGGGATCCCCACTGACCTTGAGCCCCTGAGATGCGGAAAAATCACCCTGAGATGCGGAGCCGTACACACATGGTCTATCCCTATCGACGGTAATATTTGTACTCTTTACACCTGTGCGTTTCATTGTCACCTGGACGGAAATAGAGTGCAAGTATCCAGATCGGTTGCGGCAGTTGGTTTACTCCACTCCCGAGGTCCTCGAGGCGCATATCTTGCTTCGCTGGTAGGACGATCTAGGTCCGATCATCGGCCTCATCCATGGTTTGAGAAATGTGTCCGTCATGTTTCCAACCCAATATCTGGGGGACATGGGATTAGAATTAGAGCTTGCACAACAACATTTGAAAGTCAAGTACTTGATACGACCCTGTACTCCACTTCACTACCCGTTTTCTGAAGTCATGTGGATTTAATTGAATTCTATTTCCTCTGACATTCCTACGAAAGCCGAGAAATCCCCAGGTTTTCCCAGAGTTTAAATCCGCGGTGAAGCAACATCTACTTCAGAGTGGCGACCCCAACCGTTCACGGAAGTATGGGGAAATTCAATTATTGATGTATGTACTCGGAACAAACCCTGGTTCGGCCTATTAAGAAAGAGAATTAGTGAGATGGAGAAGGCAACCCATTATTCAAGTCACTATATCGGGCGAGAAGAGCGGCAATTCAAAGAAATTGGTCTTCAGCGAGTTTTGACCGAGAGATATGCGAACCGTGGGACTGCGATTTGCAGTATCTCCACTCTACCTTAGCCTGTTTGGGAGTGACTCCACCCAATCTTGGGCACTCGTATACAGTCTACAAGTAGTACTTAGGTTCGGAGTGCTTGGTCCCCTTGTTTAGAGTACCATCTACCGAACAGAAAACTCCAAAACCATGGTCTGGCCGACCATCGGAATGCCTTGTCCTGCTTTCCCCGCATGCGCTTCCGACCCTGCAGATCATCGTGTGCACGACTCGATGATTGACATCCAACGTCATACTTAAGTAGTCCCGGGCTAGTGAATTTCTAAAGTTAACTCTCTCTCTCCCTACGAGTAGTAGCGAAGATCAAAACTCGACCCGCTAGCCATTGTGGCGCCTCAAGTTGAATAATATAATGTACTACAATGGATATACTTAGATACATACTTCTAAAGTCCCTACAAGATAGCTATGAGGAATGGACTGGTTTTTGGGGTGATCTGGCGGGGATCTCTAGCTTGATACAGTGCGCCGCAGACTTAGTGGGCTCTAGGTGGGGACAGATATATTCTAATGTTTCATACACACACAGTATGCATCCAGACTGGTGTACACACAAAGTACGTGGCTATCTAGACTGTTCGGATCTTCATATCCCTGGTAATACGTCCCTGACATCACGAAAAGTCTTCCACTTCATCCGTATCTACTGTTTGCGACCGAAAATAGATGGCTACGGTTTCGGATGCCAGCAACTCAGTCCTCTGGTGCCGTGGTTAGTGAGGTCCAGATGTACTGAAGTTGGAGACAAGGCTGTTAGGATCTCTCTTACCTGTTTGATCAGATCCTCAATGGCCTTCTCCAAGAGCTCCCCCTCCATGTTTCGGAAGCGGAAAATTGTCTCAAATATAGTAGGTCGAAACATGGACTCTAGGGCTACAGGGTCCTCCCTGATTTTCGCCATGGGTTCCTGCAGCTCCTGAAGAAGAGAGAGCTGGGTCTCAAGCCGTTCAAGAAGCAACACCGCGGCTCGAAGCTGGATAATCTCCCACAGGGGATCGGCACTCAGGACCTCGTGAAGATGACCTGGGGATTGCATCTTTTCATCTTTCCACCTGACTTCCAGCTCCTTGCCCCCATCGGTAGTTTGTGCAAGCCCAAAGTGCAGTCCATCTTCCTCGTTCACACATGCTATCCAAGCAAGGGCGCTCTTCCAGGTCACTTCCTGCGCATCCTCGGGGCTCCGGGCTGCGAGGATCCGGATGCCAGTGTCATTTTGGCAGAATATTCTCTTTGGAAGACCCAGGGGGTCATCTTCTGGGATTTCGAGATTTAATGATATCTCACGTGCTTCGGTCCGGCCGTCCTCCAGGAATCCATATGAGAACAACATTTCTGAAGCGGGTTTCTCATCACCATAACTATTACTATGTCAGCCATGTGGGCGGCTCCGGGGCAAATTGACAGCACGCGCATGCAAACTCACGAAATCGTAATCTCATCCCCAGGTTGTAGAGTTTTGCCCCATCGCAATTGAAGGATTGCACTCCCCTGGGAGTCCTCTTCATAAAGCGCTTTGACACCATCCCCGGAGGTGTGATTGGCCATGTCAACGCAGGGGACCATTGCAAGACCGCTGCCAGGTAGATCAAGCATGCGCGAGCGATAAGCTGCATCGATATACTTCCAGTCGTCAATCGTCAGCGCACCTGTCTCCTCAATCCACCATAGTTGCTGACACCAAGGAATTGACTTTGTAGCCTCTCGAATGTTGTCGAACTCTCTTTCAAGGGAGACATTTTTGGCCTCAAGTGCATCTGCCATCGATGTTCCACGAAGCAGGTCCTGTTCTTGGGCAGTGTAGAAGGTAGGCAAGGGAAACGACGGCGGCAGGAATTTGACGTATTCGGTCCAAGGATTAGAAACCCCAACAATTTGCTTCGATCGGTAGTCGGGGCAGTTATGCGACAACTGAATCAATAGGAATATCAAGATTGCGCCTCTCGCTGTCTGCGCATCTTAGTCGGGGATCCCATCATTCAGGTGCGTGCAACACATACTCTTCCGAAATCACCCATCGGTTCCAGAACATCACGCAAGTCCCGATCGGACTTCGCATAGTTCTGCACGGTCTCCAGAGAGAGAACTAAATCACCCGGTATTTGGAGCAGAATTTCGGGCTTCGGATCGCTTTCGCTGCTGGATTTGGGTTCGGTTGCAACAATTCCACTGCCCTTATCGGCACCATGTTCATCGAAACCGAGTTTTTGAAATGAGACACCTGACAAGACGACTCCATTAAGGTGCTGCCAAGCTGGCAGGGTTTCGATTGGGAGATATTCGCGTTTCATTGTGCATTGAATTGGATTTGTGAGCTTGAGTGAAATGCCGCGATGACGATTCGTTTATCGATAAGCCGCTTATCGATAACAAAACAATAACTTTGGAAGGCGCGAATATTAGGGGTCCGGATACGGGCGCACAGAATGGATGAATAATCAGGTCACATGATCTCAGAACTTCAAATTATCAAGTCTACCCCACTTGCGGAGAGGTCACAGGGCCCCCCCTCCCGGGGGCAATTACCCCCTAGCAGCCCCCCGGAGGTGATCTACCGGCTTGCCCCCGCCGGGGGGAGTTCTTGATCAATTGAACCTTCCAGACCCCCCAATATGTGCAAAGGGTGCTTGCAATTGGGGCATGGCCGGAGGCCATGCCCTATGAGGTCTAATTAATTACGATATACTGGGGGTGCGTCGGGGTGAGATCTGTCAAATAGAGGGGGGCAGGGGGGAAATTTGGGGGGAGATTTGGGGGGAGATTTGGGGGGAGATTTGGGGGGAGATTTGGGGGGAGATCTGGGGGGGGGATTTGGGGGGGATTTGCCCCGGGGGAGCTGCTGTTGGGGGGTAGTATATAGGGAGCTTAGGGTTATGATCAATAATGAGAACTTCTGAGATCATGTGACCTGATTATTCATCCATTCTGTGCGCGCGGCTTACAAATTCTGTGCGCATCCGGACCCGAATATTAGCGGCCATGGCGGACAGTAATACACAGTGTGCACCCTGTACTCCGTAGTTTTACTTCGCTTTTGTTGAAGACAGATGAATAGATATACGAAGTACCAGTTGAGTGGTGGGATCCAGCCCCAGCCCCAGGCCCGGAGCCAGGTGTGAGGCAAATGTATAAATTTCAACCCACGAGGGAGCGGCTGATGTGCATTCTAGGAACTTTGGAAGTAACACTGGAGATTTCCTATTCTCAACAACGGCATTGCATACGACAAGGACAGCCCACATGGCGAAGGCCTATTCATCTCTATTTGCCTCGAGCGCGTTTAGCCAGGCTCCTTATGCCTCTATATGCCATGATAATGCCCATGATCATAAAGACGTCATCACTAACCAACCTGCCCAGGTGATGTGGCGGAAAGTATAGCCAATTAATACAACTACATTTTCAATATCCATAAAATATGCCCATTGGCATTATTTGTTCCTCAAAGCTTTACAATATGTCGATCGCACGACTACCTTATCGCCGCATACTACCGTTGCCATCCACGCAGCCGGTGCTCCGTGGAACAAGTGTTCGGCATTATGCTATCTTCAAGGACTGGAAGGGAAACGAGGAGCACACAGCTGAGCGGTCCAAGAAGGGCGATACTACGGACGTACACGCGGAAGCGTCGGCATCGGGAATGAAAGAAAGGGAAACCAACGAAGGTGTTGCGGATGGCACAAAGTCCCAGGGGACAACGGAGAGAGGTGGCACAAAGTACTCCAGCAAGGCCAAAAAAGAGAACCCAAAAGCGCCAGAGCCGATTATTGGGATGAATGACGAGCGAGGAAAGGCGAGTGAACACAACTCTGTGCGCGGCTATATGCCTTCCCAATTTGCTAACTGCGCCCTGGCTTTGCAGAAAGGAGATTGAGATTGGATGTGTCTCAAATTCATGATACTTATGGGTTTTTTTTTCGTGTGGAGCATAATTCTATGGATCTCGAGGTCTGATATGAATAGGTGATAGACAGTCATCAGGCATTTCCATTGCTCATGTCATTTCATGGCAGAGACTGTACATAAATGGATTGGTCTAACGACCGACCTTGAAGGAGAGAATCTGCAAAGCTTTGTCAATAACAGTGTTTGGAGCCAATATGAGCCATGCACTTACATCGTGTTTCCCAACTGCCACAATATCTTCCTCGGCAACTCGTGTTCCACCAACACCCTCGATGTAGTTGATAGGTACATCGCCCATCACCTTTCGGGCAACATCGCCAACGGTACTATTTCTGTGGGAGGTCAGACAAGTTCGATCAGCTTCATGAAAGGGGGGCTTACTTCTTCACTAGAACACAGTCACGGAACGCGGCGGTTCCATTTCCAGAGTTGAAAGTCTGGACATTACGAACTGGGAAGACGGGCACAAGGCCCAACAGCTCTGCGGCCCGGGAAAGGCACTGCACAACTCCAGTGGATCCGAAACGGTAGAGCACCATATCTTTCAGGTTCTCAACCCGGCTGTTTGGTACAACTGGTCAGCGATGGAGTGAAGTGCAGATGAGTTGAAACGTACGTTTTCAGTTTTTCGTCCATCTCTTTAAGGCCTCCTCCTGTGGGGTCACCCATTTCAATCAAGTCTTCTCGCATGTCGACAAACTCGCTGCCTTCGACATATTTGATATACTCTTGTTTTGCTAGTCGCCGGAGGAAGACCTCAGATATAGCGGAGCATAGCACAATGCTTTGTGGGTCTTGCATCTTGGCAATTTTGCTGACGTTCTAGTATGTCTGTCAGCACAACCCCCCGGGTCTCCGTCGCGCATCCTCGTACCTTGTCGGCGTCTGGGTGATCGATCTTGTTCAGAGCGAATACTGTGGGGAATTTCTCGTCAATAAAGGCATTGACAACGGCCTCTACTGTTTCGTCTGTCCACTCTTCCAAAGGCTGCTTGATGGCAAGCTTATCCATAAAGCGGGCTACCGTCTGCTGGGTACTTCCATAACCAGCGAATTGTTTTTGCAGTGTGTCGATAGGATTTGCCTCTGTACAGCTGTCAGTTGTGCTGTCATAGAACTGCCGCATGCAACTTACTCAGTGCCATGTGTCTCCTCTTGATAGATCCCCTTCGATATGAAAATCAGCTTTGGTTTTCATTTGGCCTCCACATTGTCAACATACCACTTTTCCATCAGGTTTCCTAGAACCCATCGCACGATCTCTCCGCGCAACCACTCAATATCCACCGAGGGATCGTAGCCTCGGGTGGCCTTTCCTGCATGCCCATTAATGCCAGCCCTGTGGTATTGTGCGCGGATTCCACTAACCTTCGGCATCCGTAGTTCCACTCACGTCCACCACGTGAATCAAAGCATCGGCCTGACGTAGGTCATCCAAGAACTTGTTTCCCAGACCACGGCCCTGGTGCGCACCAGGTACGAGACCAGCGACATCCAGCAGCTCAATGGGCACAGAGCGCCGTCCTTCATGGCATCCGCCGTAATTGGGCAAGCAGCGATCTGAAACATTGTATCGCTGACATGGGCAGTCGATTTGAAGATATCCAATGGCTCGTTGGGGGTCAATGGTTGTGAAGCTGCATAGGGTTAACTCGGTCTGCGCGGTCTTCGATAAGGCGGGACGTTTCGGCGCAATCGCGACACATACGGGAAGTTTCCTGGAATTCGCGCTTGTTAGCCCCCGAAAAGACTTGAGGTCTTGTAACTGGTACACTCACCGACTTTGGAAGTCGCATCAGTCAAACTGTTCAGTGTTGTGGACTTTCCACTCGATGGCTATATGCCCCTCGCATGATCAGTGGGGTGATCAGGATAATGGAGGAAGGGTAGCCTACCTTTCCAACCAGTCCAATCAACGGATCTCGAGGCATATTGAGGATTCAGGTGTTTCAGATCGAATTGATTCTCGGGAATAACCTTGCGATCAATTCTACCAAGTCTTTCCTGGGCTTGTCGACTCTTCGATAAGAAACATTTTCTGCCGCGCCAAGATGGTAGGCGGTAACGCCTGGTGCATGCTGCGATGCCAATTTGGGACCCCGCCGTAATGTTTCAACTTTACTATCAACTGGTCGGCGTTGGTCCCTGATACGGCTACCCAATTGTCACGACTAGTGAATTCACGCTGCCTTTGGCTCTAGGTTAAGAAGAACATTCCAGGTATACTATACTGTTGCGTATGACTTTTTGTCTCAACACCACACTAGTGCTATTCCCGCATTTTAATGCACACAGTACCACTTCTGACAGAAGATGAGCTCTGGTGTTTGCAATGTTCTTTACATTTTCCCCCATACTTAAGAGTTGTCTTCTTTGGGTTGCTTCCGGGGCTATTCAGTATCTCCGATTACAGTCGAACTATGTAGAAAGGTCGGGAAAGAAATGAACACATCGATGTCCTTGGAGATCCTGCATGGTATTTGCTCGAAATAACCAGTCAAGCTGGAGTAGTGCCTCAATCACATATGACGCCAGTTTTCAAGTGATCTGCCAAGTTGAATGTTCAATCCTACAGTCAAAAAGGTGCGAATGTTGGTTGCGGTGGGGAGTCCTATCCATGGCCTGGATGCCAACATGTCGTCATAACGTCAACGTCACATTTGCCTTGCCATCGAATGTCGATACATATATAAATCACCAATTGCCTTCAGTATAGAACCTAAATTATAATTGATTCAATCCATTCAATTCCAATTGCATACACCTTCGCCTCCTACACCAATCCTCCACTACCTCCACGACAATTCTACATCATGTCTGACTCTACCTTCCACACCACTGCTCAGGACCTTCGCAAGGCCGAGTCCAAGTTGGCTCAATCCCACGGTGGCAAGCCCCCCGCGAACTCTGATGTCTCTCAAATGAAGGTGAGTCAATGAGTAATGACGAAGTAAAATCATTGACTAATACAAATTGCCAGTCTGTTATCGATCAAAACACCAACAAGCCCGCCGAAGTTGAGAAGACCAAGTCTAACTTGCCTCTGCCCGAAGACCCTCCTGTTGCTAGCGACTGGAACTCTATGGACCAGCGCACCACTGCTGTTGGCTCTGGACGCTTCGAGTTCCCTCCTGACAACAGCGGTTTGCGCGAAGGCGCTGCTGCCAGCAGCAGTGCTCGTGTTGATGGCAACGTGCTGCACACCAACACTGTTCCCGGCAACTCTGTTGACCCCCAGGCTACTGCCTCTCACGCTGCGAACCACTAAGATGTGTATATGAGTTATGAATACCTGTATGATATGATTACATTTTTGAAATCATTATGAGCGATTGAATGAATTTTCAAAACTTCAACCTGACATAAGTACTATCTATGGTTCCGTAAATTAAACACAGTATCTTGAATACCTTATATTCGCTCCGTACATATGCCATTGTAGAGGTATTATACTTAATCGGGAAGGGCAGCCGGAAAGTGCAGATGTCTTAGCTCTATGACTTCATCCACCTCGTAGACTTGGCAGGGTCCGTATGCAGTTGTACGAGGACCTCCTGAAGTCATTCCAGAGTCAGAATTTAGATGTTTATGAGCGTGTCCTGGAGAAAATTCCATCAAAGAAAATTCAGGTAAAAAGGAATCGAAGAGTTGCACATCAATGGAGTAGTTAGGGCAACCTCGAAACCTTCGAAGTATACTCCGTTCTCTGGAGTGAACGTGAAGATGTTTGCACTGTTTACAATAAAACCATAACCTGACGTCAATTTTCCTTTTGCCTCCCTTTTTTTCTTTCTTGTTGTAACATCGCCCCAGATGCTCATGGATGATCTCAGTCGACAGAAATCTGGACAAGCATGTGGGGACTGATCATCTTCTGGAAGCAAGATCACAGCGAGGGACCTTTGGCCCACTTTTCCCCTTGATCGGTATCTCCAACCGCCAAACAGAATGCTCTGATATGTCGGTTGACGTGACTGCGACTTCTTAACAAAATTGGACTTGAGCATATCTTGCAACCGTTGTCATTGAACGTAAGTATGACATCAGAAATCTGCAATATGCGATGACTTTCTACCAGAGCTTGAATGTCGACATCGGGTTTGAAGGTCGCCGCTGGCAACTTTAGAAGGGTATATAGGTCTGCCATCGCGACCGACGAAGATAGCTATCATAAAAATTTACTTTAACATCTCAAGAACCACCTCCTTCTTACAACCAAAGTTCAAACCACTTTCCGCATCTCAATACCACTATGGATCTCCAAGGCACTCCCCTTCCCCATGGCGCTCGCAGCACCAAGGTTACCACCGACCCTCGCTCCCAGCAGCCCATCGAAGAGCCTTCTGGTCCCATCACCAATGACTCTCTTGCTGCAGAGTCCGTCCGCCACGGCGGTGCCTTCTCTGGCAACCGTGGCGCCGAGCCCATAGGTGTGTCTGGCAACCAGTCTACTGTAAACAACACCGACACTTCCTCCGCCACTACCCTTCCTTCGGTCCCCGTTGGAGGCCTCCGCGAGGACCGCGAGAGCCAGCAGAAGTACCCCGAGGCCCTCGGCGGTCAGGGTAACTTCCCTGGCGCCCACCTGTCCCAGTCTGGCTACACTGGTGGTCCAACTGCCGCCAAGAAAGAAATGGGCATCAACGCTGGCGAGTACTCTACCGCCAGCGGCAGTGGCAACAGCCAGTACAACGCTGGCCAAGCTCCTTCCTATGTGAGCGACGTGACTGGTGACATTCAGCACCCCAAGCCTGATGGCCGCAACATCCACGAGGGTGGCTTCCACTCCAATGACGCAAAGAACGCCAGCTTCAACGCCGAGATTGGCTCTGATCAGGACCCTGGTCGTGAGGCTATCAACCAGTTCCAGCGCAGCAATGCCCACACTGCCAACGACTCCGGCCGTGCTGACGAGCAGAAGCCCAATGCCCGGACCCCCTACGAGCACTTGGAGCAGGACCAGCGTGCCTAAAAGTTGAATTACCAATTCGCTTCGTTTTTGTTTTCTACTAGATATTTGGTTTGGAAGTTTCAAGCGAGCGTGCCTTTGCCCAGTTCAGCCTGGGGCTGAGATTACGATGAATTAATGGTTTATGAATGCATTTGCTACAACTATGTACGATAGCACACAAATAACCTTGGAATCTCCATTTTGAATCATCGCGCCATGTGCCATAGCATGTATCAACAATATATTAACTATTATATTTCATCAATGGGGTTTAAATGTACTGACAGCCTTAGTACCACCGGCCAGCTATGACCTTGGGATGAACTGAGCACATTCCCGGGCAAGGGTAGATTAGAAGATTCGATAGTCATCGTCATCGGATTCAGAATCAACGTCCGAATCCCCAGGCCGATGATGCACGGGCTCAGATTCATTTGCCACCAGATTTCTATCTGAAGGAATGGCAACCACTGAGATCGGTATCTTTGCCAGCTCGTCCAGTTCCACGCTTTGTTCTTCGTCACCTCGTGCATCACCGATATCGGCTTGGCGACGTCTAATCCATATATAGTTGCCCAATTCCACCAATCCAATCGTGATGATAGCGATCCAAACCAACACCAAGAGGATAATCACGGTTGTGACCACCCCAGGAAAAGGATAAATCGCCAGGCTGGACAAGTTGAGCCTCAGCGTCGGAATTGAGATGCGATACGCAAAGAAAGAGACAGTGTGTCCAGAGGAAGAGGCCGAGAAAGCCATTGATGTTGTGTCACCGTGCTCCTGGTGAATGGCATTCTTGATATGCATGTTCCTTAGGAACTCATTGTATCGGTTTTGTCTATCAGAGGCAATGGCGTTGGTTGAAATCCCCTCAAGTTCTGAGTTGGGCCCTGATTCAAAGTTCATGTATTCCGAATAGTGCTTGTGTAGTTTATCGGTGGTCGGTAATAAGACAGACACTACTGGAACAGCGGGGATTGCAGGTGGAGGGGTCCCTTTTGTATAGGAATGATTCGGTCCCACTCGCTCTGTTGCTTCGTTATCATGACTTGTGGGCCGCCATGTTGGGTTCTGGATCTGGCGCAGATATGTTAGAATTGAATCGGCGACATCAAATCAAATGACAAGCTCGGATATGCCGATACTAACATGATTGTGATTGACATGTGATGGGCTTGGGAAGAAGCTTTGGGATTCTTTCTCTAATGTTTTCCATGTCCCAAGGGAATTGAGATTCTCAAATGGGTCTGGTTTGATCCATTTGTTGGGTTTAATAGGTTGAGAGGTCACCGAATGAATGAAGGTCAGGATAAGCAACGTAAATAAGAAATGCGATGGGCGAGTATCAATATGCATGGTGTGAGGCAGCCAAGTAAATAATGAGTGGAACGGCTTCGATTATTACACCAGTGTGCGCAAGTCCTGGAGGAAATGGATCTTACAACAGATAATGAGCAAGTCCACATACTCTTATAACATACTCACCAATGGCCCTGGAGAACACGGGAACAAATAACCGCAAGGGCCGTCCCTGGTGATCAAGGATGAAGACCAATGAACCATCCCATTCTCAGATTGGGCGCCTGGAACCGAATGTGTTCCTGAATCTAGGCACAAACTAGAAGATCCGGGAGTTTAAAGTCGGGTTAATTCAAACCTGTCAGCTCTGTCATTGGCTCGATTAGATCTCTGCTGCGCTTTGGGGTATGTACTCTATCCCTTGTTTCGCTTCAAGGTCGAAGGGTGTACGGGGGAGGGATTGATCATATTGATCGACTGGAATGATAACGCCACTGTGAGAATAGTCTCATGCAAGGATCCCCGCCCAGGATCTAATTCTCTACTCGTGTTCAATGTGGTTGTCTTTTTGACCCCCACCCCGTTAACAATGGGGCTTGCAATTTGCTACATTGAACAATCCCGCTCTGCATGCGACTCGTGACTATTGAGAGCACTGACAGGTACTGACTAGTTAATTACGGGTGCCGCGATACTCTGGACACGAGATCTTACTGCAAGGCTCTGTGCTCCCGGGCGCATGATCCGGGGGTATCCCGCTGCCAGCGATCAAAGCTGCACCTATCCTGCAAATCGATCCAACGAGGTTCATGCAGGTGTCATATAACGATGGGGGCACCCTGGCCATTGCTAAACATGCCTTGGTGATTATACTTGAAGATTATTGAGTCTGATGAGGTTGGTGATATCTCATTGAAATTCTTGCCTTTTTCGTACACCATTGAAATAACGCCGAGTTGCAACTGAAAGAGCAAATATGAAAAGATACCCATAGGCCGGACCCCAAAAGACATGCACCATCTTACCAGACGGCACTTTAAACCTGTACAACCATTGAGCCCACTGGGTTTGATGAACGTGGGAAGAGCAAACAACAAAAGGTAAAAGAGACAAGCCAAGCACATTTTTAGACTGTCAGCTTGCTCTGCTCTTTCTGGGTCAGACCAGCAAGCTCCTCGAACACCTTGGTGAACTCCTCATCGTCTTCCTTCTTGCCCTTGGCGGCCTTGGGGGTAACCATGACCACACTGGTGGGGCGCTTGGTGGCAGCGGAAGCACCGAGCTCGGCGCGGGAGGTAACGAAGACGTAGGGAATACCGTGATCCTCGCACAGGACGGGAATGTGAGAGATGACGTCCATGGGGGAGATATCGGCAGCGAGAACGACGACACCGTTGGGGACGCCAATGGGAGCGTTGGCTGCGGGGATAGCGGACTTGCGGAGAGCCTTAACGACTTCCTTGACACCACGCTTGAGGGACTTGTTGACGGCGGCTAGAAATTTGGATGTCAGCGGGGATGTACGAAGAGGGAGGGAAAAAAAAAAAGCTGCGCATAGCAATTGATGGGCCTGGACAGGAGTGAACCAGCCGAGCCCACATACGTCGAGTCGCTCGCGTGAATATAATAGACATACCCTTCTTGACGCTCTTCAGGACCTTCTTGGCCTGCTTGTCCTCAACCAATGGGTTGGCGAAGGGCACGACGGCGCCAACGGGGCGGTCGACGGCCTCGACCTCGATTTCGCCCTTGACGGCAACGGCACCAGTCTCCTCGAGACCTTCCATGACATCGTCACCGACTTCCTTGGCCACAGCATCGGCGAGAACGGTCTTGTCCTTCTTTTCCTTCTTTTCCTTCTTGACCTTGTGCACACCGTCCTTCTCCGCACGCTTCTCCTTCTTCTCGGCGCGGTCCTTCTTTTCGACCTTGTCCTTGCCCATTGTGAAGATTATTTGTAATTAAACGGGATTTGTTGAGTAAAACCGAACGAGGGACGGTGGAAATAAGGGAGGATTCGCGGGTGAGGTGGTGAACTGAGAATTTGATGCCGAAATCGAAATAATTTTTAAAACCGCGCTAGCCTCTTTCGGCGAGCACTGACTGATGACTAAGGCATTTAATCGACTTACGTAATACATATTTTGGCGTCTTCTCCGCCCTGCCGCATTTACATCTTTCCCTTTGAGACCTGAGACAGCTTTCTGGGCCAATTTGCGCAGCATCTGTTGCTGCATGGCCCTATCGACCAGCATATTTGCAAGACTTGATTGTGTCTGACCCTCACCGTGAGTTTAAATGGCCACAATTCTCCTTTGGCGCAATGATTAACTCTCCCGCTCCTAATAGATGGACCACAGTCAAAACAGCAGACCGGTTTCGCAGCTTATCGCGGGCTTTGCCTCCCCCTCGACACCGTCGGGTTCCAGAAACAGCCTGCGCCACTCCAATGGCATGCGACAGTCATCTCGCTTGATGCAATCTCAAGTGCAGTCCTATCAGCCTGCTCATGGTAAGGCTGTACCCATATCCGCCCGCGAATTCCGTGACAAAACGACTAACAAGCTGCCCAGATACCGAGAAAGAGGAACTACGCGTACAACTGAGTACTCTCAAATATGAACTGGAGAACGTCAAGCAGGAACGAGAACTTGAGGCCCTCCGGCACGAGAAAGAACTCCGAGATCTACAACTGAAAGCCGATGCGGACTTTAGAAAGGCCCAAGTAAGTCCTTACAATCGGAATGTTGACTTTAATTAGATCGAACTAACAATTCTTTGTTTGCAGACCGCCGAAGCTTCTAGTAACCGCGCCAACCATAAAAGTGATTCCTTGGCAAAAGAATTGAAAGAGTTCCAAGATCAAGCTTTGAATGAGAAACTCGGATTTGAAAGAAAAATCAGGGGCCTTCAGGATGAGAACCAGAACTTGCAAGAAGAGTTCAACGACAACCAAGCACAGCTCTCTGACCAAGAACGACAATTCAAATACCAGATTAATGAGCTGGAAACAGTCCGGGCATCTTTGCAGAAGACCATCGAGGAATTCCAGACCGACTTACAGAATGCCAGAACATTGCATGAATCGACTCAGTCAAAATTGACTCAACGTGAAGCCGAGGTTGCTGAGCTTGAAGCTGAGAATATTCGGTTGAAGGCCGAAGGAACCGACGCCGAGGCTCTCACGGTGCTCAAGAGAGAACTCTCCGAACAAGTGAACCACATTCGGGATCTGGAAACGGCAAACCGTGATCAAACTGCTGAGTTACGCCATCTTCGCAAAGTCTCCAAAAATGTCGAGGTCGTGGAAGAGCAAAAGAAGTCCGTAGAAAACCAGCTCCAGCTGATGAAGGGCGCTGAGGCTGAGCTTCAGACTCTTCAAATTCAAAAACAGATTTTGGAAGATGAGCGTGCCTCCTGGGGCACTCTGCTACAGGACAATGATCAACCTGCAGAGTTTGACTCACCGGATGCCATCGTTCGGGCACTGGTTGAAAGTCGCATCGAAATTGCCACACTCACGGATCGTCTTGGCAGTGTCGACGCTAATATCCTTGAGAAGGATGAAGCTATCAAGAGCCTCGAAAGCGCTAAAATTGCCCTACGACAGGAACTTGAGAACCTCCGGGCAGCAGGAACAGCGTCTGTTGGAGGTCCGGGTGCCGCGGATGTCAAATTACGAGCTCGATTGGAACGACAGCGCGCATTGGCCGTGAAAGAAGTTGAATACTTGCGTGATCAATTGAAAACCTTTGACGCCGAAGAGGTCACAATGAACGGCGACCAGGTGCAATTTGATGAGCAAAAGTCCTTGCAAATCACTCAACTTCAGAGCCTAGTCGATGAATATCGCGTCGAAATTCGGAATCTTCACGACCAGCTGTCCAAGCAAGAGGAGCCGAAGCAGGAGCAGCCCAAACCACAGGGTATCAAACGGCCTCTGTCTCCTGCCGACAGCGAAGCTGAAAGTGAGCGCCTCGCCGTTCTCAGCCGCAAAAACCGTAAACTCCAAGAAAGCATGACGAAATATGAACAAGCCGCCACTCTCGCACGCCGGGAGCTCGAGGCTGCCAAGTCCCAGATCAAATCACTCAAGTCCAAGTCACGAACTCGCGTCCTTGAGCTGCGTGATAATCCGACAGCCCAGATCGAGCAAATCAAGATGGCAACTCTGACCACTCTCCAGTCTGAGAACCGTGATCTTCTCGCACAGCTGCGCGGCGAAAAGGTGAATGCCAAGGTTGTTTCCGTCAATGCCGTCGACAGCATTAAACTCGAGATGCAAAGTATGGAGCGCGATGTTGCAGACAAGGAGAAACGAATGCGACGACTCAAAGAAATTTGGACTGCGAAGTCGTCTGAGTTCCGTGAAGCTGTGGCCTCCCTTCTTGGTTTCAAGCTCGATTTCCTCCCCAATGGTCGAGTGCGTGTCACTTCCATGTTCCACCTTTCCCCGGCATACAGACATGGTGACAGCGATGCGCCATCCGACTCCGGCCCTGGGAGCATGGGCAACGGCGAAGAGAACTCCATTGTGTTTGATGGAGAGAATGGTACGATGAAGATTTCGGGTGGTCCCAACAGTCTGTTTGCCATGGAGATTAAACCTCTGATCAAATTCTGGGTCGAGGAACGGAGGGATATTCCCTGTTTCCTAGCGGCCATGACTTTGGACCTATTCGATAAGTCAACCCGTGCAGCCAGGACTTGAATGTCAAGGATATTGACACGCTTTCTGCCCACTCCCCCCCCCTTCGATCTCCCTCTATCACTGTGATTCCCCAGCACAACCTGACCTGTGCTATGTTTTATTTGATTTCATTTTATTTTTACTGCTGAATATGAACCCCCCTTGGCATCTAGAGATTGATCAACATGAAACTTAACCTAGTAGGGTCACCAAGGTGATAAAGCCATTGTAACTCTCTATACTTCTTTGGTATCAATGAAGGAAACTAGCATGCTCCCTGAGGCTCAGATGCCCGGAAGGATATCCAAGGCTTCAGAGGTTACTTTCTACACTAGGTCCTACACGCTACGCGCTACACCGCGGAGGGAAAGAGACATGAGGGTAAACACAACAGCATCAGACCACACTCTACAAATGTATTTCATGGGTAGCTACGCAGGATCAGTTGTAAGTTTCGGGATCTCTCCCTACCGCCTCACCTGCTCGCCGACTCGCATGAGACTGGGAGGTTTGATCTTGACCACAAGCACTCGAACCCTTTGGCCAAGGATCCAAGTGCGGGTGTCTGTGACCCGCGATGGAAGGGAGACTACGGCCGACCCAAGGGGGATTTGTTGGGGGAGAGAGAGAAGAGAGAAGAAGAGAAAGGGAGGAGAGGAGGTATTTATACCCAAGAGCATAGGTGGTTTCCTAATTGGGAAGGACCAGCACTATGCACTTCACCTGACTTCACTTCAATGAGATACCTACCTAGGCACTTTGATTGTTGCAGCCTCGGACATTGGAAAGTGTTCAATTTTGCCGGCCCAAGTGATAGACTCAATGTACGGAGTATGCAAAATAGACTAACCAGTTTCCATTCCATTAGATATCCCCCTCTAAACAAAATGAAAGCCCCCAGATGAACAGACACGGGGCTGACGGGAGCGCATATGGTAATGCTTACCTACATGAAACAGTATCCAGAAAAACAAAATAATCATCAAGAAACAAAACGCTATTTGCATGGGGAGGGACCCAGAAAACCAGACAAACATAAGGGGGAAATAACAAGAAAAAAAAAGGGAGAAGGAGGCTTAGGCACCGCGAGCTTCAGTCCTGGTTGAGTTTCCACTTCTATAAGCTGTAGACCAACATGACCAAGCAGCGGCGTCAAGACAATCACAAGAGACTCATCATCAGCACTGAGAATAGAGTATATACTAAGAGGCCCATGCTGTGATTGGAGTCATCTAGGAAGAAACATACTTCCCGCCAACCAACCTGCGAGCTGTCGGGACACCCAGCCAGGAGACCGAGGGCTGAGCCTCACGATCTTCATCAGCAAAGGGATCGGCCTCCTGCTCTCCTGATGCGGCGTAACTGATACCAAGTTGGGACGCGGACTCAGCGGTGCGAAGCTCGAACTTGGCCTCCACATTACCCTTGCGAGGGCCAGGGGTCGACGTCGAGAAGCGGACAAGGAACTTACCCTCCGCACCCGGGGCAGTTGTGGCCTTGACTTCCAGCTCGGGGATTCTCCAGGTAACAGTGGAGGTCTTTCGGCGGAACACAGCACCTGTGTTAGGGTACATGGCAGCGCTGGTGGCGTGGGAGACAGATGCCCGTGGCTGCTTAGTGACTTCGTCTTCGGCAGCAGTGTCCAAGTTGATGGTCAAGACCAGGTTCTTGAGGGAGATGGACTCGACTGGATGGGCGATAAATGCCGGGTTGAGCGAGTAGTAGATAATTGCACTGGCCTGAAGTTCTTCCAGGTTCCAGACCGGGTTGAATATAACAGGACAGTACGCAGAAGGGTTCGTTGGATCGAGGTGGAGTTGGTATTTGAAAGCGACTGTTGGCATGGGACGGGAAATGCTACCCAGCTGGACATCGTACTCCCCACGCTTTTCGTCCGTGGGATCCTTGGCAGCTTCTTGGACAAAGTGAGGGTTGGCGGCCACCTTCTCCAGGACCTGGAAGTTATCAAGGCGGATGCGTGTGTGATCTGCTACCGAACCGGGCGTGGGATTATTCGCCAGAGCAAGCTCGCCCACAACGAAGGACTTGGTGACACTGCCTTCTGAGAACCACGCATTGACAGTTTCAATAATCGAGGCATTTAGCCCCGACTCATGGAGATCAGGATGAACCGAAGGTCCGGGACCGGCGTTACCGTGCCCAGAGCGAACAGACGTGGTGTCCGACATGGCGTGATCATCTGTTGCAACACTGGGCGCGATACTCGGGGAAGCCACATGTCTGATTGGCGATGTGGGTGGCTGGGATTCGGAACCCGCTGAGCTTGGTGGAAGCTCATTGCCAGGCGAAGGAATAAAGACCGTGTTACGAACATCACGGCGACCGCGAATAGTGCCTGCATTTCGTCGGATTCCTGTCGCCTGGGCGCGCATTCGTAAAGTGTTCGCCATGTCATCCATGGCCTGCTTCGCCTGACTCTCGTCCTCAAAGATGGGTTGGTCCCGAATCGTCAGGTTCAGGGCCGACTCATCAATCCCGGATGCCTCATTCTGAGCGCGTGTGATTTCATCGATAGTTGATGGACGCTCAGTGAATCCCTCAGAGTCAACTTGCGGTTGATTGACAGGATTGTCAAGGAATCCAGACTGAGTTTCGGGTGTGGCTCCGTTTGTGGCAGCTTCGGTACGCGTTTCAGAAATGGGAGCTGCAGGATCCAAGGCAGGATGATCTTGCGATACACTGGGGTTCCGCAAAGACGAATGATCGGCGGAAGATGTATCTGGGCGGCCAGAGGCGGTCCCAGGAGGAGATTCGGGTATTTGCAAATCACGAGATGAGTCGGCCCGCTTGAAAGCAGCGAAAGGACTACGCTTCTTTTCGGCCTTTCTGTCAAAGGTGCCCGCTGAAGGTCCGACGACGCTCTTCCGGCGGTTCATGACTGTCCCGAGTCGTCGTAGGCCTCCAAGAGGGGTGTGCCGTGGCTGTGCTTCCGGTGCTGGTGGTGTTGGTGCAGCAGCTCTCTCGGATGGCTCTGAATACTGGCTCGCAGTATCATCCTGGACGCGAGCTGGAGGCGAAAGAGGCGCCTCTGTGGGGGTAGCAATTTGCTCAAGAGGAGCTGTCAGTGCACGTTCAGGCCCAGATTCGGGCGCAGTAGGTGTTCCCGTGCGCTCTGTGTGTCTCCGGGAAACAGCTGGCGAGGGAGGGACCCGGTTTCCTGCCATTTTGGCAGCGAAGGTCTTGATCTCATCTGCTGTTTCCACGTTGAGGAGAATATTCAGGCAAGTTTCAGCGGCCTGGCGACCACGCTCGACCTGATCCACCTCATGTGTTTCCAGCTGTGTCAGCACATCTCGGAGGTGGTTCAGTCGGGTCTCGTCGGCAGCCTGGAGTTGTTCGAAAACGAAGGGTGCTCGGGATTCCCATTGTTGAGAGACCTCTTCCGCATTGGCGATCTCAGCAGCTAGCTTGTCCGCGCCCTTTGCACCCTTCGACTTAGCCTTATCAACCTTCTTCTGAGCAGTCTCCACATTCTTGGCCAGCCCCGCCAGATTGCTCTGGATCCCAGGCATCGACTGCATATCCCGATTCTTGGTATGGAACTCTCTCAATGGTCGCTCGACATCCTCTTCGATTTTGTTGGCCAGTGTTTCGTGCGATACAGCGAGCGTCTCGGTCGCATTGATGATACGCTGCCAGGGGATTTGGAAGATGCTGTATTCACGGGTCAGAATCATGGGTTTTGGATATGACAGAGCTTTAATGTCTCCGAAAAAGATGGGATTACCCTAAAGCAGCTCCATTGTCCAACTGTGGCCGATGCGCCAGTTTCCGCAGGCCTTGGGCGTACGTTTCTTCAACGCGACGTCGTTCCTACCACCCAAGTGTCAATACCATTGAACGCTTATGCACCGCAATCCGGTCCCTCAGGAATCCGATCCGAGCCCAATGCACGTGGCCATACCTGTAGGTAGTCCGCGATGTCCGTATTGATCTTATTTATTACTCGAATGCGATCGTTGAGAACGGTCGTAGCCTGGCCGGGTTGCAGGGTGGCCTAAGGAAAGTAGACATCGCCAATGATCAGTAAAATGCTTTGAGAGCCGTTTTGGAAGCTCGCAGGTGTCAATCATACCAGCAGAGTTGGGTACTCTTGCCGTGAGAGGTCCATGATTCAGTTTCCGGGGTATTGGGCGTAGCGCATGAGGCGCATAACACGAATGAGCAATCCAAGATATTCCCCAGGTTCTCGAGGCGAGAACAAGCCCAATTAGGTAAGGAGAATGAATGCGGGATCGGGTAATGTCAGTGTCAGTTGGTAGCGTGTCATTCGATGTTGGCCGAGGACGGGCAATGGGGAATGGGGATGGAATGACGCCGTTCTGGTATTTCCGTATTGGACAGCTTGTTGCCAATGAAGGTATCGTCTATCCGGCTACCGGGTTACAGTACCGTACCAGCCCCCTTGGTAGGGTCACATGACATCATCGCGCTAACGCATTGCTGCCTTGTTGCCTCAGTATTCTGAGCTTCATCTTCTAAGACAATGATTGATTGGGTTCTCGCTTGCGTCTGGAAAGAGATTCCACTACTCCTGCCTTCATACAAAACCTGTCTGGTGGCAGATCGCGCAGCTTAACTCTAGTAAGATCTACCTCTCAACACAGTCAGTACTCATCGCCCTTTCCATTTCATGTTTTGTGCATGTTTACTTGCCATATTAACCCGATATCTGAATAGTATGCAATAACTATAGCACCCATGTCTTGGAAAGACTATTTTGGCTTCAGCGATCGGCTGCGAGCCATACAGTCTCTGTCAGTGAGGTGCAGGATCCCCAAATGAAACAAAACTGATACAAATACAGCACCACGGCCTATCAGCAAGCAAACTCTTCGACCGCATTTGCAGATGCCTTAGCCAATGCAAAGCAGTCCGAAGCTGATGCATATAACAACTCGCTTTCTAAAGTCAGTCACTGGGCTCGTGGAATTTGTTCCGATGGAACTTGCATCTGACACAGTTCTACACAGGAAGAGTACGATTCCATCTGTCAGCGGGCAATTGACGCAGCTGAGAGAGACTACCCCTCCGACTCGGTTATCGGTGACCTAACTCATGCCCAAGATGACGACGAGGAAATACAGAGCTCACATGGAGAGGTCTTTGGTGAATATACGTCTTCTTTCCCCCACTTTGATGGCCTACACTCTACCATTTACAAATCAAAGGGACCCGATGGAAGTGTTGTAGCTATAAAAGTCACTATTCCGCATATGATGACAGCTCCTCATGATGCAAAGCGCGAGGCGCGGCTGCTCCGCGAAGCCCACCATCCAAATGTTATGCCTTTAACAGAGACCTTTAACCTTGACGGTGGCAGATTTGTGATGGTTTTCCCATTCGTGCGGTACGAATTTGAACACTTGCTGCGGCGCGATATGGTGACCGCATCTCAGATCAAGTCGATTCTTCGGGACATGTTTCTCGCGCTTTCCCATCTTCATGCACTAGGCATCATTCACCGAGACATAAAGCCTTCGAATATTCTGATGAACTCACCGAATGGACCTGCCTATCTGGCAGACTTCGGTATCTCGTGGAAAGAGGGCGATGCGGGATCGGAGGCACCATCAGAAAAGATCACAGATGTGGGTACCACCTGCTACCGGCCACCAGAGATCCTATTTGGGCACAAGGCGTACGGAACAGCCCTTGATATCTGGGCTGCCGGATGTGTGGTGGCAGAAGCGATTGCAGTGGGCCATCGCCAGCTGTTTGATGCTGGACCTATTGGCAGTGATCTGTCGTTGATTTTCTCCATCTTCAAAATCATGGGAACTCCAGATGAAGAGCGCTGGCCAGTGAGTTCATCACCGACTATCCAGCTTCAACGGGAAGCACTAACCATGAGTAGGAAGTCACCGTCTTGTCGGATTGGGGAAAGGTTGAATTTCACCATTTTCCCCCGCAAGCTTGGGAAGATATCCTACCCGCTGCATCTTCCAATGGGCGCGATTTGGTCGCTCGTCTGCTGTGCTACGAGAGCAGTCTTAGACCTACTGCTATAGAGGTATTTAACCAGACGCAATATCTCCTCGTTTGTTCACCAAAATAACAATACATGCAGGCGTTGAGCCATGCTTACTTTGCATGATGAAAATGAGCTGCTTACGGAGCACAGAGTGCCTCAGACGGTATCGGGACTACTTGCGCCACACGACCGTTGCGCCTCCATGGGGTATGCCGCACGAGTGGATCGGGAAATCACAAGCGTGAAATTGCAACTCTTGGAGCCGAATTATGGAAATAGATATCCCGACCCAATCAATTAATGCACACATTTTATGAATCCAATTTCGCACAGCCCGCAATCAGTTCGGCCAACACTTGCGTTTTTTGAGGCCATCAAGGGGTGTGGCGTTGAGGAGTTATTCTTCCAGCCATCCGGCCATACTCCAGGGCTCGTAATCGCATTTTACTTGTTCTCCGTGCTCCGTATAAGCTTCTCCGTAGCCCTGGAGTAAACAGGCTTCTAAGAGAGGCAGACCAAAATATAATTGGACATCACCGGACAAGGAACAATTTCCATGACGACTATCCACATACCGATGATGGACGTCCAGGATTCACAGATCATATGTTTCCGAGGCCATGCTCTGTAGAGTTTTACCCCTGTCGTTCTGACGCAGGAACCCAAATTTGCCAAATAAATTGACTGAGATTGAATGTCGGCAAGGTCGGAAATTACGGGCACTGTGATCAAATAAGATGTGGCGGTCGGCCTAGGGTGAAACAGCCTCGGAGTCTGTGCCCCGCGGGCACCTGCAAGGTTTTTGGGCTTAGCGAACCGCAATTGAAATTGCTGACTCCATTATTGTTACGATGGTGGTCTCATGCTAGTCATTAAGTCCTCCGTACTATTTACGAGAAATTAAAGGCAGTTGAATGCCGTTGCAGAACAAGTCCCTGTTGAAGAGGACAATTAAAGTAAAGAGGGTCAGGGTTCTTGTCCAGTGGGTCGCGCATCTCGTGTCCAGCGGTTCACTCAGGTACCGCAACATCTTCAGCCAATCAGAGCACAATTCCGCCTTGGAAGCATGGGGGCTGGCCTATTCTGGTTAGCGCAGTAGTGACTCTAGAACCCGACAATCCCTCGTGTTGAGGCTTTTCCCTTTACTCTCTCTTGTTATTCTTTCTTTTCATCTGAGTGCGACCTGGAAGTCGACGTCCGTTCATTTTTGACTTGATACTCGGCTGCGCTCGAGATCAGTCCATTCTTTTTTTTATCCACATTCCACACGTAGACGGGGGCCCAGATTCTCAATCACCGCGCGTTGGAATTCTACTTCATCCCTCTTTTTACGACCCCCTCCTCTTTTACTTCTTCATAGCCCGATTCAATTCTGAAGATACTGCAGTACCGACAAAATGCACGGGCACGCGCACCTCCATGGGCGCAAGGTGGAGGAAGTCGAGCCGCGAGGCAATATCGAAGAGCGTGGAGATGTTGTCATCGTGTACAAGACTATGGATCAGGACTTTGACGGCGAAGTTGGAGGCTACGTGACTGGAGATCAGCAAACGACCGCAGCGGAAACCGCGACGCAGAAGAACGTTGGCGTCGGTGCCGCCGTCGGAGTGCACGCTACTACGACCAAAGATCAGACGACCGAGGCCAAGACGACCGATGAGGCAACCACTACCAAGGCCAAAGAGGAACCGACTACCACGCAGCATACTGAGGCCAAGACCACTCAGGAGACCTCAGCACAAACCACCGAAACCACCGAGACCCAGGCTGAGACCACAAAGAACACTGAAACAAGTGACACACAGGCGTACAGTACCACCACTAGCCAGAACTCACAGGATTCTGTAACAACAACCTCATTTGTGACATCCGCCTCGCCAACTTCGGAATCAAGCAACATCGACAATATACTTGCTGCCACATCCGGTGCCTCGGCTACTGACTCGTCCGCTTCCGCTTCAAGCACTGCTCTTGGAAGCAGTGCCTCCGAAGGTATAACTGGCGGTGCCAAGGCTGGAATAGCTATCGGTGTTATCTTCGGTGTCGGAATCATTGCGGCCTTGATCTTCTTCTGCGTCCGCAAGAAGAAGAAGCAGTCCCAAGATGGATACCAGCAAGAGAGCGAGAAAGCATTCGGCGGCGAGGGCTTACCCGAAGGCTATTCTGCTTCTCTGCCAGTGCCCCCACCCAAGCCACAGACACAAATGCAGCCGCAGGCCCCTTCAGGCCCTCCCATGCTGAATGTTCGCCCCGTTACTCAATTTGCACCTGATCTGAACTCTGGCAATGGCTTCAACCCGGCGGCAGCTAGTGCAGCTGGCGCTGCAGCTGGCTCGGCAGCTATTGCTTCTCGAAACCTCACTGGTGAATCGCCACCTTCTACTCCTCCCAAGCCTGCTGTAGACAGCCCCAATCCGTTCAGCGACCCAGTGAATCCATTTGGGTCAGCTCTGACTCCCGTTACTGAGGGTCCGCCCTCGATCGTCGAAACAACCACCGGCTCTGCTGGACCAACTGCCGCAGCCGCGGTCGCTGGTACAGCTGTAGCAGGAAATGCTGTTTCATCGAGACACTCCAATGATTCTGATAGCTATCAGTCTGCACACTCTCATGGCTCCTCCCCAGTCGAAGTTAGCAAATCCGCGACAATGCCTGCCTATGTTGAAGGTGTTGCCGAAGGAGGTGCAGGCGCTGCTGCCGTCGCCGCCGGCCCAGTGATTGCTGGGCCCGGTGGCCCTCCGCCACCTAACAACGTTCACCGTGTTCAGCTGGACTTCAACCCTTCCATGGAGGATGAGCTGGGCCTTCACTCTGGCTCCCTCGTACGATTGATCCACGAATATGACGATGGATGGGTATGTATCACTCAAAACCTCTCCTAGACTCTGCTAACAGTTCATCCAGGCTCTATGTATCCGCCTAAATGGCTCCCAACAAGGTGTGGCTCCCAGATCTTGCTTGTCTGCACGTCCTGTCATGCCTCGCCCTCGCCCGCCTCCTGGCGCCCGTGGGCCACCCATTATGGGCCCTGATGGACGCCCAATGATGCCCGGTGGCCCACCCCCTGGTGGTCGTTACTACCCCCAGGACACTCGTCCAAGGTCCCCTGGTGGCCCTGGCTTCGCTGGACCTCCTCCTCGTCCTTATCCCGGTGGCTCAATGCCTGCCGTTCAGTTCCCAGCAGTTCCCCGTTCAGGATCTCCTGGACCTCGCTCCATGTCTCCTGGGCCAAATGGAATGCAGGGCCCTCGATCTATGTCCCCCGGTCCCGGTGGGATGCCCGGCCCTCGCTCCATGTCCCCTGGACCAAATGGAATGCCCGGCCCTCGCTCCATGTCACCCGGCCCAAGACAGCCAGGCCCACGCAACATGTCTCCCGGTCCTCGACCTGCTCCACGTTCAATGAGCCCTGGTCCATATGGACCCCCGGGCATGCAGCGACCTGTTATGCCCGTCAACCAACAACGCCAGCGCAGCAACAGCGCTGGTAATGTCGCTCCTCCCATAGCCGCACAGGCCGCCCCATCAGTCTCAAGCCCACTTGCTGCTCCAGCGCCCGCTCCCACCAGCGAGCTTCCCGCTCTTCCCGATTCTGCACCTACATCTCCCTCTGGCTCAATCTCACGAAAGCCCATCCCTCCACAGGAAGCTTAATGGAATGGGATCACTATCCCTGGACCCGTGCAGAACACGGGCAGATCCACAGTGCACCGCTGGACGGAAATGAGTTTGCCCTCTACGACCGTTGTTGACCCAATCCTGATATCCTCGCGTCCGTGACGAACGATCACAGAATATCTACTGCATGCTTACTTCTTGCATCTGTATCTGTCGCTCTCGCTCTGACGTTCTGTTGTGTTTTTTTTTTTTTTTTTTTTTCTTCATTCTATTCCCCATCCGTGCCTTCAATGCCTTCTCATCTGAGTCCTTCCGGGCATCCATACAATGTTCACACTGGCCGGCAACCCTTCATATTTCTCTTCTATTTTTTTTTCTTTGGCCCTTTCCACCATGTGCCTATGCATTTCTTCCTCCCCCCTTTTTCTTCTTGTTCGATTGTGACCAAACACACCGAGCATCCTTGAATTTCTTGTTGGATTAATATTGATATTGACCCGGACAAAGAACATGCGTGTGATGAATGCGCGTTACGCTGAAATGAGCTGGAATACCCTGATCTTGTGAGACGTTCCAACACCGATAGTCCATATCCATATCTTTGTAGAATTTAACTTAACTTTTTGTGAAAAGCTTCCAACCATTACCATATTATCGTTCGTACTATACCAAATACATCCAGGGATTACATCGTTTTATTTTGACCCTATAGCACTTCCAGCAATTCCACTGTAGATGGTCATTGTCGGCTCTTAAGGGAGTTTGTCGATCACCCGCTGACTGAGCGGGCTCTAGGGGCACAAGTGAATCTTCATTGGACTGAAAATGTACCCACTGTATCCAGACATCGGTTTTAGCCAGGAAAAAGAACCCGATCAAAAGGCGCCAAACCCCGTAACCCGCAAAAGCCATGATAGCTCAAGTTAATTGACTGGTTCTACTGTAGGAATCAGTGACGTCTCCCCTTTCGGACCCGGAATGTCCGGACTCGGTACTGTCGGCTTTTGACGTAACACATCTTATAAACCGCGATGATGCCTGGTCCTGTCGAGAGTTCGTTATCCCATTCACAATCGATATCATGAATACCTATAACTGTGCCCAAGTTCTAGCCATCTCATCTTCCTTCTGGTTGTCAGGTAGGAATCACTATGGCAAAAGCAAAAGCAAAAAAAGATACTAACTTGATATCTCACAGGCGAAATCTTCACTTATTCCTATGGCGCCGTGCCTGCCACCCTAGAAGCCACTTCAACATCCCAGACATTGGCAGCAAAGCAATGGGCTAGATTCTACCACCGCGGACATGCCATCGGGCCTGCTTTCGCCTTTGTAGGCGCAGGATCCTTCGCTTGGTGCGCCTTGACATCACACAACTTGCTGTATTGGGGGGCCGCAGCACTCAATGTCAGTATTGTTCCATGGACTCTCATGTTCATGGTGAAGACGAATAAGAGCATATTTGAGTTTGCGGACCGGGAAGACCATCAGAGTACGAAAGAGGATGACTCGCGTTTGACTGCCCTGCTCAGCAAGTGGGCTACTCTCAACACCGTTCGCTCTTTCTTTCCTTTCCTTGGTGGTGCGCTGGGTTTGATGGCTGCTCTTTCCTAATACCATTAATACCATTACCCGCCTTTATTTTGTTGTCAGCACTGGGGAGACATGCCCTTAGTCGCTCGAAATGTGGCAGAGTTGCCAGGTTTCGGAAAAGTTTCGATGTATAATACTTTTTATCTTTCAATGAGTGCTGGCACCCTTAGTTTTGTCGCAAATTATGAATGCAAGGATGTTCAATTGAAAAATATCTCTATGCTTTCCAGGTCTAAATGCTGTTCTTCAGACATTGATCGATCTGCTTGGCCATTTGAAGGCACTCTTCATCGCGCATAGTGGTTGTGAAAAGTTGAATGGAACAAGGTGTCCCTTCAAGTTGTTCAAAGTCATCTGAAAGCTCTGGTTAGACTCAAAAAACTCATTGCGTGGTATCATGGTTGAGATTGTGTTACTCACAGTCAGCCCCAAGTTGGTGTTCATTAGCCACAAAGCTTTCATTAGCATCCTGCTTGCCGACTTCCCCGAATGGTATGATACAAGATGGATACTGCGATAGGTGTTAGAGCTTGAGCACAAAGTCGCAGCCGTGATCTGACTCACATCTAGAACGTTGGTGAAAGTGGTGTAAGGCGCCAGGCCGAAGGTGTCGTGAGGAACAGCTGTCGTTTGAGCAGGGGGAGCGATACAGATATCAAGGTCATGCTCTAACCACATCTTTCGATACGCTTCCCGTAGATTAGCGCGGTGAGTATTGAGCAAGGCCAGCTTGTGCAGGGGATCGAGAGAGGTTGTGTCTGGCAACGTTGGTTTATAAAACCCCATGAGCTTCTCGGCCTGCTTGTGCAGGTAGTGCATCGCAGGAACAGGAGGTTCACCAGTGGACTCCAGATGTTTTTGAGAGCCCTGATCTAAGCCGAAAAGTGACCACCCGATCTCATTGGATTCCACGATGCGACATTCCTCCTCGGTAAGTTGGACAATCTGGTGACCCTGCGCCTCTAGTAAGCGGACGGCCTCTGTCAGTGCTCTGCGAACAGGTGGATGGAGAGGGAAGATCGAGGACTCGGGGACAACACCGATCTTCAAGGTCGAGCATTTAACGGGGACCTCTCTCCATGGGATATCCAGAACGGAGGAATCGAGACGACCGGGCTCGGTCTCGAAAACAGACTTGAAAAACGTTTCAATTCCATTGAGGTCAGAAGACAGTGGACCGGCACAAGAAAGCAAGAACTTCATTCCACTGGTGTTGAAACCACGCATTCCACCGTTTGGAACTCGTTGAGCACTTGGTCTGAATCCATATAGTCCACAGCAATGTGCTGGGATTCGAATGGAACCTGGTACAGCTTAGATTGGTTGGCGTGAGGGGCAATTCAGCCATTACTGACCTCCAATATCAGTTCCCACACCAAGTGGGGATCCGCGGAGAGCGATCAAAGCACCCTCGCCGCCACTCGAGCCACCAGGGCCCAATTTGGTATTCCATGGGTTGATAGTGCGGTCAAAAACATTGTTGTGTGAGTCAGTTGTCTAAGGGACATGAAGATTAGTCAACGAAGAGTCAAGTGTTGAATGATGCATACCATCATTGTCTGGGGCACGTTTGTCTTCACAAATAGAACTGCACCCAAGCCTAGTAAGATGTCCACAAGTGGTGAATTCTCCGGTGATTTCTCATCTAAGAAAGATACCATTCCAATCGTAGAATCCACTCCCTTGAAGTTGAAGTTATCCTTGATACTGATAGGAAGGCCGTGAAGCGGTCCTACGAGCTTACCCTGAGCTCGCTGACCATCGAGAAATACCGCCCGTTCCCGGGCTTCTTCAAACATTGTTTCCGTCAGACATGATACCTACGGTCATTTCAGCTTTCAATTCAAGTTTTGGGTGCGGATAAAGAGGAGAAGATCGATGGGCTTAAACTGTGATACATACCAACTGCTGGGCCAAAGCTGCACGTTTGGAGTACGCCAGAGTAACTTCTACTGACGTCAAGCTTCCATCTGCCAATGCGGAAATCAAATCGTCGACCTGATAGTCTTCGGTAATTTCCAATTCTCGGTCGGTTAGAATACCGGATTTGCGAATTGTTTGGGCTCTGATTAGATCATTCTTCTTATCCGCGAAAGGTGTTTCGAGCTCAGCTAGGAGCTGTGCTGGGATTTTCCATTCTTCTGGGATTTTGTTGGCACATTCTTGTCTTTTCTTAGCTGCTCTTTCTTGCCAGTTGGCTCCATCAACAAGGGCGCTCATTCTGAAGTTGAGTGGTTGATTGATTGAGTGCAATGGGCTTGGATCAATGGTCAATATTATCTTGGAAATTTAGCAGAAGGTATCAACGTGCTTTATTGACAGCCCTGGAGCCAAGAAGGGCCGAGGCTAAAAGAGGGGCGATTGCTCATTTTCATGAGAAGTGGAGTCATACGGAGCGAGATAGTAACCAAAACGGCTGGTTATAGCAAGCGAAATTGGGATTTAGTAGCATCTGCAGTCGGCTCATGCTATTCGTTGTTTCAGCAGGGCGGACCAATTTCATGGCACGCGAAACGCCCCAATTATGAGGTGCTGAAATATTTGGCCGCAGTCCTCTATTAATTGTATCGCATTTCACATATGTATTCATTTTTAATAGATAAGACCAAATTGTACTCAAACCTAACATCTCAAGTTGCGAGCTGTACTCCGTTTGAAATGTGACTGTGATCTACAAACCAAGAACCTGGAGCAAGATCAAGACCTGGATCATCTGTTAACAACTGGCTTTGACTGCACGCCCAAAAAAAGACATAAAAGGAAGTCAATGAGAGCAGCAGGCTTGAGGCGCTTTTGGTACCTGTTTTGACAGTACCTGCATTATCTGGTTTGTCCACGGGTCTTGATTTGGCTTCCCCGTGGGGGATCTCGTGGAGACTTGAAACTTTCTTGCATCCACCCTTGGACCATTTTTAAGTACTTTCTCCGTATGATTGATACCGTGAATGATAATAGTAAGTCGAATGTCATAATCTAAATTCAGACGGAAGATTTCGCGCTTTGTGGCTGCAACCTGGACTTCCCGGGATAACATTTGGTCTAAGCGTATTCTAGGCGTGAGTGTATTTTCAATTTCTCCGCAGCACAGCAAGAATGAACACACAGATAAAAGCTTAGGGAGATGTCAGCATTGTATATGACCTTGGGATACGGAGTACTTCAAATGCTCCTGCGGGGTCAACGTCATCCAAGGTTCCCCTCTCCTAAACTCCCATAGTCAACTCACTGTCTAAACCACCCTCCACCCGTCCAGACAAGATGAAAATTGCTGCCGAGCCTGAGTCCAGTTCGTCCGCTTTGAACACAGAAAAAGGCGCAGGTGGAGAGGTCAAAAGACTTCATCAAATCCCGCGCCCCACTGATAAAGTGTTAGAGCGGAGATGGCTTCTTGAGCAGATGGCGGGTGCCTTTCGCATCTTTGCAAAATTAGGATTCTCAGATGGAAGCAGTGGACATATCAGTCTGCGAGGTATGCGAGTGTGATTGATTATTGTATTGTTAACAAACATTTTTGTGCTTGAATTCTAACAGCCAGAAGATCCAATCGAGCCACACACTTTTTGGATCAACCCGTACGGAGTACATTTTGCCCTCCTCAAGGTCTCCGACATGGTGCGCGTAGATGAGAAAGGAAATAGAGTCGCGGGTGCGGACAAGCCCGTCAATGCAGCCGGCTTCATTATTCACTCGGCAATCCATCAAAAAAGACCCGATATCCATGCGGCATGCCATATGCACAGTCCATACGGTAGAGCGTGGAGCACCTTTGGTCGAGGAATTGATATGCTCAATCAAGGTACTCATGAGGATGTTACGAGTAATGATCGTTCTGCTAACACGAACATCCAGATTCTTGCATGTTTTACGATGATCTTTCAGTCTACCCAGCCTTTGGTGGTGTTGTATTTGCACAAGAAGAGGGTGAGCGTCTTGCAGAGTATCTCGGTCCAAAGAACAAAAACCTGATCATGCAAAATCACGGGCTTCTCACCGCGGGAGGTACAGTCGCAGAAGCAGCAGCCTTCTTCATTGCTCTGGAAAGAGCATGCCATACTCAGATTCTAGTGGAGTCTTCAACGGCGCATGGGTCGATTGGAGCCAGTGAGGGTTTTTTGAAGAAGACTCTAGTCGCCGATGATGTTGCGCTCTACACTAAGAAAGGGACCGGTACACCTGAGGCCATGTACATGCAGTTTGAGCCGGAATTTCAGTTGGTCTTACATGAATCGAGGGACTTTCTCGGTTGAGTAGATTTTTCAGCGTCCTTCTGAATACTGCTCAAGTGGAAGCCTTCGCCCGAACTCGCACTCTCTTAAAATTACATCCATCGATGTCACTTACTCAAGAAGAATGTTACATATGCCATTCCCTTTGTTTGCATAGTCATCAATATTCTTTTATTTATTTATTTATTTTTTCATATGCCCAGGTGCTCAGTGTTCATTCATCAATGGTGGGTTCCTTTCAGGTTCTTTCATCCAACAAAGCTCATAGATCACCAACAGGAGTAGAAGAGCATTTTCCGTTTCCCGGGATTCTTTTAATTATCTATAAATACTCTTAATCACTGCTTGGAGTCCACGATTATTCTGGTTGATAGCCTTGGAACTAAACACATTCTTGAGATCCCCGTGGACAGTACCTACTTAAGTACTTAAGTATAGAGATTTTGACAGCACTCTTGCCTTCACTAGAATTAGTATGGCCGATATATCACACAGCCCAATGCCCGAAGACCCCAGACGTTACCACAAGCTAGGAGCTCAATATCAGAAATGGATTGATGATCCCAGTTCAAAGGGCTGCAAGGTAGCAACTGCAACACTGACCAGGGAAAGAATGCTCGATCAACCTCCTGGGTCGGCTCTTTGGCTAATGGAAGAGGAATTCCTCACCGGTGCACCAAAAGAAGACCTTGAGGGTGGCGATCCAGTATCGATGAACATTACACTGGAAAGGGTATATGTAGAGACAGTCGTGACTAACAAATCAAAAATGATGGGACTGTGGCTAAAGAACACATACCATCACATCATGGGGCCCGGAATCATCATTGCTGCGAATATTTCCAGGAAATGTGGCCCTCACTGGAATGAAATTGCCCAAGCTCTCTACGACGCTACTTTCAAAATTCAAACCCTGAGACACATCGTATTTACCGATGTAGTCAACTTGGAAACGGCAGGGTATGTTGAGAATGAGCTTTACCCCAAGTGCCGCAACAACAGCGAAAGATTTTGCCTGGAACTTCAGTACGATACCCCAGAATACCAGAAGATACTAGGCACATCTCTAGGCAAGGCTGCGGCTTGTCTTGTTCTATCTACTTTCCCTAGAGGTACCATGCGTATCTCGCGCGCCCTCACTTGGCGATCTAGGTATGGTTCTGTGACAGTTCGGTTTGATATTATCCCTGCTCGGTGAGAAAGGAAGGCCATAAGCACGATTATTATCACTATTGGAATGTTGAATAGCAGGACTCGAAAGAATTTGAGCATGTAAATGGTGTTGCAGGTTATGCACCGCTCTTTCTTTCCTCGTAATACCACCAGGCTTTGCAGATAAGAACCGCAATATTCACGAGTTCTAAAGTTCCTCTCGCTGATCTTTAAATCAAATTCAAGTCAAATCAAGTAACCAATCGTCACCGTGTGAAATTTTAGACTAGGTCGGTCATTATGTGCTGTCGTATTCAAAACCACCAACAAGAATAACTGATCATAAATCCTCGGGTGCAAGCTTCGAGTATCTCCGCAATTTGGGGCCATATTTCATGAACAAGAAGGGCACTGGTAGCAATGCCGCAGCTACCGCCGCGATGATAGAAACACCAGGGCCAATTCCTAACGCCCTAACCATGGGCTTAGCTGCCAACGGAAGACCAGCAGCCATGAGACTTCGAAGAAAAGTAACGGCGGCTGTTGCACTAGCGGCATAGATCTTGTACACGTCAACCAGAAAGTTCAAGCATTGTTGAAAAATGCAGTTGAATCCCACGCCAATAAAGACCGCTGCCAAACATGGCAAGATCCAGTGATGGGGTGGCTCGGCAGTCCAAGCAAACCAAAACAGCCCGACAACCATGAAAACTGCCCCGAAGGCCATGGGCGGAAGCCGGGCTTCCGGTACAGCCTTCCCGCCTGCCTCAGTTGAGACTCTGTTGTAACGGTATTGATTCCAGATGTTGAGACCCACAGATGATATAACGCCAATCAATAAACCCAGGAAAGGCAACGACCCAATGAGATGGTTCCATCCACGGGCCTCTTGGAATGCAAGAGGGAAGATCTCAAGGGTGAGATACATGACACCATACACGAACGAAGCGTAGAAGGCAATGCACGTCACTATCGGTTCGGTAATGAGCATTCGCAAGGGGCGCGCGAGCTGTTTTGTGAGAACAGATCGGACATCTAGACTCAAGTGTTCATGGGGATGGTAGAACCTCGAATCACCCGTGTTCTTGCGAAGATTTTGGGCTTTGCGCTTTAGTAATACCAACGGGTAGACCTCTGGTAGACAGAAGAATGTCAATGTGAACACCACAAAGACCCAGATTGCATGGATGTATCCAGTCCAGCGCCAGCCGAGGTCAGGATTCATCAGCAGTGCTGCGCCTATGACGGGACCAAGCGCGGGTCCACCATTGACAGCCACGGCGTAAAGACTGACTGCCGTCCCACGAGTCTCTTTGCTCCACATATCACCCAGGGCAGCAATGACATTGCTGATAGGTGCCGAGCCGAAGAATCCAGCGAAGAATCGGGTGACAAAGATCGAAGATGCAGTTCTGCTCGCTCCTGTCCCGATAGAGAATAAGGCCAAGCAAAAGACAGCAGGAAGAATACTGACTCTTCGGCCCCAGATTTCCGAGACAGGTGCCCAGATGATCGGGCCGAAAACGAATCCAAGTCTGGGAGGTTGTCAGTCTCACACCCGGGGATACACTTGGGAGTCAACTCACAGATACAATGAGACGTCCAATACAGCAACTTCATTGCTCACGCCAGTATACTTCGCGATGGTGTCATCGGCCGGTGTGGTAATGCTTGAACCCAGACTACCCGCCAAAGCGAGCATCCCAAGTTGAAAAGTCACCCACCATTTGTATTTGACAGACCAATTCTGAGGGTTCAATTGATCGTCTTGGTCCCATTTGACCATATATTCAGGATCGAGTGGGGAACCAAATGCCGAATGCTTCTCAGGGGCTCGAACTTGGAGAACCCCATGTTTCGGCCATGATAAAACCATAGCCGATGGAAGTCGGAAACACTGATCCCGGGCTCTCTTATGCTTCTGGTGTATGGGGTGTATGGACAAAGGATGATCTTTTCATCCGCACTCGGCAAGTCGATCCCGAATTCAAGGAGTGGTGCCCGGCAGCATTGGCTTCACACGAATTTCGAGATTGCAGCTCCGATTTGAGTAGTGTTTTTCGACATCTCGGGGCTAGTGAAAGGTTTGTAATCTTAAGTCCGAGCCCTGGAGCCCCTTCGGGCTTTGTAGCGTGTAGCGGGCAAAGCTTTTGGCCTTCGGCAGATCGAATCGGGTAGTTTTGCGGGGTGTCGGCACCGGCCGGCGAAGACAAAAAGAATCAATTTGGGCCTAATGAAGTATATTCAACTATATCTCCAATATTACCCTATGTTGTGTGAAGCCTAGGGCTTCTATCCCTGCACGGCTCTTACAGGTGGCTGCAGGAGGATATCTGTTTCTTTGTAACTCCTTGTTTATCACCTAGGCAATCTCCAGGGCTTATCTCTTAGGCCGAGTCAGTCCAACCCAACTTTAGAAGCACTCCTAGCCCTCTTTCCTTATTTTGCAGCATACGCTCACCGAGTACGAAGTATTTCTCGCAATTTTTTGCTACTCGATAGAACAGGAAGGCAAATGTTCCCGAAAGATAACCCGAAATTCAAGTTGTGTATTTAAGATATCATCTATGATATGTGCATTTGGTCATGATAGTCCACATTCAACAGAGTACGGGGATCGAAGTTCCATATTCTCTCTTCTTCAGAGGTGGGGAACTCGTCCACTTGCGAGCAGAAGGTTCACAATGCTCATGAGGCCTTCGCCCAAAATGAGACCAGATGCCAGCACAACGACGGCGGACGAGGCAGCATCGGCCTTTTCAGTTTCTTGGTCTGGTGACTGGCCCTGTGCAGGGGTAATCTCGGAGTTTGAACCATTCTGCGAAGAAGTTCCTCGGTGGGCGTTCACGGGGACACTATGCTGATTAGACTTTGGTTGAGAATGGTTCCTCGACCACCACCACGCAACAACACCACCTATTGCCCTTGCTAAGGTGAATGAAGGAACATTGAAGATTCCAACGGCCACTGCGATTCCACCTGGTATCCAGGATCTCCAAGCCGGGGGTGCTCCGTTGTGTGAGAATGTAGGAGATGCGGTCGCAATTCTCAATGCAGTGATCAGAACCCAAACAGTGCCGGCAATAAAGGAAGCTTGCCAAGCCATATCTGGTAGGCCTTGGCCAGTCACGAGACGAGCAGTGAAGATCCAAACATAAGCTGTGGGTGTCTGGAACATATCGCCGGGAACTTCATAAACGTTCACATATAATTTGTATACAGCGGCGGACAGAACCGCACCCACGAGACTTCCGATCATCTGCCCGTAGAACTGTGCTTTTGGACTCGCGCCAAGGATATGACCGGTTTTCAAATCCTGCATCATGTCACCAGCTTGCAATGCCCCTGACTCCGAGACTGCACCGGCGAGGAGATTCGTGACCAGGGCAGTACGTCTGGAGAAGTGCGATGCCGGTGTAGCGAGGGAGAATAAAAGCTGCGTCAACTTACTGATACCCGACACTGGGTTGAGATCAGTCTCGCCGAGAGCCCGAACACCCATTATGGATAAAACCACAGCCAGGAGGGTAGCCAAGGTAGAGAGGAAGGGGGAAATGATGTCACCGAAAACGATGTGCATGCAGACAACATTCAACAAAAGAGTCAGAGGGAGGAGGATGACCACTGTGCGGGTCGAAATGAGCTGAGACGGCGGGGCGTCATACTCATCTTCGCTCGAGGATGTATGGGCTTGGACGGGGTGGTCGTCCTCTTGAGACAAAGTATGAGACTCGGAGTCTAATGCGGAGTAATTGATATAAGAGTGTTGGCTGGAGTTCAGTCGAAGTGCAATCCACTGTCCAGCGTGAGTGGATCTGAGCCAAGCTATCCACTTTGGCGAGCGATTCACAATGGGCTTCATTACAAGCCACCCGAGGCTTACAAGAGAGTCCGCAAGCATTATAGCCAAAGAGATCCAGACGATCCACGCTTTACTGCCATCTTCCCAGCTGTCCACCGGGCCGGGAGCCCAGCCACGGCTTTTAGCCAAGGGTGATAGGACGCCCCACCCTAGCACCGCACCAAAAAGCATATGCATACACGTTGATGGTCCCATAATGATTCCCTGTCCGATGTATGCGGGAGAAGGGTTAAGAGTCCACAGCCAGTTGTGTGCCATACTCACACCGAACAGGGGGATATCACGAACTAAAGGGACGAAGTAGGAGAACAAAGTCTGGGGATGTTAGCGCAGGCTCAGCAGGTTGCTGTAGGAAGGAAGACCAACGTATACACCGGAAACTGCAAATGCGCCAATTAACAGGCGCATCTTTGAGCGCCAGTCTTGTTCCTTCGAGGCTTGATCCTCAGAATCAACGTCCTTCAGTAAACCTGTGTTTTCTTCTGATGATGCACTAGACCCAATCCTCTCATTCAGGACTCCAGGGTGATCATTTTCGGGCTGCAGCTTTTTTTCATTGCTTCCAGAACCATGCAGAACCTTGAGCATCAATGCCGAAGCCGTTCCACTGGGAAAGCGCAGTTTCTCGCGGACAATGACCTCTTTCCGGAGGGGAACGGCAAAGACGACACCAAAAAGACAAACACCAAGGCTCCAAATGACAAGCTTCCAGAAGCTTAGGTTCAAAGGGCCGCCCTCTCCATCTCCACCATCGCCTTCGGGTCCGTCTTCGCCAGGCTTCAACAGGAACTCGAGAGCAGGTATGACACCAACAAATCCACAACCAAGTGGCATGGTTCCCACTGCACCAGCCACAGTCTGAATCAAGACATTTTCAACAGGCGTGAATGGGAAGGACAGGTGCTTCGACAAAACCTTGAAGACCGAGAAGCCAATCAAGGCCGACGGCATGGCCATTGTACTGATCCATCCTGTTTGCAAGCCGAAGTAGGTATTTGAAAAGGTGATAAGAGCGCCTATAGCGAGACCAACGAGAAGTGAGCGCGTTGTGAAGCTCTGCGGGGATGTGGCGGGAGCTCCGTGGTTTGGCGTGGAATCGATGGAATCGAGAATCGGTCTGTCTGACGGCGATCCTTCCACTGGACCGTGGCGCTGTTCGGAGGCATTATCGCCCATACTGATGGTCTGGTAAGTCATGAATCCGACCGATCAGTCATAGTCACCTGTCGAAGTGAGACTCCAGACTAGGGATGAATGTCATAGCCCCGGAGAGATTCGCGATAAGGACTGCTGAATAATGTAAATTTGATAAGATCACCTGACGTCACATTGATCCCGAACGAGTGGCCTGTGCAAGTGAACATACAATTGTGCTTTCGAGCTTAATCGGGTCATTGTTTTGTTCATCTCTAGCTCCTGAAGTCTTTTTAAAGGCATTAAAGCCTGGACCTGCCCATCTTTAGATATACAGAATGTTGTCACCTACAGGTGGAACCGCTTACATATATATCACTAACACCAGGCTGCTCAGCCAAGGGTTCCAAGTTCGTGTCGATGGAAAGCCCCGACAACCTTCTAAGTTGGAATCTATGGATTTGATTGACATACCTACCTAGGTAGGCCTACCCGATAAATTTAGAACTTATCAAATGGAACCGTTGGAGTTCGAAAGGGCCGCCAAGGGTGGGCCAGATCAAGACAACGGAGTCTAAACCTAAATAGATCGAGATGGCGGACCCTAAGCCGAACCCACAACTCACAACGGAGTCTAAGCCCAAAGTGTATGCCTGTGTTCCTAAGTTCTACTGTGATGTACTACTCTCGAGGTCGTCATTTCGATAAATTCTTGCTGGGCCCCCTGACCAGCTACGGGTATAAATGTCCTGTTCCTGGCTTCTTGTTAGTTGCTTTCCACTCACTTTCCTATTTTTTGTTTGTTTGATACATAAAACTTCACCTCTGCCTGAGTCCTCAAGGGAAATCAAGCCCCTTCAATCAGCATGAACCATGAATTCAAACCTCGTCGGAAAACCGACAATCGCCGGGAAGTCAACGGATCCAGTTCAACCAACGCATCTCCACCCGAAGATGATTTTACACGAGAGCACATCACCGGAGGGTGGTGTCCTGGCATGGATCCCAAAGTCGATTACTCTGGACATTTCGAATTTGGTGGTTCGCTCGGAAATTTAGCACTCATGCTCGGATTCCCCCTCCTGATGTACTACATGTGGATCGGCGCTACATACTACGACGGGAAGCTTCCTCTTCCTCAGAGCGGACAATCGTGGAAGGATTTTGGGATTCATTTGCTTCGTCTTGTTTATACAGAGGCGTATCCTAACTTCAGGGCGTGGCGCATATACTGGACATACTACATCTTTGAAGGGGCATGCTACGTTCTCCTACCTGGATTTACCTGCTACGGGAAGCCCCTCCTACATTTGGGAGGAAAGCAGTTGGAGTACCACTGCTCTGCATATTCCAGTTTCTACTTCACAATCTTGGTCATGAGTATCCTTCATTACACAGGGTTCTTCCCAATTTATACTTTCCTGGATGAGTTTGGACCCCTCCTTTCCGTGGCGATTCTCTCGGGGTTCATTGCCAGCTTCGTCGCTTACTTTTCTGCCTTCGCGCGAGGTGCACAGCACCGAATCACCGGGTACCCTATATATGACTTCTTTATGGGTGCCGAATTGAACCCACGTATGTTCGGCATTCTGGACTTCAAGATGTTTCACGAGGTGCGCATTCCGTGGTTCATCCTTTTTGGATTGAGCTTTGCAGCTGCTACCAGGCAGTATGAGCGCTACGGATATGTATCCGGAGAAGTTCTATTTCTAGTGATGGCACACTTCCTTTACGCCAATGCGTGCAGCAAGGCTGAGCATCTGATCACAACCACCTGGGACATGTACCAGGAAAAATTCGGCTTTATGTTGATCTTTTGGAATATGGCGGGTGTGCCACTTTCCTACTGCCACTGCATATTGTACCTCGCCAATCGCCACCCCTCAACGTACGCCTGGAACAAGTATGCCTTGGCGGCACTTTTTGTGTCGTACCTGTTCGTCTATTGGGTCTGGGATACAGCGAATAGCCAGAAGAACTCATTCCGCATGATGGAGCGAGGTACATTCGTCAAGCGCAGGACATTCCCTCAACTCCCTTGGCAGGAGGTCTACAACCCGAAGACTTTGGTGACGGAGAACGGTGATACAATTCTGGCCGATGGATGGTATGGGCTAGCCCGCAAAGTCCACTATAGCTGTGACATGTTCTTCGCACTGTCTTGGGGGTTGATCACTGGCTTTGAAAGTCCTTTCCCTTGGTTTTACCCGCTTTTCTTCAGCATTATGATTGTCCATCGTGCCAGAAGAGATATCACCAAGTGCAGAAATAAATATGGTGAGACTTGGAAACAGTACGAGAAGACAGTGCCATACCTTTTCATTCCGGTGAGTCCTATCCCTACTAATTCAAATATACACATGTTCCAGGTTTGCTAACTTCTTTTTAGTATGTGATCTAGATCACCCGTCCCAATGTCTTGGGCAAGAAGAAAGAAATAAAAACCCCTCGACTTTCTTTCTAGCGGACTAATTGGTTATTTCTTGCTGTATTATGTCTATTAATTTTTCTTCCTTTTCTTTGCCAAATGTCCAGATACGCACAGTGGGTGTCTGACTCAAACTCTCGTATAGAGCATGGAGAAGTTAAAAAGTACATACTGAGAATTTCACGTGAGTTGTTTACTAGAGATAATCTTGCAGAAACCCACGAAGTACGTTTTCAATGGGCATCAGACCCGCCACCAAGGGGTCTCATGCATATCCCCTGCACCTCACCATGGAAACAGCAATGTTCTAGTTAGCGTGTCTAACTGATAAAAACCTCCCAAAGCCACAGTATTGATACTACTTAAGTAAATATTGCCTACGTACTCCGTACTGAGTGCCCAGGTGGGTTAAGATTCCTTGGGGTAAGGCCGAGCATGAGTACTCATTTATTTTTCACGTGTTACAGGTGGCCTCGGCTCCCAAAAACGTGAATCGAGGCTATAATTTTGTAATCTTGTAGATCGATAGGGTTGAACCCGAGGCTCATGTAATCCTGCGAAACCACAGGCAATCCCAGCTGAGCAGTTTGTCTTTTCCCAACAACTTATGCTTCCAAATTAATTCCTGAGCTCTGGGCAAAATTTGCACAATTCCTTTCAGTTTTCTCATCACTTACTCGTACTCTGTACTCCGTACTCCCGAGGTCGTGGTCTCCGGGTGGGTCTTGAGCTCATCATCGATTGCACAACACATTATCATTGGTTAGTCACATCCACTCCGCCTGGAGATCAACACGCTGTATGATCATTGGTTCGGGATCTGATCTTGCAAAGGGTGCCTTTTTGTACCTAATGGGTGATGCTGCGAAGAGACGACAATTGTGTTACCGACCTCTAACAAAAACATCACACCGCCATTAATACATCTCACTGGCATAATAAGGCCCTAAGGTCCTACTGCTGCTTCTTCTTCGCTCTTTTCTTCGCTCTTTTCTTCGCCGAGAACAGATTGCAAACTTGAGCATTCAAACCCCTCGGATGGACAATATGCGCGACATCCTCGCCGGTGCAATGTCGCTAGTATCGTGGAAGACACTCGCTTTGCTTCTGGCATTCGTCAATCTCAAGAACCTTCCGTTTATCTGGCATGTAGGTGTTTCTTTCCGCTCAGGGGTTCGCTGGAATTGGTGTTCCCGCGCTTCTGGGGAGCGATTCCCCGTCTCATGGATTACACCGCTGACCGAGCCGCCAGTTCCGCGTGCTGTACTACTTCTTGGGTAACCTACGTCTCAAACCAAGTGCACCTTTTTTCCCCAAGGGAAAAGCAATCGTGGATGCCCAGGGAAACCCCACTCATCCGGTCTTCGTGTCATGCATGATCACATCTCGCACGCCGTTGCTCGAGACTGATTACAATTTGCACAAATCAAACAGCACATATTTCTCTGACCTGGACATCTCACGTACGTCACTTGTCACTCGCCTTTACAGCCCTGGTGTGGGCATGGTGAGCAAGGAGCTAGATCAGGAGTTCCTCGCTGCAAGCAAAAAAGAGGGCAAACCTGCTCCTCGCCGCAAAGCTGTGTCCATTGTGCTTGGGTCGGTGTACTGCACATTCAAACGCGAGATCAAGCCATTCGAACTGTATGAAATGCACTCCAAGATCATCTCCTGGGATAAGAAATGGTTGTACGTTTTGACCTGCTTCATGCGACCCGCCCGCCGCGGAGGTGAAAAGACAGTGCTTGCGGTTGCCGTGAGCAAGTATGTGACCAAGAAGGGCCGATTGACCGTTTCGCCGGAGCGACTTCTGCGTGCTAGTGGGTTCCTTCCCACGCCACCCAAAACCGAGGCAAATGCCGAACTGGTCGACTCTGCTGAAGCGTCTGGTGTCGACACACCCGGTGGCGGCGACGGTATCACGGCCACGGGCGTTGATGAGTCGTTGGTTCGGGAAGTCTTGAAAATGAATGCCGATCAGATTCCCGGCCAAGACATCCTCGAAAAACAGCAAAAGGACAACAACGCCTCGTGGAGTTCGGAGGAATGGACCTGGGAGCGCATTGAACAGGAAAGGTTGCGGGGACTGAAAGTTGTGGATGGCTACATTGATCTCGATACTAAGTTGTACGAGGAATGGGTGCAATAGATTAAGATCTGTGGGCTTTGATATGACACAATCCAAGAGTGATCCAAGCGCCCAGGCCTTTGAGCTAAGATTAGAATGGAGATCCCAAAACAACGGTCTCAATTGTACAGCATCCATAGCCCTGGAGATCTGCAAAGCTCTGTAAGCCGACTGATCTCGGCCTTCACTGTGTTTTAGGTAAGATTAAATCGAAGAGCTTGTGAGGTAATGTCCATGTGTTTCTAGTTTCTAGTTTTCTTGTTTTACTGGTACCAGGGGTCTTCACATAGTTCATTGTTGGCATACTCCGTTATCCGCACAGACCACAGGGATGGAAGAAAGTACTGTAAGAAAGCAGTAGAAACATCAAATAATAAAGCATAATCAACATTAGCCCTGTGTACTTTGTACACGGAGGATCAGGCAATAACCCAGAGCAACTGCATCTTGAAAGATTTCAAGGGGAGCACGTAATGGTTCGGGTCCGGTGGTATCCGAGATTGGCTGATCGTATTCAAAATGCTCCGTATTTACATGACCCCCAGGGATTCGAGCTTAATTTTGAAGAGTGGTAGTAGTCGAGAATCTTGAATATCAATTTAATTTGTTTTTTCTGTTGAGTACTAGTAGCAACCTGGAGCCATCTGAAGTATTCCATCCACTACTTCGCACCACACTAGAAGTGACCTTTTCGTACAAGTATTGTATTTGGGTAAAGATCGAACAAATCACATAACCAGACATCACGTGACCCCGTCGCAAAGCCTCAAGGTGCATTGACCAAGCTCTATCCTAACCATTCGTGATACCTTCTTCTCATCTTTCTGCTGTTGCGCCAGCGTCAATCTCGTGTGCCATCTTCTACTATCTCTGGTAAGTCCTTTGCTTTGATTTGCCTATGCCCAAGCTGCACCCCTGAGGGAGTTACTCTTAGCCGAGACCGGACTTGATACAAATCAATTTCGCGGCTCCCAGATGTCCAGGCCAAACTCCCTCCAGGGCTATGATCGGACGATTCCCACACCCTTGCCATACTCGGCTTCTCATTTGTCCAATTTCAAGCCCATCATTCCTCACCCTGTTCCCACCTGCCCCTGCCTCCTTTCAGTGTCAGGCCATCGTGCACCCGGTCCACCTTCAAGCGTCTCCGGCACCTGCATGATTGGTCCACTTCACTGTTCTTCCTTTTCCATGGAGAACCTAGCGTTACCTGCGCAGTTTTATTGAAATGGTCTCCAGGGCTGCTTTAAGGACTTCTGACTTCATTCCCTGCAACCTACCTTATTCTTTTGCCTCCAGGCGACAGATTTGTCGCTCGCACTCGCAACGATACCCGTGACTTGACTAAACTAATTTTCTCAGCTCAAAAGAAGAAGAAAAAAAAATTAACATCAAAATCGGCCGTAACGAGCTTATCGTAATTGTTACCAACAACGTCGCTCGATACTGCATCCGACCGCCATCACATCTTATACTTTTTCCTACCTTCACAACAAATATTCTCGACGCTGCCTAGGCTTCTACTCTCATTTTCCCCGACCGCTGGGAAACGTTCCCTTCTCGCCGTCGATCAGCGGTCGCGCCATCCGACGACGGCAATCACACTCCTGAACCCAGCCTCCGTTTGACATACTCGGCAGTGGCGACATCATTCGAGATGCCGGCCAATAGCTCGCTCACAGTAGGGTCCGCTGTCGACTCCACCTCCATCACTCCGCCGCACAGCGCCAACGGCAAGAAGGAGGCACCCGAAGGTGTGCCCGCTGAGCTATCCGACCTTGAGCTTGACCCTCAATCCGCCCCGGCGCCCGAGGAAATCCACATCAAGAGGGAAGAAGAATTAGATGAAGACATGGAAGATATCGAAGATATCGAACCCGATCACTACTACGGCGACGGCGGGATCCCTGTTTTCAAGCCTGTGAGTGAACCCATCATCTCCGGTTTCTAATAATGAAGAACAGACCGTTCGGCGATTCTGTCTAGCTCGCTGGGTAATCGTGAAGGGCTTGGCTAACGAGATTCTGTCCCAGACAATGGATCAATTCCGAGACTTTCAGGCGTTCATCAAGAAGATCGATAAATATGGGATGCGCTCGGGCATCGTGAAGGTCATTCCTCCAAAAGAATGGTGTGTTTGCCCCCTGCAATCAACACAGCCGTGTTTGCTCACATATCTTCTCAAAGGTCCGAGTCACTTCCCCCGCTTGATGAACAAGTCAAGAAAATCCGAGTGAAGAACCCGATCACGCAAGACTTTTACGGCACCCACGGGAAATATACCCAGGCCAACGAGGAACGCCAACGCTCTTACAATCTTCCCCAATGGAAGGGTCTTTGCGAAGAAAGCAGCCACCAGCCCCCTGCTCGTAGAGGCGAAAGGCGCCGTAATCAAGAACGGGTGAATCGTGCGGCTCCCACACCACGGCCTCAATCTGCTCGCCCGGAAGGCCAAAAGCGCCGCCCAGGCCGTCCGCCGAAACGAACGAATCAGGTCAAAGTCAAAGAGGAGCCTCTCGCCGATGACGCCGACAGGTCCCGACTGGAGGGGCCTCCGACACCTGTTTCGCCCGAAACCAATCCTGTGCAGACTAAGACTGAGGATCTGAGCGATGGCGAATCCTTGCCCCCCACGAAGCCAAAAGGACGTCAATCAAAATCCACGACTTCTCGCCGAAAGCACAACCGAGGTGATGCCCTGGATCAAACAGATGAGGAGCTGTATGCAGGCTTCGACTACCGAATCCACGATAACGAAGAGTACACCGCGGAACGATGCGAGGAGCTGGAGTCTAACTATTGGAAGTCGCTCACATTCAATCAACCATTGTATGGTGCTGATATGCCCGGTTCGCTTTTCGACGACAGCACGGAAGCCTGGAACGTTGCCAAATTGCCAAACCTCCTTGACGTTCTGGGCCAGAAGGTTCCTGGTGTCAACACTGCCTATCTTTATCTTGGCATGTGGAAGGCCACGTTCGCGTGGCACCTTGAGGATGTTGACCTCTACAGCATCAACTACATCCATTTCGGCGCGCCCAAGCAGTGGTACAGCATCTCGCAGGAGGACGCACCCCGTTTCGAGCAGGCCATGCGGAGCATCTGGTCAAGTGATGCGAAGAACTGTGACCAGTTCCTTCGCCACAAGACTTATCTGGTCTCACCCAGTATCCTCAAGTCTCAATACGGCATCACTGTCAACCGCTTGGTCCACTACGAAGGTGAATTCGTGATCACTTTCCCCTATGGGTATCACTCTGGGTACAATATCGGATACAACTGCGCCGAGTCGGTCAACTTTGCCACCGAGCAGTGGTTAGACTATGCCCGCATCGCCAAGAAATGCAATTGTGAGGCAGACAGCGTTTGGATCGACGTTGGCGAAATTGAACGCAAGCTACGAGGCGAGAGTACCCCAGAATACTATGGCGAATTCGAAAGCGAGCTCGATGGGTTCGAAGGTGCTTCAGATCTTCTCACACCGCCACGAAGCGTGCCTGAAAAGGGTTCTACCCGTGGCCGAAAACGGAAACACCCGGGCGACGGGCCGGGCACCAAACGTCCCAAACTCCACCCTGACGGACCACGCAAACTTCCGTGTCTGCTGTGCCCTAATGACCTCGAATACGAGGATTTGCTGCCAACCGAAGATGGCAAAGGGCATGCACACAGACGCTGTGCATCATTCATCGAAGAGACCACCATTCTGCATGACGCGACTGGCACAGAGGTGGTTTGTGATATTGACAAGATTCCCAAGGCTCGCTTGGGCCTGAAATGCCTCTTTTGTCGCGAAGTCCATGGTGCCTGCTTCCAGTGCAATTTCGGCAAATGCACTCGCGCTTACCATGCCACCTGTGCCCTCCTGGCCGGTGTTCAAGTTGAACATGGCACAATTGGAGTGATTGTCGAAGATGGGACCCAATACTCAATCCCGAGTGTTGATTTGAAATGCAAATTCCATCGCCAGAAACGGCCCACTGGAACACTGGCAGAATCATCTGATGTGGACCGCCGGGTGATCGAAACGGCTCGTCAATTGGTCCCAGGCAATTTGGTCCAATTCCAAGCCGACAAAGAGATCAATGGTGCCATTGTCATTGAGAACCGTCATTCGGAGCGAAGCCTGGTTCTCAAGGTGCTCCCAAGAGGGTAAGTCGATCTTTGTTTATTTTTTCCCGGATTTGATTTTTTTTTTTGACTTTTGAAATTTATTTGTTTCGAAAGTTCGGGTCAGGACCGACGCTAACGAAAATCTGCAGAGATGTGATCGAAATGCCATACCGTTGGATGCTGGTAGTTCGCAAGAGCAATTTCCAGCCTCTTGGGGTTGGAATCCAACCCCTCCCAGCACACCTAGCGCGAAAACCTGAACAACGGAAAGAGTTAGAGTCAGCGGTACCCGCGGCAGGCAGTGCATTTGGTGATGCCCGATCTCCCTATCAGTGGGCCGAATTCGAGACGGTGGATGCAACTAAGAATCATTTTGCCCCACTCCGTTCGGTCAATCTCGAACAGAGCGAACAAATCTGGTATTATTTGGGCAAGCAGTCCACCGAGAGTAGGGCACAGTATACGCACAACCCTACTGTGCCCATCCACAACCCTCGGGCCAATTTCCTGGATAGCGTCAAGTCGCTTGGCGTCAATGTCACGGCGAAGATCTCACCCCACCACTTTCATTATGCTCCCACCGCCCCTGCCCCTCACCAAAATCTTTACAATCGATCGAATGTTAACACCCCTCACCTACAATCCCGACCGCCCTCTTCTGCCTTGCAGCATCTTGCCCCTCCCCCTCCCCATATCCCTGCCGGTGCTGCTGCTGCTGGAGCTCCTGCGATGCCGTCGGCCTTTCGAACTCTACCCAATCAATCCGCCCGTCATGCCCCCTATCCCTCGGTCGCCAAGTCGCACGCTCAGCAGCAGCATCACCTTCCGTCCACCAATACCTTTGCCAATGTACGAGAGCTTATCGCCCGCCGTCGCCTAGCACAAATCACCGACCATGCCAATGTGTTCGCCGGATACGACATCGTCAAAGCCGAAATGGTGGTCGAGACCCTATTGGGCCCCATGGGATCAATACCACCAACCAATGGTCTCGAAAAGCTTGAGTTGGCCATGGCCCAGCAAAGGGTCCAGCCACGTGCTGCGGATGGCACATTATTGCCACCTCAGACCTTGAATATGCGGTCGGAAGAGGTTACTCGCTTGCTGCAGATGCTCCGGTTCTCGCTGGTGAGTCATCGCGAGCGACTCGATGTGATTCAAAAGAAGGAATCCGAGGGCGTCAAGCAGGAGATTGTAGATCGAGGCAGCGTGGCGGCTGCCAAAATGCCGGGAAAATATGCGTACCTCGATCAACAACGGGAACTCGCTCCCAATGTTTATCAGTCTCCTTACAACATGCCATCGGGTCTTTCCGAATACGCCAAGACCACATATGGACTGCTTCCCGCCGCAGATGAACCACCTAAGCCCTCGTTGGCCAACGACTTTTTCAACAGCCTCCCTCCTGACATGCAGGAAAAGGTCCTCAAGTCATGTGGCAACTTTGTCCAGCGTGCAATTCAACGATCGGCCACTCATAGTCGACAAAGCTCAACAGGGTCGAATCTTCGACTGTCGGCGGCGTTAGCACAACAGACGGCAAATCCGACTATCGACATTACACCGGTGGATGACCCCCCTCTTCTCTCGGGTCTCGATATGCCGCTTCACGTGGATTCTCCGTGCTCTAGCTTTGGCCGGTCGCACCTACGATTCCAGTCGCCGAATGAGTTCCCCATGCATGGTCCAGAACCTCACCCCGATCACCATGACCTCTTTGGAGATCAGCAAGCGAATACTCGCTTCTGGCAAAACGGGCCATGGGTCGCTGGGGATGGCAATACTCCAAACGACGAGAATCGACCGTTTTTCGGGCCTCATATCTTCGGAGCGCATGATCGATTGAAACATGACTATGCTTCTTCGGACGTCTCCCTAGGTAAGGGTCCTGGATCCTTGCACTCCGTTGACATGGCTGGCTTCGGTCCGGACAACGAGGATCTCGGACTCAGCCCCTAGAACGGCCCCGTCACCATTCCGACATTTCAACCTCGCGTTTACTTACTGCGACTGTACTTGCATATCCTCATGTAACGACTTCACCGGCTCCACGACTCTGCATGAATGGGCGTTTTCCTGCTTGCTTTTTTTTTCCTTTTTAAACATCACTCTTCCGATCTCGATTGATGATCGCTCCGTTACCACGGGTCATGTTTCTTTACGATTTGGAGTTGGCACTAGCTGGCTGGTCACGACTCTGCGCATTTTCATTTCATCCGATCATTATTCTCTCTTTCACGGCGCGACTTCCGACTCCAACCTTGAGAAGGTAGACTGGAGTGGTCACATAGACGGAGTTCTTGCACGGTTCCTTTTGCGACCGGAAAACACGAAACATCCTCCCAGCCTCCCCGTCTCCATCTCGTTTCATGTCCCTGCCTCCGCCCTTTCAACATCCCGGCCTACTTTCGCCCAACCTCACTGATCCCGAGGCTCTCCCCCATGTCCTATTAGATATCTGATCAAACAAGAAAAAAATTACTTTTCTTCGAACCCCAGCGAGATCACTGGCTCACCTTTGTGCTTTATCCCCCTTTTTTGATACCCCTCCCCATCACCCCGACCAAATGTGCGGATCCGTGGATTTGCGTTTTCCCGCCTTCTGTGTCAATATCCATCCTGGCGCTCATCGATTGCTCGGCTCCATCTTCGAAGAGTCTTTGCAGCATCCGATGTGGCAGCCGTCACCTCGCGTGACCTTGATGTATGTGCAATGAATCATTCAAATATTTCAATTTCCTCTGTAGGCCTATAATTCTGGTAATTTACTCTTTACTCCGTATTATGAATTTCTTAGCGTGGAAATAGCGTCCCCCGACGCTGACTTTGGCCTGAGGTTCCCCGTTTGATGCCCAACATTCCGGCCCACCCACACCGACTCAATTTCGAGCCGCAGCACACCTGCTCGGCCCGGCTTCGTCATTTCTACATATTCCCCACAACTCCGCGTTTCAACGTGTCGCGCATGGCTGCGAGCCAGCAGAGATAAGAGTACATAAGTACTCGTAAATACGCAGGTCATGCGGGTCATACAGGTTGACAACCACGTAGACTTTAATTTATTCGACTTCCTATTACTTAAGCATGTCTGCCTGGCTGATTTGGCAGCCTTTCAGACAGCTCTGACTCCCCAGGTACGCATAGAAGTCATATATACATACAAGTCATCCATGGATGTACTCCATACTTCATACTACTTAAGTAGAAAGTAGTAAAATTCGAAGAAGAGCCTACTCCGTCAACTAGTATAATTCATAAAGAAGGTTGGGCCGCTGTGTACTGCCCCCAGGTGTGAACCTAGGTAGTGTCCCTTACTTCAGTAGCCACTTGCCAGGTGGTCTGTTTCAAGGATGGCTCTCCGTTTACTTAAGTAGGAAGGCATTCCAATACTAGCTTTATCAATCTCAATCTCACCCAATCCTAAAGTCTGAGCTACTTAAGTATTTAAGTACCTACTCTGTTGTGCAAGTAGACATCCTGGTGCCGCTTTTTAGGCCACGGTGGGATTTGGCTCACGCTTCCCCACTGCCGATCTCGATATGATGTCAAGTCTTCGATTGCGGAGGTGTTCCGTGCCATTCCAAGGTTGACAGCTCGTATGCTGCTTTGTAGCAGTACGAGTAGGGCTTGAGGAGTCATTTATCGAGTACATCGTTACCCTCATAGGGTACTACTGGTGTGTCAGGCTCACTGGTCCTGGCAGGATTGAGCCATACTTGATAGCTGAACTTAGAAGGAGCACGAGGACACGCGGTCTCTTAGTTTTGTCGATCGAGGGCGGTTCGAGGGTTGAATTGACTTTGTGTTTGAGCAGGGATAAGATTCTAGAAGGACATTATGTCACCGAGTATCTCTCTCCCAAGGACTACTCGTATCTTCACTATCTTGACTTAAACTGAGGAGAAATAGGGGCTGTGGGTCAGTCCTATCGGGAGGCGAAAGGTAAGACCTGACCACTCAAAACGACCGAAGAGACCGGGTTTTATCATGATAAGGCTTGTCTGCCAAAATCTGGAGGCCCCCCATATTACTGGCATTTGTCTTCATTCGCTACATGTCTTTTGCCTCTGCTCTTAATCTGCGCGGTCCCGGACCGCGCCATATGAACCTCATCTGGGCATGCGGGGTTGCATTCTTCCATAAACTCTATACTTCATAAACAAGGGAACCTCCCGACGTCCAGGTCTCTTGCCTTGTACAACCTCTCGCCATGCGATCCTCAACAGACGGCAATGCCGACGAGGCCTTGGCCGCCTTGGGCTACAAAAGTGAACTACCTCGAAATCTAAGTATGATGAGTATCCTCGGCCTGTCATTCGCCATCATGGCCGCCCCGTTCGGCCTCAGCACAACCCTGTACATCACTCTGGCAGATGGTCTCTCGGTCACTATAATCTGGGGTTGGGTCTTCGTCAGTCTGATCTCAATCGCCATTGCAGCCTCACTGGCTGAGATCTGCGCTGTTTATCCAACGGCCGGAGGCGTCTACTACTGGAGCGCAATGCTGTCCACCCGTGAATGGGCCCCATTGATGTCCTTCATCGACGGTTGGCTGACCCTAGTCGGAAACTGGACCGTGACTCTCAGTATCATCTTCTCCGGGGGTCAGTTGGTTCTTAGCGCCATCTCCATCTTCGATGAGTCCTTCGTTGCGAACGCCTGGCAGACCGTCCTGATGTTCTGGGCCGTCATGCTCGTCTGTGCCCTCGTCAACATCTTCTTATCCCGCTACCTCGATCTCATCAACAAGGTATGCATATTTTGGACCGCCGGCAGCGTCATCATCATCTTGGTCACTCTGCTTACGATGGCGGACGACCGCCGAGACGCCGAGTTCGTCTTCGGCCATTTTGACTCCTCCACCAGTGGCTGGCCCTCTGGCTGGGCTTTCTTCGTCGGGTTGCTGCAGGCAGCATACACCCTCACCGGCTATGGCATGGTCGCATCCATGTGTGAAGAAGTCCAAAACCCCCACCGCGAAGTCCCGAAGGCAATTGTGCTGTCTGTCGTCGCAGCCGGAATCACAGGTCTTTTCTACCTGATTCCCATCCTCTTCGTGCTGCCAGATGTGAAGCTTCTGCGTGAAGTTGCAAGTGGCCAACCAATTGGCCTAGTTTTCAAGACCGTGACCGGGTCCGCAGGCGGCGGTTTTGGTCTTCTCTTCCTTATTCTGGGTATAATGCTGTTCGCCGGAATTGGATCCCTTACGGCCGCGAGTCGCTGCACTTATGCATTCGCTCGCGACGGTGCAATCCCGGGGTTCAAGCTCTGGCGCAGGGTGAATAAGAAGCTGGATGTACCGGTGTGGGCGATTGTCCTGTCCGCTGTCGTTGACGGCCTCTTAGGTCTGATCTATTTCGGATCTACGGCTGCTTTCAACTCCTTCACCGGTGTAGCCACGATCTGTCTGTCGACCTCATACGGTCTCCCGATTTTAATATCTTTAGTACGGGGCCGGAAAGATGTCAAGTCTTCTGGATTCTCCCTCGGGCGATTCGGATTTGCTATCAACTGCATCACCATTGCGTGGATCGTGCTAGCGGTCGCGCTCTTCTGTATGCCCGTCACAATACCCGTGACACCTGAGTCGATGAACTATGCCAGTGTTGTGTTCGCTGCCTTTGCCAGTATCAGTATCATCTGGTACTTTGCTTACGCGCGGAAACACTTTACTGGACCGCCGATTAGTGGTGAAGAAGCGCGCGCTGCGACGGAGCTCATGACTGGGACGTCGGTGGATGCTGAGAATTCACTCGAAGTTGTAAAGAAACTTTCCAGTGGTTAATCTGTATTTGTTAGCACTTTGTCCCAATGAAATGCAATGATCATGTGAAATATCAGGAGAATCACAAGTGTAGAGGCCCTGACGATCGCCCCGAGAGCCGCGGCCCACGCCACTTTTTACCGGCACACGAGACAACCTTGTCACTTTCAACGTCTTTGAATCTTTCGTTTTTTGTCTCTGATTTCCCACTCTTTGATAATTGGGAGGTGAATTTTTAATATCTAATACACGATACCCTTTACCCTTCTGGGAAAGCCAAGCCGAGCGCCATTCCGGGGGAAAATCGCAGCTTTCCCGATAAAGCAGGGGAAACACGTCCAACACCGAAAACCCCTTTGCCATTCCAGCGATCTGTGGTTCGACCCTCGAGAAAGAAATCCCAACACATCCCAATATCCTCGCTCTCCATGAGGTCAACCCACGCAAGTCGATGCCCAACCCCGCTTCCATGAAAGGGCACCCCGGAACCCTTATCGCATCATGTCGGACTCTGTAGGTGCGTACTCCGTACACCCCTGCGTCCTGCGTCCAGCGTCTCACTGACACGACGCAGATCGGGTCTTCGTCCATGCCCTCAATACCGTCAAGAGGATCCCCCGGAGCGGCACCGCCAGACCCCCGTCCGCCGAGCGGCTGAAGCTATATGGCTTGTATAAACAGAGCATGGGTGAGTGAACCGCCATCAATGAAATCGCCACAGCCACCCAGACTCTAATCAATACTGCAGAGGGGGATGTCGAAGGTGTCATGGATCGACCGATAGGGAATACACCCGAAGTGCACTCCGAGTGCGAGAAGTGGTATGTTCAAATGCCGATCCGACATTCTACAAAAAACAACCCCAGGCTCACAGGATAGGGATGCATGGTACGCGCAGCGCGATCTCTCGCGAACAGAAGCGAAACGCCGTTATATCTCCACGTTAATCGACACAATGCACCAATACGCATCCCATACCTCCGAAGCCCGCGAACTCGTCGCCGAACTCGAATTCGTCTGGGACCAGATCAAATATAATGTCTCCTCTTCCTCCTCCTCAAGCCCCCTCAACACAGTCGGTGTCCCGCCCTTATCGCGCAGCGCGTACGGGAGTATTGGCGGCCGATTAGCAGAGGAATATGAAAGCGAAAGGCCGCGTCGGGATGGTCGAGACTCCCGATTACGGGTCCTGAGTCCAGTCAGCCAGCCTGAGGATCGGGATGTGTCTGATCATGAAGATGAGGATGATGATGAATTCGAAGAAGCGCGCGATAGTCTATATGAGCAGGATGAGGCGGATAGTAGCACGCATACGGACATTTCGCCGAAACATAGTCGGCATCCTGCTTCAGGAAGCATAGCCAGTAGCGGTGCTGGACTCCGCTCTCATTCTAACGCTCGCTCACATTCACAATCACAATCACATTCGCAGTCTGGGCTTCCTGGGCCGAAGGATGGGCGCTGGCGTCGAAGGGTTGAACAGGCTCTTACGAAAATGACGGCCGAGATAGCCGCTGTTCGTGAGCAAATGGAGACACGGACCGTTGCGCAACGCCGTCGGAATGGCCTGTGGGCCTGGGGAAAGTGGATTCTGTGGGTTGCTGTGCGGCAGATTCTGGTCGATATCGCTATGCTGGGCATGCTTTTAATCTGGATGCGCATTCGCGGGGATCGAAGAGTTGAAGATCGCCTCAAGACCGGGTGGGCTGCTGTCAAAGCCAGACTTGGGAGGGTCAGAGGTATGGGGTTGAGGAGGGTTGATATGCCTCTCTTGCCTTGATTGCTTCTGACTATTAGTGTCTTGTTTTCGGATTGATGCATTTGCATTGTTGGCTTTTGGTCTCTTGCCCTACTACATGCTTTGGTGTCCTGGTTCTCTTTTTATTTTTACATTCTTGTGTCTACTTATACTATCTATCTTTTCTTTTGTCTGGTATATATGGGTTTCAATCTCACACTTCGGGGGCTCCTCTTTCTTTTGGTTTTTCTCTTGGTTGTTCACTGAAGTTCACATCTAATGTTGACAGGTAATATGTTCCTGATGGAAATATTAACCTTGGAAGTGTTATCTGGCTGAGGACAACCTTGGAACATGTCGGTTGACATGGTGCATTGACAAACTTTGATCGACTTTTCGATTGACAATGTACCTAGTAGATGAGCATATAGATTTTTGTTGACCTTGTTGCAATGATTTCCATTTGTGATTTTAACCAAGCTATATTTCTTTGGTTTATATTATAAAGGTCTGGTTCAACATGCCCGGGGTCCTGTCAAGACAAAAAACGACAAAATAACAGCCAGCTTCAGTGACAGTATATGTAACCACAAAACTCCCAAAATCGCAAGAACTTTAGTATTAGCCCTCCAGGGCTTCATCCATGAAGATGGACCCGAGGTCGGCATGCAAAACACCATGTTTGTGCACTCACTGAAGTTGAAAAGAACAATCCAAATTTCGAGACAGATCATACCCCATGTCGATGATGTCTCTTGTAGCGAAGGGAGAGTCGGTCGATGGACCAGCATAGTCATAGACATATGAAGAAGCCCTCTGAGGCAAAGGGGGATCCATAACCGGTGTGTAAACGAATTTCACTTGCGGTTTCTGTGTTAGGCTTGCAGACACCATAGTTGCAACCAACGCCACAAAGATCACTGTGAATGGAAGCCTTGTCAAAGCAAGCAAAGCCGGAGCAGCAGAGACCTTGGATGTAGCGGTGGGTTTTGCATGAGTCGTAGTGGAAGTGTTCTTAGGTCGATTTTTGGTGAGCTCGGATCCAACCCAGGCATTCCAATTCTGAGTCTCTTCTACGCAGGAGTCTGAGATTGATGCACCGCGCATTTCAGCAATGGTCTTTCCTCTGCGCGAGACCGTCACTACCACCTGACCAGTATTGCCATCGAATGGCACACTGCCATGATAAATACCAATTTGACCTGGTGGTGTACTCTTCCACTTCCCTTCCTGTGACACGCCGCCAATTTCTACCGCCACATCCACGGCAATCGCAGAATGTAACAGTGCAGAGTAGAAGACTTCGTCTTGTAGGACATCCGTCGGTGGAATGAGCTTCTGCCCATGCGTTTCTGTGTTGCCCATAGTTCCGCCGTTTTTGCAAGCCTTGCCGGGTGCCTGGCGGTACCATGCAGTGACACCTTCTGTTTTGACGTTCGTCTTGCCCGTCTTATATAGATCAATGACAAACGGAAGAAAATCTCGCCAGCCATCATGGGGATAATCAGCAGCATAGTTGTAACTAGCCCCGCCGATTTCGAAGGTTGCATATGCATCGTCATGCAAAGGGCCGATATAATGTGACTCGCCGTAATCGTTCCACGAGATAATCTCCACGAATTCAGGTTTCAGTGAAAGCACCTGCTGCCACCGGTCATACCATAGGTTGTCGCCATTCCAGATCCAATTTTTGCCATAGCCAGGCAGATTGGTGTAGAACCACGGTGAGACAGGCATCATGTACGGTAAGTCACCGGAATCTTTGAGCCATTGCATGTACGTCGAGTCAATATATGTGTTTATCGATTCGGAGCCCTCGGGCCATGCTGCCCAGGAGAATAGGCCGTCTGGTATACCTGGGGCAACCGCCAATGCCTCTTTTGCTCCGAGAGCTGACCAGCCCGGCACGAAGAAGCAGTCTGCAAATTTCTTGATGGATTTCCAATCTGTGGCGTTTGATGAGCCCTCGAAAGTTGAGACAAAAGGCTTGCCTTTGTGGTGATAGTATGCTGGATTGTCTCTGTATCTATTGATGACGGCAATCACGTCGCCCTCGGGCCAGGGGCCATTCCCTACATAGTCGAAGGAGAACAGAAGTTTGAAGTCCAACGTGTTTGCTGCTTTGAATGCATTTTCTAGAGAGCGGTTGTTTGTTGGATAGTTGTATGCCAGGTTGAGTGCAAAGGCATCTAGGTGAGCCTTTTGAGCCTCTGCAATGTTTATCTCCCAATCGTATAGGGTGAAGTTCTCGGAGTTGTAAACCTGAATCATAGAAACATTAAATCTGGATATAGGAGATAGACCGGGAACAATACCATGAAGTGTGCAAACACAGCCGCTGCCTGGACATGGTGTACTAGATTCCATAACGATAAAAAGATGAGATTTGTCGACCTCATGACTACTGAAACTGTGGAGTTTGACTATAGAGGCCAGCCACACAAAGAGTTAAGAAACCTAGAATTACAAGGCAGTCAAGGGTGCCTTTTGAAGGAATATGCATCGATCTACTCAAGTATCGTTGCACGCACGCACGGAATGTCGTGGAGAGCCAGAAACCTTGGAACATAGGTACTTATTGTATGTCCATAGTAGCTTTTGTTTGTCAATATGCTATAGATAGATGCCGGAGATCCGTCATTGGTACATCGGCTCTCGACCGTTTTGCACCACATATGCGATCCTAGGTACCTCCTTAGACTTGTGTATTCGACCTCTATTGGGATACCTTATATCTCTTTCGACCTTCCAAAACTGGATATTGCACTGTATAGCCCTGGCTTTGGGATTGACACACTAACATAACCTTTACAGCGGGTACATAGATATCCAGATAGAAATATGTTTCAGTTCACTGCCAAATTGCAGTTACACCAGTAGTCGGAGTCCCCGGGAATAGGGCTCAATTACCTCTATGGCTCAACCGGCTGAACCCCTGCACGCTGGTCAGCTGGAGAGGATCTGAGATATGGGATGGTCCGGGGTATAGATTATATCCGGTGTGCCATTTCAATCTAGGCGCCACAAAAGGCTTGGAGTTAAGCGTTTATCTGAGCGATGAAAAACAGCTCAGGCCAGATCAAGATTGCCTAGAGGACTGGGGTTCAACCGTGAGTGCGCCCAGCTTCACCAAGAGCACCAAGAGCATTGAGCCCGACTTAACGAGCAGAGCTCTGTACTTAAGTGGCCTGAGGGTTCACAAATACGAATCAACGACCATGGGCCAAGCCAACAAGCCAGAATACCATCTAGCCCCGATTTGCATACACAGGTCATCGTTGCATGTGATATGGCGTTCTTTACCGAAGCCACTCTACGGGTAGATGCATGAAATCTTTTGACACTCGAATAGTTGCCCGTCGAGTGAGATGGATAATGGCAGAGGTACACAAGGCATAGTAGCAAGCTCAAAGGAAACCCACGAAAATGAATGCTGACGAGCATAACATTTCTGTCGAGTGATACCGAGTGTGTCGCCATCGATCTCAAGCCCGAGCGTCCTACGAATGTAGTTCATGAGTGGCCGGGGCTCAGGGAAACTGCACATTGCAGGCAGACAGAAAGCAGAAGCCCGGTCAGATGTAAATCTCTCATGATTCAGGCTACAACAACCGTAACCGAGGGATAATAGGTTAAAGTGGACACAAATCGAGGCTTCGGTGTCATAAAGCCCAATCCATGTCGCGCAATCGGGCAGTCTCACAAGGAGTGAGGAGGCAGTGCTCGTCCGAGTAGAGGTAATGCCCCGGTAAGTCCCATGCGGACACAGGGAGATTAGAAGATTGCAGAAAATCATGTAACCATTCATGATGCCAGGAGATATTTACACAAACATGGACCGTTTCGTTCGGTCGAGCATCCAAATAAAACAGTGATATAGGAAAAAGACAAAGCCCAGATTATGAGAGAGAAATGTGAGGATGTAATCAAGGCGAGTCTAATAGGACAAGTGAACCACAGCAGCATTTACCACTGGGGACCGGGGTACTGGGCGTATTTTTGCTTGGGACGCAGGTGGACAGGAACCTCGCCTTCGGGGGCACCAGGAAGGGTCTTCTTCAAGCCCTATAAAGAAGAAAAGAAGTGAGTGTTAGCGTACACCCCAGCGCGATGGCGAATACAATTGATGCAGAACGACTGCACCGATCGGAGCCAAGAAAACGGATCTCATACCAACTTGTCAAAGACACACTTGTTAAGTGCAACTTCGGGCCTGCGGCACTCCCACAATTGATGGTTGTTGTTCTCGAGGCACTCCCAGTGGGCCTTGAATTGATCCAGGCAGTGGGTGTTGATGTCCTTGATGCTGCGACGGGTCAATGTTTCTTGCTCAATCCAAGGTAAGCTTTCGATTTGTAGAGAACGTACACGCTAGCGGCACAGCGCGTCACCTTCCGACCCTCCTTCAAGCAGTCGAACTCCCCGCGGCCGTTGGACTGCTCCTTGCACTTCATGAAATCGTCATTGTAGGCCTTGCAGCGGTCTCCGATGAAGTAGGCCGCGCTCATAAGAGGCGCAGATGTGGCACCAATTTCCTCGACCTTGGGGATGTGGTCGGGCATGGGGGTGGTGTCCACCAGGACGGTTTGGTTGAAGCTGTGCGCGGAGGGATGTCAGTATTCCACGGGAAAGGGGACAAAGATCGATGGAAGGATGTGCATACCGGGCTTCTCGGTCAGACATGGCGGCGGTAGCTGGTCAGAACAACTGCGAGGGGGAAGAGGTGCAATTGAGGTAAGACTTGGAGATCAAGAGCTGCGGGCTGCGGTGGAATGAAAGGTCGGTTTCTTTGGCTCGCTTCTGATTGGTCGAGAAGATGTGATTAGGTCATCTTCGTTGGAGGCCCAGCGCTATAGATCGCAGAATGGATTTGCCAGTCGATTTATGAGGTAGATGTGGATAAATTGAATGTTTGAAGACAAAAAGGAAGCTCCTCGAGATACTAGCACATCTAATTCACACTGTCAGTCAACCGAAATGGGCAAGAAAGTTGCATATTGAACAATTCGAATCACGTGACCCAAAACAAAGTGAGCTTTGGCTCTCATCTTGCGTCGGAAGCAGAGCTCCATCCAAAACCCCTCAAACTTTTTGACTTCCACCACCCATAATCCCCGGGCTATGACATTGGTGCCCGCTCTCAAATTCATATCGTGCTCGTGATTTCACTGCGCCAACTCATCATCAACCCATTGACGTGCTCACTCTGCGTGCTTTTTTTTCTCTCGCAGAATCGACTTCCCGTATCGATCGTCCACCATGTCAACACTCTTTGGCGGAAGCCAACCCCAGGCAAACACCTCTCTCTTTGGTAATGCCACCAATGCCACCAAACCATCGCCCTTTGGCGCGCCAGCAGCTACAGGTCAGACTGGGTCTTTGTTTGGCGGAACACAGAACCAAGCATCGACAGGAGCTGGATTTGGCGCAGGTGCTACTCAGCAACAACCTGGATCACTGTTCGGCCAACAACCTCAGCAGCAGCAAGCCACTGGTGGTTTATTTAGCGGCAACCAAGCGCAAAGCAGCATGTTTGGTGGTCAACAGCAGCAGGCGCAGCAGCAGCAGCAGCAGCAGCAACAGCAACAGCAACAGCAACAGCAACCACAGCAATCCCAATTCGGCCAGACTACTATGGCGACACCACAAACTCAACAGCAGCAGCCATCCCTCTCCTCTAGTCTTTGGTCTCCCGGCCGTGCGATAACCGGAGGTAGGCACTACCGTTGTGCTTTTTTTTTTTTTTTAAAGCGCCACTAACTGAGAAATTTTTAGTCCACCGAACGGTGCCGATGCAAGTCGCCATCATCAAAGATAAATGGGACCCTCCGAGCTCATCTTCGCCATTCCGCGCTTACCTGTATAACAACGTCGGCGAGGAGGCCGCACCTTTCTACCAACCTGGTCCGGAGGACGATGAATCTAAATGGGAGGAGGCTTTGCGCAAGAGACCGGGCCCAGGATATGTCCCGGTGCTAGTCAAGGGCTTCTGGGATCTCGGAAAGCGCGCCCAACGACAACGGGATTTCCTTACTATGATGCAGTCCCGCCTGCATGAAATCAATAATTGCCTGACTGGACTTCTCTCGAAGCACGACCTCAACATTTCTGTCAAGATCGCCGACTGCCGCCGAAAGCATATCATTCTGAGCAAGCGGTGCCTCGCCCTTGCCGCCAAGACACAGATTCTCCGCAACCGAGGCTATGCCATGGATGAAGCAGAGGAGGAGCTGAAGAAGAAGCTGTTCGAGCTGGAACGTCACGTCTTCGACCCATCTCTCAACGGCCGCGCCGAAGAAATCTGGGCTCGTATGCTGGCTATTCATGAGCATTCCAAGCGACTGCAGGTCGAACTGGATCGCGCTGGTGTGAACGTGGCGCAAGCGGAGGACGATATCGATGAGCAGACATTGAAGACAGCAAAGAAGGTTCGTTATTTCAGACTGACACTTCAGCTCATGAGCCCGCTTACAATTTACTGTAGATTTTGGATGACTATCACTCTCAGATCCAGCATCTGCAGAAAGAGATGGAATCCATCAAATCCGACTTCGACGAGACGGAGAAGGCCCTTCGACACTAAGCACAAAGGCTGTGGTCTTTTCCGTGCCATTTACTTCTCACTTTTCTACATTTCTGGACTTGATGTCCACGGTCATCGGGGTACCGGCGTTCTTGGGGTCCAGGTCAATGTAATGCATATTTGAATATTATCAATTTCACGAACATGCTGTTTTGCATTCCAACATTCCTTCTGTCCAGCATATGGCAGTTTCTTGATTTGCTCTATATGCAAGACATGACAAAAAGAAAACAAAACATGTACAATAGTAATACAATCACGAACCGTCACTATCAGTCAGATGTAAATTCCAATGAGGCTCGAGATATTCCCATCCATCACCCATGCCCCGTGGTATCAAAATTGAAACAAAAAACGCTGACCAGGGAGAAATCCAATCATCCTGCGCGACGTCGCGAATTCATAACCAGTTCATCGAGGATATCGGAAGGGCGAGGGAGGAGAAAGTGGAAGCAGGTCAACCGCTTAAAGGAACTTGCGAACGAAGTCGACGGCGAAGGGAGCTATGAATCCGATGTGCGGTCAGCCTTCAACGTCTAACTTCATTCCCAATTTTGCCTGCGTGCTTCCGGGGAAGGTCACTGTCAAGGCCGAGCTCTCGACTTACAGAGGTAGAGGAGGAAACCACCGGCAAGGGCCATCTGGACGGTCTGGCTAGCCTCGATTTCACCAGCCTGTAAGTTATGTTAGGAATGTCGTAGAGCCGGAGCTTGAATTTGAGCTGACCTTGATCTCTTCCTTGGAGATCTGTTCTTGACCTAAATTGATGGTTAGATGGGCCCTGGTAGAGCGGATGGAGGCGAGGTGAGATCCAAAACATACCTGGAGCGAACATTTTGAAGATTAATGGATGAAAGGGAGAAAGGTGTATGGATAATGGGAGTGATAGGAGAGATGTCGGGATCTCGAGATTGCGTCGACGGAGAAAGAAATCACGAGCACAGACCACCCGGGGCTTATCCGATGCCTGAGGTCCTTCTCACAGCCCTACTTTATACTCCATACTCCGTACTTTGCAGAGACTACACGTTCCATGCAGCATCTAAAAATTGGATAAACACTAATCCATGATGCTCATAACGCCTGCCGACTGAGTTTCCTATAACTCATAAATCCCATCCCTAAGGCTAAACGCGCAGCACAAAAAAAATCCCCCCAAATGAACACCGCAAGCAACATCGAACGAAGTCTCACCATTCATCAGTATTCATCTTCGTCACGATGTTTGGAGTGGCTGCTGTGACGCGAGCTATGAGAATGAGAATGACCGTGAGAATGACCACTGTGTCTTGAGTGACTTCGATGGCGATGATGGCGATGGTGATGGTGGCGATGATCATCGTGGCCATGCTCATGTCTGTCCCCATCATTATCACCATCGTCCTCACTCTTCTTGCTATCCTTGAATTTATCCTCCAAGAAGTTTCCAAGCAGTGCACCTCCGATCGCACCCAGTAAGCCATGCTCTTTCTTGTGCCCGAGATAGTACCCCGCTACCCCGCCAGCAAGCGAACCTGCAAGACCCCGGTCTGTGCCTTCGTCCATTCCGCGCTGCTCATCACGCCGCTCGTCTTCTGCCTCGGATACGTGAAGGGTGGGGACTGAAGATGTTGCGTACCGTGGCTGGTTCGGGTGGTCTGGGTGGTTGTTGCTGGAAGACACTGTGAGTGGCCCGTGCACCCGCGAGTTCTTTCTTCACTTGTGTCCAGGTTCACTTTTACTTCCTTCCCTTCTGCCATTTCAGTCTACCTTCACTTGTACGCCCTCTCTGCCATTTCAGTGTACCTTCAGTTCTACGCCGTCTGTCCCACTTGAGTCACTGAGTCCTGACACTTTTCATCATGTCCACCAGAAGGAAACGATCGCCCTTGGGTGAGCTCGGCTCGGAACCGAAAAGGCAATTTACCCGAAACCCCTCGACCACGTCACAAGTAAGCTTTTCTCTTTTCACACAAAAGTTTTGACTGACTCATTTTCACTTTAGGAGGACATCCAAATCGCCTACAAGTCCTCGATCCCAAAGCAAGAGAATCCTTTGAATGCCTGCATCACCAAAATGGCGGAGGACACTTCGGACATGAAACACTACCCGGACGAAAACATTACAGCAAACCAAGATGGCTTTAATATGATCAAATGCGCAGAAGAGATCAGAAGCGCCTGGGAATCCATACGAAACTTGCAGCAAGAAGTCGAAGAGTTACGAAACTTGCAGCCAGAAGTCGAAGAGTTACGCAAAACTCAAGACTTATTCAAACTTCATAGAGAAAAACATCTCGATCTCCGACAGAGAGCCATTTCGACATATGTTCGCGACGCTCTGCAGAAAGAATCCTCAGCTCGGAAGGAGGCAGTATCAATCCTCAACGCAACCACAATTCATGGAGGCGACATACACTCAGACGCTTGTGTCGTCACGGAGAGATTTAAACCAACAAGCACGGAGCGAAGAAGTTTTGACATACTATACGGACTGCCACCCGAAGAAGTTTTGCGACTTGATCAGCGGAAATATCGGAATACCTTTCAAGCACTGGATAGAGGAGCAACTGTCCTATTGAAAAACAATCTGCAACGTTTCAAGTCCGACAAAATTTCAGAAGCACGCAGAGACATCGTCAGATTGCTACTCAAAGAGAATTTTTCAGAGGCCGAAACGAAAGCTAACGATTTCCTTCCTGATGAATGATCTGTCCCTTGCCTGTCACGTGACATTACACATATATTATTAGGCTAGTTAGGCAGGACAATCAATTATCTTTATGATTATTTAATAGGAAGCTATCTGTTTCCTAGTCGAGGAAGTGTTCTGAGATCGTTGAGACATCCAGCTCACAAGCATCTCATCAAGCTGGTTGTTCATTTCCTTCAGCTTCTTGCTTTCTTCCTTGAACAGACGACCAGTGATCGGGTGGTCAGGACCAGCCGGAGGGACATTCGATTTGTCATGGACAATGATGAACAAGTCACGAATGTCGTTTTCTTCGTCCATGTACGATCTCAGACTAGAATCGCTCCAAGTCGGTGTATCCACAGAGAGTGTATCGACCGAGGCTGGAGTTGTTGTGATGCTCTTTTGGTATTGAGTGTCGTTTCCTACCGATGAGGGCGACGAGGGTGGCGACAGAGAGCGTGTGCTCTGTGATGCCTCTGTGATGCCTTCGACTCCCACAGGAACGTACGCTTCCACCGGAGAGTGTTTCACGGGAGACTCGGACGCGGCTCCGCTCACCTCGGGTGCAAACCTCTGGGCCGGGGATGTTACGGAATTGGAGCCAGCCGATGTGCGACCATACTCGCTGGGCCCTCTCCATTGAGTCCCACTGGACGGACGGTCAACCGGGGACGCCAATGGGTCCATGGATTCAAGTGGAGTCGAGAAAGGATCCTTGGACACACTAGCTGGGCTGATTGGTGATTGCAAGACAATGTCACAATCCTCATAGCCACTTTCTTCCTGCTCGTCCTGCGGGACTTGCCGAATGCTCTGGTCACCCAGATTATGATGGATAGCTTCGCTACTGTTGTATGCAGCCATGTCCGGGTCGAGGTCTGTATCGACCTTCATAATGCCAGCAGGCTGCTTGTGTAGCTTGTTAACCGTGTGCTTCTGTGGCTTTGAGGGTCGTTGAGATTCCTTGGAAGGTCGTTGGGATTCCTTGGAAGACCGCTGTTGCTCTTTGGAGGATCGCTGCTGATCGGGTGACATGGACTTCGACGACATTGACTCCATAGAGGTCTTTGGTTGAGGTGATGTCCGGGATGCTGAGTCTATGGGGGACCTGTCCGGTTCATCGACATCGTCTTTGTTCTTCTTGCGCTTGAACAATCCGCTGAGCATTCCTGATTTCTTTTCCTTTCGTTTCTTCTCCTCCTTCTCCTTTGCTTTGTCTTGCGGATTGGTTCCCTTTTCAAGAGAGTCGAGGCTTCCACGGGGCTTCACCAGCTGGTTAGCTTATCATTCGAGAAAATCCAGTTGAGTGAACGTACCTCTTTCCACTCTGCCAAAGTACTCAGGCCATTTTCATCGCGCGCATCACGCAGCAGATTTGGCGTAAGAGAAATCTTCTTGGGCTCCGCAGTATCATCTTTGAAGAAGGAATCGGTGTTTCGTACAGTGCCATTTCTGGATCTACTGACAGTGGGTTCTGTCGAAGAAGAGTCAGTCCACGGCACGAGACTTGCTGGTAGAGGGTTTAATTTACCTTCCACTTCGAAGAACTCTTCGCTTGACGGGCGTCTTTCGGAACCTGAAAGTTGTGAATCTTGTCTCTCGTGAGAACCGTTGTTGTCCGAGGACTCCATGGATTTGTCTTTCTGGCCCTTGGGCCTTAGAGGCTCCACGACGATATCCTCGCCTTGGTCTTGTGCCTCTTCATCCTCGCCATCCAAAGTTTCATCGTCGTTGAAGAAGTCGCCATGTTCGGAGTCCTCGTCCGACGAGTAATCGACATCAGAGGCGTCAATGTACATCGGAGCTCCGAAATTGACAGTCTTTGCGTTGCGACGACGCATAGCCTTTTTCAATGGATTCTTGGACTTCTCATTATTGTCTCCCAGCATAGTCGCAGAAAGATCCACGTTTCTGTGTTTATTCAATCTGGCGAGCCTTTCCGTGGGCGTTTCAATGTGTTCCGCAGGGAGATAACCAATGCTTCCATCCTTGACGACACGAACCAGCCACCAGTAGCTGTTACTGTCATCGAGGAGAACCATCGTATCACCCTTTGCAGCGTTTGCCTGACCATCAACGGTGGCGACGAAGTTGTGAAGCGCGTAGACGAACTCGAAATCAATATCCTCTGCTAGAGATCAGCATATATACCGCAGCCACCTGTGTCAAGTTATCATACCATCGTCGATGGAGGGCGAGCTGGATATCTTGTCCATCATGTCGTCGTCGTCCATTAAGTCATCGTTTTCACCATCTGCCAGGTCTCCATCCTCGTGCCCATACCGATTGTCATCCTCATTGTCATCCTCGTCATCCTGTTCACCATCCGCATCCTTGCCATTGCGGTGCTCGCTCCTGTCGCGTCCGCCATTTATCTCCGATTGCAGATCTTCTTCGGCATGGCGAATAGAAAGCTCTTGGTGGGGAGCAGGCCGGCCGCTCCCAAGGGGTTGTGGGTGTTCAGGTTGTCTTGTGTGGTCTTTCGCGGAAGGCTCATCGTGATCTTGAAGATCCAAGGTATCTATGAAATGGGACGTGACGGTCAGATTCCTGATGTCCAATTGGCGTCACAATCCCTAGGCAGGGTGACTTACCAGCTCGAATAATCTGAGGCCTCGTCATGGCGGTTCAATGAATGTGTTGGGAGTAACCGAAGGGGGTCCAGTGGTGGGTGCAAGGAGTAGCGAACCGAGAATCTGGATTCAATAGCACGCGCCAGATACAAGCAATGCGCGACTCGCGAGTCTGGCGAAATACGAAACTCTTGCAAGACAAAAGGCAGAAACGTTGTGATAATTAACCGGGGCCCAAGACTGCACTGATTGACCTTAAAGAGAGACAGTGCCCTTGCTAATAGTGGGGGCTGGTCTGCACCTCGTCCCAGCAAGCCGACGCACGAATGAAAAAAGAAAATAAAAAAGAAATAACTGCCAGAGCAACAAAGCAAAGGGGGAATGGAAAAGAAAAAGAAGGGTTCGTCTACCAACAGCGCGACGTCGAGTCTGAGGAATGTCCTTTGAGATAGAATCAAAAGGAGGTGTTTCCTCCAAACAAGCGCCCCTTGCGCGCGGCTAATGGGTGTAACCCCTGAACTCGTGGACGGCACGGTACCTGGTCCATGCTTCTATTATCCGGTCTACAAACGTGTATATGCACACTGGGAATTATCGAATTGTGGAGGAACTGCATAGGCCAATCTCACGAACTGCCCCAGATTATATTTAACATGTATCCATTGCACGAGGCTGAGAAAACGGTCTATCTACATCACTGTGGGGACATTGCTATATACTGCCACACCACCTTCACTAGTTCAGTAACGTGACCAGGCAGGCAATTAGGGCACACGCATCAGCTCACCGCAGTCATGTGATTACCCGGCTTGTTCTCGCCTTGGCGCCGTCATCCCCCGGATCTGCCCGGGGTGTCTGTCACCTTTTCTGGGGCTCTACTTTACCAATACATCACGTTTGATTCCTCTCGACCTATCTTTGCTTGTACCCACCGTGTTTCGACTCGAGCTTTTTTTCTCCCTACCATATACAAATTTCATAACACTTTTCAGTCACGGCTTCATTGACATCACTTTATCAACCTTTCAGTCCCCACTTATACGTTATCACCCCACAATTCTCTTCGACTTAGCACGCCGCAAAGCACAACGGAGAAAAAAAAAAGAAAGGTAGAGGGTTACATGACCTTACTACAAGCCTGTGGCAGGCTCACATTCTCCGACCCCAGCCTGCTTCGTGCTCCTCCATAGGACATGGCGCATAGCGAGAGGGCCGGATTGGCAAGTGGATTGGCAGGCTTGAGAATTGAAACTTCGTTTCAACGACACGAGCGATGGGCAAATGAAGGTGGAAGAGCGACACCAGCAGGCGACGGTATCGAGAGCGAACATATCAATCAATCTCATGATCATGCGCGTCGCCGCGATGCTGATGAAGACAACAGTTTGTTAAGTGATCTACACTCGGCGACCCCTCCCATTGCCGTCCCTCGCCCGGACGAGCATCCCGCCACAGACGATGCCTCCAGCTATTCGCATAAGCCTGATGAAGTTCAGGGGTCGCCACTTGACGACTATCTACAGTCTCGCCGACCATCGATCTCTTTCAACCCACAGGTCTCTGTTGAGTCTGGAAATCAGATTCCACTGGGGGAACCCCTCTCGACAGGAGATTTCAAAGACCGCCCGCCACAACGATTTGAATCTCGTAGCTCAGGACTTAGAAATGCCCTATCTCAAGATGATGACCATGAGCAACACGGGGATGAGTCTCCGAGCTGGACTTCCAAGCGGTTTCAAGATCGGGGTTTTCCGACCGGGCCAACCCGGGCTCAGCCCTTCACCAGGCCCCAGGATGGTACCACCATGAGCTCCGATATCGACCGTCCGACATCTCTCACGTCGCAATCGACGGTGTCTCCGCTGACAGACGAAGCACGAACCCCTCCCGATGAATCCAACCACACGATGCTGTCACCATTCTGCGTACCGTCGCCAACGCAGTCTTTCGCATCGCCTGAGGATCGCAGCAGCTCCTGGTCAGGGGCCATAGCCACGCCATTTGGAAGCAAACGCAGTTCTACTCTTGATCGCAGCAGCAGTCTCCGAAACTCTACTCGGCACAGCTCCCGACGATCAACTATGTCCAGTGGCAAATCCCCAGCTAGCATGTTTCTTTCTATGTGGGGTAGCCGTGAGGAGCCTGCCTCACAGCCTGATGATGAAGGTCAAATGGTAGGAGACGACTATGTTCTCGGCAAGCAAATCGGCTTTGGTGGGTTTAGTACCGTCAAGGAAGCCTATAAGGCCGAAAAGCACGGTGAAACCAAAACACTGGCTGTCAAGATTGTGAAGAAGCAAATCTCAGGACGAAGCGAGCAAGAAAACGATGAAGTGCAAGCCGAGTTTGATCACGAAGTACGGGTTTGGCGGTACCTTAGCCACCCGCATGTATTGACGCTCGATGCCGTGTACGAAACAGATTATGCCACGTTCTGCTTCACCAAACTTGCTATTGGCGGTACACTTTTCGACCTGGTTCGCCAAAATCGCAGTGGTCTTGAGCCCAACTTGGCAAAGAAATATGTCTACCAGCTGGCCTGTGCAATCCGTTACCTTCACGAAGATGCTCGGGTTGTTCACCGAGATCTTAAGCTGGAAAACTGTCTACTTGACCCCATCGCTGGCCCAGATGGCACAATCTCTTCGACACTGGTACTCTGCGACTTCGGGATGGCGGAATGGATGTCTATCGACAATGGCGGCGACTCTCCTGACCCTTACGAGGATGCAGCTGACCGTCCCCCACCCCAGCAAATGGGACCCGCAGGCTCCAGTACTAGTGTGGCAGGTAGTTTGGAGTATGCCTCCCCCGAGCTTCTGCAGTCAGTGGACGGTCTTATCCACCCAATGGTTGACGTCTGGGCGTTCGGTGTGATTGTCTACACCGTCGTCGTTGGCTCGCGACCATTCCAGGATCCGTTTGCACCTCGGATTCAATCCAACATCCTCAGTGGCACCTGGGATCAGAATGCCGTCTTCGGAGACACGGTCGACGGTCATCTCCGTCAAGATCGCGAGAACGCCCTTGACCTAATCCGCGGTTGCCTTGAAATGGACCCTGCCAAGCGCTGGACTATTGGCGAGGTTCTCAGATGCCCTTGGTTGCGAGAGATCGCCGAAACTACTGAGATGTCCCCGGACACCGTATGGAAATTATGAGCTCTGGTCTGATTCTCTATCTTGTTCATCTCATATTCTGCTTCGCCAAATGGCTTTGCAGACCGAACACACTACAACACTCCACATACCTTACACATATTCCATGTGGTGGTCCCCTATAACACAACCTCCACAGCAGTGTGCAAGATTGACAACACCTGCTCCTACTCTTTTCCCCCATGATGTCTTTTTTTTCTTCGAATATTCCCCACTCGCAGCGCGTTCTCGGTTTTGATTTTGGTGTTTTGGTCCCGGTTTAACGAGGTGGACGATTATGATTTATTCCAGCAGGCGTGGCGTTTCATTTCTTTGTGAATTTCTCCTGATATTCATGACTTTATTTTTCTGTTTCAAGTGTTTTTTTCTTTTTTCTTGTGGCTTGGTGCTATATTTCAGCTGATCTGTTTTGTTTTCATGGCGCACTTTGATACCTGTGAGTGAAGCTCCGTCTACATAGCTCACTTTACACACCCATCGGGTCTTTACATATAAGACGCAATCACAAATCCATATCAAATTCTCCATTTCGCATATCTGCTGGTTGATCAGGAGGTATTACCACATAGTCAAGTGCTCCAGACGCCCACTGCACCGACCCTACTTCGTACTTCATGTATAACTCTAGGCTATGTTCATACATTTCCAGGTGGGTTACAACAAGAAACGAAGATCCTGCAATGATGAAAAGTCCCAAAAGAATACTTAGTAATACCAGACTCAATCTATATACCTTTACTGCACTGTCCCAGAAAAAAAAAAGTTGAAAAAGAGAGAAAACCGAAGTGAGACAAATCAGGCGGATTAATGCTTTTCGAATCTACATCGAGGAGCCAATCAAAGCACCGGTAGAAGGTCATCATAACAGGAAATAAAGGAAAATGTCTATCAGAGTTACAGGTGCAAAGAGATATGGGGACAAAGATAGTGGGTGGCATGAAAGGGGGGGCGTGGCAGGACACATTCGTGTCGATGTGTTGGAAGGCGGTTAGCCTGAGAAATGAAAGATATGGCAATATTACAGATCGAGCGCGGATTTACTCGCGGGAGACGTCACGGCCGAAGAGACGGGCCTTGACCCAGTCGACACAGACGAGGACACGGTTGCGAGCTGGGAAATGTTAGTTCGGATATTTGGGTATTGGATTGAAGAGAAACTCACTGCTGAAACACATGCTCAGGTAAGCGCTGCGCCAGAACAGGTAGGTCATGGTACCACCGCTGGCAATGTTGCCGCTCAGCCAGCTGATATCGGCCACAGCGCGCTCCTTGCCAATGTAGGCCAGACTACCCTGGTGAGAGTACTGGAAGGGACCAATCTGCTTGTTGCGGCGGAGCTGCTTCTGGCGCTCACGGATCTCGTCGAAGATCTGGTTGCGCGCCTCGTCGCCCTTGGCGGCGGACTGGGCTTCGGAGAGGTTCTCGAGCTCCTTCTCGAGAGTCTCGCTCTTAGCCATGGTGTTGAAGAGGCGACCGAGGAAGGCACCTTCCTGGCCGGCAACCTGGGCAGTGGGGGCGTAGTTGGCGATAGCGCAGTCACCGACGGCCCAGACGTTTTCGGTACCGTTCACAACGAGGTACTCGTTGACGAGGAGACCACGACGGGACTCGGCTTGAGCAGGGAGCTGGTTCATGAGGTCACGGACAACGCTGCGGACAGCGTTACCAGTGGCCCAGACGAGAAGACCGTAGGGGATGGTTTCGATTTCCTTGGATCCGTCAGGCTTGGTGACCTCGGCTCTGATGTGCTTATCAGTGACCTCCTTCACCATGGTCTTGGCGCGAATAGTAATAGCCTCCTCCTTGAAGGTGGACTCGGTGTAGTCAATCAATTGCTTGGAGAACATGGGCAGAACGTTGGGGAGAGCTTCGACCAGAGTGATCTGGAAGTTGTCCTTGATTTCGGGGATCCACTTCTTCAGGTCATCGTTGAAGAAATCTTGCAATTCACCGGCAAACTCGACACCAGTGGGGCCACCGCCAACCACAACCATGTGCAGCAGACGCTTGACCTCCTCCTCGGTCTGGTCCTTGAAACAAGCAGTCTCGATACAGTCCATAATGCGCTTACGAATGTTCTGAGCGTCACCAACCTCCTTCAGGAAGCAAGAGTTCTCACGAACACCGGGGATACCTACACATCACCAATTAGCCACGGAAATCCGGAATGCGACGGAAGCTCACTCACCAAAGGTTGCGTTCTCGGCGCCAACACCGATCACAAGCATGTCAAAGGGAACCTCGGTGTGCGAGATATCACCCTTGATTTCGGAGTCGTCACTGATGTAGACAACGCGCTTCTCGTAGTCGATCTTGGTAGCTTCGGCTTCGTAGAAAGTCACGCCGGCCTTCTTGTGGCGCAGGATGTTGCGGATAGGCTCCATGATCGAGCGGTGCTCGATCAGACCGGTAGTACATGAGGGCAGCAGGGGAGTGAACAGGAAGTAGTTACGGGGAGAGACGACGATGACATTGTAGTTTTCAGTGTCCAGCTTCTTCAGCAGGGAGACGGAGCCCCAGCCAGTTCCTGCGACACAGTCGCGTTAGTGCTGCCGTCAGAGCTTGAGGATAACTGCAATTGCAACCTACCGAGGATGACCAGGGTCTTCTTGGATGGGTCAGGCGGAGATTGATCCGGGGGAGAGCGAAGTTCGAAGATGCTGTATGCGACGGTACCAGTGAGACCAATAGCGGAGAGCCAAGTCAATCGCCAGGCCCAACGGAGGACTCTGAAGCGCTTCTTAGGCTGGGGAGCAGGCGAGGGAGTAGGAGCGGCATCGGCGTAGCTGCGGCGACAGACGCGCGAGACGGATTGAGAGACAGATTGAGAGACGGGGCGAAGTGACTTCGCACGAAGGGCCGATGTCGACATCGAACGCGACATCGTCGACAGCTGTTTGAAAGCCATGGAGCGCATTGCTAGCGTACTGCCAGCCATTGTGGAATGGACACACCAAAAGTGAAGATGGATAAAGAAGTCAAGTCCTCCGTATAATAATTTAATGCAGGAAAAAAAAAATCTTTGATAAGCTCGAATTGCTGTTTTGGGCGAATCGGTGTGGCCGGGACTAAAGGGGTAGCCAATACATTGTTGATTACGTGCTTGATGGTAGCAAACTCTTGTACTCAGTACTTTTCTCTTATTTTTCTGCCGAGTTATATCATTTTCTGTTCGAGAATATACGGCGTATACAGAGTAGGAAGTAGGAAGTATACGGAATCGACGTAAGCTCAAGCTATGAGGAATTGTCCGGCAAAGCTACTAATAGCCGCTTAACGAAAATGTAAAATTGTCAATTAAATAAAAATATATTTTTTCCCCTAAGAAAATTGGAGAACTGAGGGGACATCAATCTCCCGGTGAGGAGAAATTAACCGCTGAGGAGATCGTCAAGGGAAACTCAGGCGCGGTCTATCGGTCTATCGGTCAGTGTTTCGGGGTAAAAAAATGTGCTTTGCAATCTGGTATGACTCAATTGCTTTCTCCTCATCACTAAGAGTAATTGAGAGGGACCCGACCCTTTCCCAGCCCTATGCCTCCCGAGATCACCCGCAAATCCATTCCGCAACCCTTTCGTCCGATCTACTCTAGTTAATTTGGTTCACAGCTCGCATTCGAGCTCTCTGGTCGCAGAACCTGGGGAAATTTAATGCTCCACTTTCATTACTGCCCCGGGTTCCCATCTATAACGGTCTACAATGTACAGAGTACTCCTGAGCTTGGTATGTCCACACGAGAATTCGGCCAAAGTCGGCCCTCTTGAAAGCTTGCTCGGGCTTGTGATGCGTCCACTTACTGTGCTTCCGGTCACTTCCTCAAAGTGGGGGAAGGCTGGTCATTTTCGCCGCTCTCTCGCCGTCTACGAGAATTGTCGGGGCAGGTGTTGCGCAGTATACAGAGTACGGAGTACAGAGTGCGGAGTGTGGAGTACCTAGGTACTTGATACTTGGTCCAGCATTGTGCTCCCTGTTGCTTGGGTGTATAACACATGGCCAGGGCCGGGGCATTTGGATCCAACTCCGACATCAAATGCAATGGTGCCAATTGACTGGCCGGCGTACTGGTGATAAGGTGATCCGTGAGACTATGAAGCACCACAAACAACGAATATGGTGAAGAGCTTGCGACTTCAATGCATAGTTCAGGGCTCATCTGACCCCTGTAATCCACGTACAGGGAGAACAAAAGTCTCACAGTGGACAAGGCCACCAAACAAACATACCAGACAACGCTCGACCTGCCCAAGAACAAGCTGACTGTGTTTGAAGCAATCATATTGTGTCAAACCACACAAGATACACAGGTGACAGAGTAACATTTAACAGATCACTTGGGTAAAGTCTAGCATTACGGGGCAAACTGAGAGGAAAGCTGACATATTTGTAGCACAATATAATTGAGAGGGGATCCTAAAACCTCTTATAGACCACGATCAAAGCTACTGCCCAGAAGCAATGTAACCTCAAATGCAATAAAATCTACCCATATATGACAATTTCAAACACAACAGCTTTGATGCTCACCCGCACCAAATGCAGATAAGCAGATGAAGTATTTAACCAGACTGGTATACCCTACTTGGCTTGCACGAATGTGCTTTCATGCGGATATACGCATATGATGCCACATCTGATGCTTAATCACATCCCCCCCGCTTCATATTTGTGTTACTTGGGATTTTTGTTCGTCTTGTGTATATCGGGGTTTCCGTGTGGGACGTCGTACTTGGTACTCTTTGCATATAGGCAATTTGGTGGAACTTTAAAATGTGTCCATGTCCAGGTACTCGAGATCGTATCATACTGGCCTTGGGTGTCAAATGGTCAAGTAACTTAATAACATTGAAGATACTTAAGTACTTGAGTAAAGGTAACTATTCTTTAAGCGCCTGTGGAATTACTTACGCTGCAGAGTGAGTTCATATCAAAATGTAAAATTTAGAGTTGATTTGTGTATGGGATTGGAATTTGGGGGTTGCCCTTGCCTTTTGGTCGGATTTACCATGGGTTATGCTTGAATTTCAGGCAAGGGGACGTGTTTGTTTGTGATGCTGAAGAGACACATACATGCAAGATGTGGAAATATGACCGGTAAATTTGATCGATCTCCCCACGAAGCATAGGCCTGGCCATGTCTGGATGACAGTCATGAAATCTGGGCTTTCGTATTCGTATCTTGCGTTGGTAGGTGTTTTTTTGCCCAGCAACCCCTTAATCCCCCTGTTCCAGGTATTGATATCTCGACCGGTGGGGTAAGTTGCTCATAGCTGGCTAATGCCAATCAGTTTCCGGAACTAGAACATGATTGTGTCGTTTAAAGATCTGAGATAGACGTGCCGAGAAATTTGACATAACGAGGAGTTTCCTAGGTAGCAGTGGAATTCATCATGATCCAACGTCGCTGGTCTGATCATGTGTCACCAGGGCGTTGAAGCGGAGAGCAGGACGTAATGCGGGTTTCATGGCGAGGAACGTTTGTACCAGCCAGGAGCATGGATAGATATCGCCATGCTCACAAGGCGAAACTGTTCATAGAGCCGTAAAGCTAAATTCTGATGCCAAAACCCGTGAAGACCCGCTCCTAATGATGAATCCTTGTAGAGTCAACTCAAGAGCTTCTGCAGCCGCTGATCAGCCGCTGAGATCTATGCTCCCGACCGAAGTCAGTAAGTCGACCAACGTGGTTGAGGAGACGGTAGCGAGATAGACAAATTCCACATGTTGTCAGTGGGGAGAGATGCGTGCCGATGAAATCCTCCAGTAAAAGGCCGAGTAACAAGTGCAGTGCTTTCCAATAGGCATTCCAGCCTCTCTGGCCGGAGGGGTCGAGTCCGATATGCAGCTTCGGTTTCAAACAAGGAGAGATGGCTCAAGGCTTTGATGGTTGATAGTTCAATCTGCGTCAGACAATGAACTCACATCATGAGTCAAGGCTCTTTGAACTAGATTTCACCCAGGTCATCCAGGGTGGTCTTGCATTCCACAGAAAGAAGACCAAAGCCCAACGTCCTCGCCATAGACCACGTCAGAATTCAACCATCGATCAACCGGAATGGACTGAACGAGTAGATGACCCCGGTCTGTTTCGAAGAGGACAGGGTTAGATAAACGAGTCATCATCTGCTTCCGGCCAACAAAGCAACCTTGGAAAGCAGATCTATTGAGCTCAACCCGCGATTGCCGAAAGAACTTGAATACGGAACACGAAAGATGAGAAAGCGGTTACGCCAAAGGCATGATTCCGCCACTGGTCTGTGTTCCTTGGTCAGTTTCATGCCTCACCTTGATGGCGTTTTGGGGCACTTGAAAGGTCGGGGGCGTCGTCAGCCACCGGGGGGGGGGGGGGGGGGGGGGGGGGGGGGGGGGGGGGGGGGGGGGGGGGGGGGGGGGGGGGGGGGTATCTTATGTGTAAATGTGAAAGCAAAGTGATAGCGAGGCGACCAGGCCCTCGTTATCACAAAGTTCTTCTGCAAACTGTTTGTTAGAGTCGACGGGTTCCGAGCACCCCGTTTCACCGGAAACAACCTCCATGCTTCGCAGGCCCTCTCCCTCGACGGAAGCTCCAGCGACAACCACACTCCGAACTGACAATTCAGAGTCTCGATCGCTACCCAGGATGCATGGCACGTGATGTGTTGCGCTCCCGAATCAACGCAGCCACGGTTTTTCTTTTTTGTCAATGACCTCTTCCAGGGCTCATTTGATCTCGAGGATCAAAAGAGCTATCCACGGTCGCCAGGTCAGAAATTCCCACAGGGCTGACACCCAGAGTCCACCTGTAGGCCTGCTCAAGTGGCGGCAACCTAAGAGATATTAGAACGAACTCCGAGAAAGACTTGAGTGCAGAGACGTAATACCGTCGTTAACAACGCCCAGGTGGATCCCTAGGTCGTTCTGAATCCGGAGTTTCTTTTCGTGCACAATATCGGTTCCGCTTCGATAAGGTCGGCCTCCCAAGTGCTATAAGTGCACACAGGGACAAATGTAGCCAGGCATGTATTTTTGTGGCTGGTCAGCACTTTGTCGAGACCGCTAGCCCCCGGGGAGGAAATAATGTTGATGTAAGGATCTTTTTTTATGTAGGCTCGATTAGCCAATGTTCGGACCAACAAGAGCTACCCGGGACGTCTCGATTATCTGAAGCATCTCCTCGACGAGCTGGGACCATGCTGTTCACCAGCCAGGCGCAATGGTCTTAGCCTTTTACCGGCCACTGACTAAAATGCCTATGTATTGTTAGTGGTGTTACTAGCAAGCATTGAGAGAGAATACTCACTGCCTCTGTTCATATTGTTGTTTTCCACAGGATTCAGTATGGGGTTCAGTGTGGGGTTTAGTCCGGCGTACTGCCTGGGCACTTGGTGCCAACACGAGGCGCAAGACTCGACGAGCTCTAGGTGAGCTAAAGGCATTTTGCTCGATATGGAATATGTCCTGATATTTTGAAGTTCGCTCAGGTAGTGAAGAGGTAGTGAAGAGATGATGAATAGGTGTAGTTGGGAGGTCGAGTTGGGAGAGATGGGAGAGATGGGAGAGTTGGTTAGGGGAGGAGAGTTGGAAGGAGGAGGTAAACAGAGGCAGAAGAGAGTAAAGAGTAAAGAGAAAGTAAAAACACATGAAGATTCGAAGTCGCGGTGTCTCTGCGTGGAGTCACTGAGCTCGTTCATCTTCTTCCTCTCTTTTTCGCTGTTGAGTATATTGTGAAATGATACTTCAACTTTTTTTTTTTCAAATACAGCAGGTGTTTCAACTGTGGAAGGAAAGGAGTATGTTTCTGCTTAGATATAGGTGACTACGGTCTCTGGTAATATTTGCAAAGCATAGTAGGTACAGATAACTATACCCGGGCAAATATAAAAGGCTATATCTCACCAGAACAAAGTATTAGATAATGTAAACCAAACTTGATCTGAATGCCCAGGCCATGAGTATGATCACTTAGTTGCTAAAGTTCCTTGGCTCAATATCGAAGGGGCATACTATGTGGCTGGGATCATGACTTTATGCAGATTTGAGCATTGGGGATCGCAAGCTCGGAGTTCTCACCGGTTAATATTCACGCTAGACCCGGAGGACAACAACCATGCTCTGCTAGCCAAGCATATTTGGTGGGTTGCGAAGGCCCGGGGCAAATCTACAAATATAGGGCGCAATGGACCAGCTGCAGAATAGAGGCTATCCCTGATACCACTGGCCAGGCATTTACAGCTGGCACCAGACGACAAGTATTGACATCTGACCGAGACCAGCGGGGTGGACGCTGACATAAAGACCAATGCGTATGAGGTGACCATGATCTGTGTCGGCTGCCAAGCTCTGTATGAGAAATCACTCTGGATGAGTCGAGTTTTCAGCATTACTGTTTCGATCTGCTAGTCGCTGGGATGGTATCGGTGATCCAGGGCCGGGTAGATCAGTTGCTTGGGATTCCTTTTTGTTGAGAGGTTGCACTTGGAGAGTTGCAGTGGGCGATTTATGGCGATCGTGGCCTAGTAAACCATAAAAATATTACCTAGATCAGACATGAACAGTAGTCAGAGTAGATCACAGTTGCAAAGTCTCAAGAATTTGTTGTCATAAATCATCACAGTGAATGGTCTCAAGACGCCGCGCTGGTAAACGCACACCCAAGTAGCAAAGTATTGAAACAGCAGAACGAATGATAGCAAAAGACACCATCATGACCAAGCTTGCTTTGTGAGGCAAATCAGTACAGTAGGCTGGAAGGGTCGGAATGCCGGATCCTGGTCTCACACCATGTTCGTGTAGCAAATTGGTCGTTGCCGCGAGATACTAACCAACAAATACTTTTGTTTCATAAGAATCAGCTCAAAGATTCAGTCAAAATGGATGCGTGGAAACCAACCGTCCCATCCCCATTCAGCCATTACATTAACCCAATGCAACTTGCCACGAACAGTTCTCTCAAATTCGATATTCTCCAACGAAGTCAAAGCAGAGCCTCGACGCGCGTGTCTCGATGCTCCTCTTCCGGCCATAGCACTTTTGTGGAAACCATTCAAACTGTAGTTGTTAAAATCATTTGGTAGGGATGAGCTTGTTCGCTCCCGGTCTGAAGCTGAAGAAGCTGATCCAGCCCGCCGTGAGCCCATCTCATGCTCTCTACGAGCATTCATTGCATCACGTCGGCCCCATACTTCCTTCAAGACCTCCAGACACCGGTCCACCCCACCCAGCATTAGCCGCGCCTGAATCGTGGTCCATCTGTCCAAGACCCACTTGCGGTCATCGTCAGCATCGACCTCAGCTCCAGCAACCACTAGAGGGAACATCTGGATGATGGTGGTGCGAGATGTGTACGGAACAGTTGCCAACAGGATCAGTACACGTTTCGCTAACTCGTCGGCGGGCTCAGAGGGAATCTCTGGGACAGATTGGTGCAGGTAAAGCAGTGTAGCCCAACGGTAGGCATGCGCAACTTGAATGCTATGCTGAACCTCCGAATGAGGGTCTTCAGGAGGCTCAAACCAGCGTGGGGGTTCCCATTGCTCAAGAAGAGCCTTGAGTTCCATCCCTTGTGCCACAACCGATACGGTATTCGACACACTCTTTCGCACAAGTTGGATCAGCTTAGCCACTCGACCCATCAGGGGATATAGTGTGGCTGCACAGCCCATCAATGGGTCTATATCATGAACCGTAGTGCTGGGAAGGTCGAATACCGAAGAGTTCCAGTTGTGGGGACCACAATCATCCAGCGAAGTCATGCGCGCTATGACATCCATATATGTCCATGTGTTGTATAGAAAACGGATGCGGTCCAGCTCCTCGTCGCTGGCGTTTCCTTGCATCCCAGTCGCAATTACCTGAGACATGAGTGCTTTCGCCCCACGGAGGTGCTGGATACAAGTCCGTGTGTGTTGATCCCAAGTGTCGGCAAACGCCAACGCCAAGCTAGTGGCCAGCGCGGTGTCCGATCTCATGTTCTGGATGTTCTCGACAAGATTTGCCATGCTTTGTCTCATGTGTTTGACTCCCTGAATCCGGAGATAAGGGTTCTCCTTGCCCGAATGGAAAGCTGCCAGGGCGAAAATGGCATGACGCAGTGCCGGTGTGTCTTTTGCCAGAGGCCAGACAAGGGTACGCCACGGGTTCTCCGAAGCGCCGTCTTTGACAGAGAGAATTCCACATGTGAGCTTGTCAAATCGTAAGACAAGCATTTCGGGGCTTCCAGTGGGCAGGGATGGGCTTCCAGGAATGTTGCAGCTTTGGAAGTTGAAGGTATCTATATCTGGTAGGTTCAAGTTCCAAGGTCCGAGACCTGGGTCCGACCGTCGGATGATTTCTTCAATGTCATCATTTTCATCCTCCAGCAACTGGGAAAAACTCAACCCAGATGTAGTAGAATCCAGTTGGTCAGGGTCGAGCGACCCTTGTTTACCAGCACCTGTGTCAACATCTGCAGCCAAAGAGTTTGCCAGCGATAAAGAATCTTGGAAGGGTTCGAGGAAGGAGAGAAAGTCGAAAGGGGGAGAGTCTGCCGACAATGAAACATTCACGTTCAAAGAGATGTTACCATCTACCATGGAGATATCTTCTCGGTTTCCCGATAAATCCTCGATGGACTGTGCCTCTGATGGGAAGCTTGTGATGCTGATGGGGGAGCTCTGCAGCGGGGAACCCGGCGGTGAATGAGGCGCATGGGGCTTGTGAGATATACGAACCGGTGAGGCCGATTGTTCAGTGGTTGGGGGAGTGGGAAAACTGTCTGTGGATGGGGGCTGATAAGAAGTGGCTGGCGTTGTGTCAACGTCTGGCCTCAACCTCTAGCGATCAGAAGAAGTACCTTTCTTGGCTTTCGCCGGAGGTCGCCCTGGGGCCAAGTTGGTCTCCTCGAAGGGTCGCCATTTGAAGTCCTTTTTGTAGCCTCCGCACTTCACCTTCCGTCTCTCGCACTGTTGACAGGATGGTTTAATCTCATCACATTTCAGTCGTTTGGCCTTGCAGGTGACACAGCCTATCGAGATGGTCAACTTGGTCTGGAGACTCGACGGATGCTGGCACAAATTTTGTTTCACCGACTCTTGCACTTACCATTGCGGCTCTTTGTTTGCTTTGGCTTCTGTGTCCTTCCAGAATTCCCCCGACTTGGGTTGTCGTTCAAGATTGTGGACGGAGACGGAATTTTGATGCTTTCCATACCAAGCCGATACTCCCCATTCACAAAGAAAGTCCAGAGGTAAGTGAAGAAGAAAAATAGAAAAAAGCAGAAGTTTGGAGCAAACAATCAAGAGAGAAGAGAGGCCAATAGTAGAAGGTTGATAGGGAATCCAGCGGAGGCGAGAGGAGTCTGATAAGCCCATGCGGGGATGCCGATCTCGTCCGGGATCGCTCCGTCCCTGCCACACCTCGCTATATCAGTATACATCAGGTACATATGCATTGGGACTGAGACTGCATTTTATCTGTGAGCTTTATTTCAGCAAATTGATCCCATATTGCGCTATCCATGTCTATATCATCACAAGTTGTTGTGTTTTCTCTATATACAATTTTTCGAGTGCGGAGATCTTTTTCTCTCCAACTCCACTGGCTTCGGCACACGGATGTAGACCCGACATCCGGAGATAATGTCATCATTGGGGATATTCTAAAGTTTGAGTTGTTGATATACTATATGCTACTTATCGTCCCTAGCTGAGCATGTTCTGTAACCATACACTTAACGCTCGCCTTGTTATAGGTACTTGATGAGCCCTTATCATGTATTCTCCGAGCAATCAATCCGGTCGCCTATCGCCTATGATTGCCTAGACGTCTCCAGGACTGACTTGCACTTGTTTGTGTCAGACTGGTAAAACACAGAGGCTTCTGCACCCGGTCACCTGCCTCGCGCACTTTAAGCTTACCGTTTGTTTGTAATTACTTGCAGCTAATTGATTGACCATCTAGGTCCACAGTGGAGCATAATAAGACTATTTAAGTATGATCCTTGGTCTAATTGCGACTTTTTGGCAGTCCAAAAGTCCAAATTTGATCCATGGAGGTCACCGAATGACAAAAAAATGACGAGAAAGTATACGAGTTTGGACATGCAATCGTCCCGGGGGCAAAGTGCCAGCTCATGTCACAGCACATACAACTTCCCCGCCTTGGGGCCAATGATCTGCAGATGCAATGCAGCCTAGTCTTTGTCATCTTGTGTAATGTTCACGGGTACTACCTGAATAAAGACCACTGATAGATATGAACAGCTGGGCGTGGAGCATAACATAATCAGCACGGTACCCCGGATTCCCGGATTCTGGACCGGGTATCCGCCCCCCGCAATGTGTCCGTGGAACGTCTACCCCACACCGGAAATTTACCGTCCAAGCATTTCCCCAAGCCAGATCTTGGTCTATAGGGTACCCCAAGGTCGTTCTACTGCCGACAATTAATGGATGCTTATCTTAGAGCGTATAGGGTGGATACCGGGAAAGGTGGGGCTCAGCTTCTGTCCTATGATGAGGGACACAGATTAGTAGTGCGAGGTATGTACTCACAATGAGGACGTCAGCGCAACTTTAGAAAGAGGATCGTTGGGAGAAAGGGAGGAAATTGAAGTGTTATTTAAGTATTAATGAGCTCCAGTGATCAAGGCAGGAGTCGAACATCCGACCCCGGCCTTAAAAGGAAGGAGCGAAGGAGCTCTTTCTTCATCTGATGAAAGTTCGAGAGACCTCAACATTCAACTCAAGAGGCAAGTATATACACAAATTTCCAACTGATCATACTCCTGGTCATGTACATGAACTGAACTTGGATCAAGGCATATACAATAATCAACTCTGGAATAGACTTTGACCAAATTTGGCCCTTCTATAACACCCAGGGAAGAAGCAATCCCGTTTTCAAAATGGCCAAGTGACTTGCGTCAACAGTTGAGAGGGTCTATATCATGACCAAAAGTTCCCTATTTTCCACCTGCCTCCCCCAGTGGTCTACTGGTCAAGACTCCGCGTTGGCATCTTTCTAGATAGATGTGCAATCAGTATGACCACTGCCTGTGAGGCCTTATTATGTACGCCGCCCTTCAAAGGTTCCAAAGGTTACACCCTCGACACTCGAGGACTGATCATCCTCTTAGTAACGGTCACACTATGTGGCCCTAGCTGAAGGAGACCGTGATGGGTTGAGCTTGGATTTCAAGTGCCAATGTCGGGAGACGGTCTGCGTATAAGCTCACTGTCTGGGTCCAAATAGGTCTGGATTTACGAGGTTTTTTTTTTTTCTCTTTTTTTCTTCTTTTCTTTTGGATATGATATCATCGTGCACTAATCACATATGGCATTCGCAAAGAAAGTGTTCTGTGCTGCTCAATGAATATCATGCGTGGCATTTTGACCTCAGTTGCATATTCTAAGTCCTCTTTGGTCTTTCTTGGACAAACCTTCTTCCGATTATATGCTGGTCTAGAGTCGCATAATATCCATGTTTGGTCTTACTGGAGACTACGATTTGGGAGAAGAATTGGGGAACAGAAAGCTTCTTCATTGACAGCACTGAGGCCAAAGCTGAGATGACGCCAAATTGCACAAAACAAATGAAAACAGGAAAGAAAAAACGCAATCCACAAAAGTGACACCAGGACAACAGCCCAACCATTTCCTCTACCGGCCTAGCAGCGGGCACGGTATGTCTTGCGAGCAGCTGCAGCTGCCGCGTAATCGGGGCTCGGGGAACGAGCGGCCCGGTAGTGGCGGGGGCTCTTGTTCACGGCACAAGAGCCCATGGCGGGGGCCGAGGGGATCGCGGCAGCGGGATCAATGGCGGACCCGTCGCAAAGGTCCATGTCGGGGGACAAATCCCGAATCATGGTGTCGGCATGGCAGGGCGGAGAGTACTCGACGCCACTCATCTCCATGTCGACGGCGGAGGCAGTGGGGTTGGAGGCACAGCGGGCGGAGACCGAGTCGAGGTGGTGCAGCAGGGCGCCAATTATGGTCTGCCACTGCTGGTTGACGGGGTCGGTTCGGTGCAGGACCGCCCCTGCCAGCAGGGGACGGTCCGAGAGGAGATCAGCGAGGGAAGTGAGGTAGGCGGAAATCGGGACTAAATGGTAAGCTTCAGTGTCCCCACACACCTGGGTAGAGATGTAAATACCGGTTTCGGGGGTCCCAGCCCAGTGAATGCCGAGCCAGAGGTATTCGGGCGCCATGTTCAGGCGCAGAAGGAAAGTATTGGCCTTTCCCGGATTGATGACGAGAAGCATCTCGCCGAGTAGGGTGCTAAAGTCCCAGCGCAACAAAAACATATCCAAGTCGACGCCCGCGTCGAACAAGGAGTTGAACAGGTCGTACTGGTCCCATCTCAAAAGAAGACCACCCAGGTACATGCCAGCAAGTACCTGGAGGCCATTCTTCGAGAATGGGACCCGGTTCACAAGGGTGTCAAGTGCCATTTTCTTGACGGTTGGAGGTAGAGATTGAAGAAAAGAGAGACCAGTAGGAGGATTGGTCACGACAGTGGGAGTGATAGTTGGGAGAGAAAGAGAGGGAGAGGAAAGAGCATCATTTCTGGTATATTTATACTCAGGAAGGAAGATGGTACTTAAGTACAAAGTGAAGCTATTGTCTCCTGAAGTCTCACTTTGAATAGAAATCAAGCTCACTTTTGTATTCAAAGCGTGTCAATCGGGTATCATTGAATTGACTACTTAAGTAGTTATCATGGTTATGTTTTAGTATTATTCAGGGGGGTCTTTCTCGAAAAGGCTCAACTCATGAATGCAGTGGCCCCGGGGGACGTCATGGAAGTTCAAATGAGTCTGTTTTGAGCTGGAAACAATGCATTATTCATGAGAGTGGCTTCGGATATCCTGTCTGAATAGCGCACAGAACATTTGGTTGATACCCTTCCTAGATCTCATACAATCAAGTTTACTGGACCTTTATACAATAAAAATTTTGACATCTCAATCTGGCTCCGGGTCCCATAGTTTCTCTTCAATTCTATAATGCGGACTAATTACTGAGCTTGACAAAGCTGGCGGATGGCCGACGTCACTCCAAGCACCTTTCGAATGGCAGGGCTTAATCAGGTACAAAATTACATGTAGTAGATGGCCAGTTCCTGATATTTATTTTTCCTTCCAGGATCTTCATCTGCCAGCTACTTAAGTACATCCCTTTCCCAGGCCCAGACCACGAAGGCCATTTAGCCATCATTTGCGTTCTTGTTTTGAGATAGGATGGAAATGAAGCGCCTTCTAAAGTTTCATGAGCGGTAATGAAAATGATGGGTCGAGAAAACTCTTCAACTTTAGAATTGCACATCCTGACTTCAGAAAATTTCGACCAAGCTCATGTCATTGAAAGAAGTCGCGCTACTTTCCAAGGCTTAACATAGATGACGACTCTTGATCCAAACCCTTCGAAGCTTGCACCTAGAGAATTTGAAATATTTCCTAGGGCTTGCGAGGGCATGGCAGACAAATCCAAGCATATTGCAGTACTGATGTACTCAATGGGAAGAGTACGAGTAGATCCGCCAATCTTTATACTCCTGCTGCAGATCATGGCTTGACATGACGGTCTAGCCCGATTTAGTAAAAAGTTCCCAAGGCGACTGCTTCAATCCGAGACGCCTTTGGGCTGGATCCAGATCGCACAGGATCGCTAAGTCTCATGAGTCGCATTCAAAGAACATCACTTGCTTGAAGGTGTGCCCTCGGGAGGTGATGGTAACCACCGTCAAATCAAGCCTTGATGATCGAACCCGGGATCTCTAAGATTCCCCTCTTTAGACCCCTCACTCTAGTTACCTACTCGTATAGCTTGATATCAATCAGATCTCTGTTGGGCTGCCTAGTCCGGACATCGGATCCGAGCGTTGCGTTCGGTCGCATCAAGTTACCCAGATCTGAGTGAGCTTGTTGCTTGAAGCATCCCCTCTTTGGATCCGAGGTTGAAACAGAGAAGTATAAGTAGAGTGTGCCGTCAAATGGTGAATGTGCTGTGTCATTGCATTACTACTATTACTATTACTCTCGTGCGCGCAGCTCCACTTCCAATATGACGGTTCCATTCACCTATCACGCTAAGGCGCAATCCACTTTCAAGCCGCCTCTTATCGCCAACGAAAATGCTTTCTTAGGCGATATCGAAACGAGGTATGCGCTTGCCGCCTTGATTCCGATATGCTTGACGTATTTTGACTCACCATGTCCATAGCGAAAAGGAGAATCCCGACAAGCCCATGTCGGCTGGGTTCTATCGCCTCGAGAAAGGCACCCCGCTAGTGTATACTTATACCTATGACGAAATGAAGATCGTGCTCGAGGGCAAGTTTGAGATTTCCGACGAAACGGGCCATCAAGTGACGGCGACTCCGGGAGATGTGCTTTACTTTCCCAAGGGCGCCACCATCACATTCACGACCGACGATTATGGGCTGGCTTTCTACGTGGGTACCCCAAGGGCTGAGGCTGAGCCGCGCTAACGATCGGGTAGACTGGCCAACGAAAGCAGGGCGCTGCGTGAATAAACCAACACTACGGAGTACTCCGTACGTGAGGGTCAGAGATTGTACTACGAGTACTATTACGATAGATAGAGAGGCAATTACCTGAGTACGAGAGAAACAGCCAATGAGATGTCATCTTTGACCATGTTGCACTTTCCAAGATTTGTGCCTTCCCGTTCCCTGGTTGCAACTGCCCCATATCCAATTGTAGGGGGTCTCCCCGTGCCTGAACCATGGAACCTTGTCCTGAAATGGCATTGTGCTTTGTATGGCAGTTCTCAATGTGCTGTCCCTTGCGTGGTAGTTGATATTGGGCCCGGATAATAATTGCTTCTTCTATGCACCTGGGCAGGTCAATCTGTGCGACACTATGCAAAACATGAAAGTCAATTTCCGAGGCCCACCAGTTTCACGTCAGCTCTCAGGGCCATGGGGCTACTCGGACAGGTTAATCCAGGTTGGGACGAAGCGGGAGACGATCCCGCTCAAGAGATGCAAAAGAGTTCCAAGTGGATCGATTTCAGCTCGCTTCGATCGATCAATTAACCTTCAGATAACTGGATTTGCGCACAATCTGTACGACGTGGGGGAGGAGTTGCTGCGGCAACCTATTATTCCGCAGGGAGTGGATTGTCGAAATGAGGAATCAAGATCTCACATCGATCTTGGTGGAGAGAAGGATCGACTGGGAAATAATAAACATAAACCTTGACTCCTTCCAAAAATTACAAGATCATTGTTGCCTTTTTTTTCCCCTTTCTTTCTTTGGTTGTGTGGTTTACTTAGCCTTTGTTCAGGCAGTTGGGCAGCTTAACTCCTTAAGTCTCTAGTGCGTCTCTAGAACAACCACCCCTCTTCATCAACCATGGCTATCGTTTCAGAGGACCGTCACGGACTTCGTCTTCCCAATCCACCTCCATTGCTTCATACCCGTGGTCAGTTTGATCGTCCCGGTACTCCAGATGCCTTCACCAGTCCACCACAGACCCCTCAAGGGAGTCCCAGCAAGTCACGACCGCCACCCGGCGCACTCGATCTGCCCAATGTCTTCGACAAGGCCATGAAACTGACTCCGACCTCCCCCTCCAAATCGACCTACAATCACTACAATCACCCAATGTTCTCGGACAAGAGCGAGAATTTCAACGAGAGCGTGATTCACCAAACCCCGCCAAGCCCAACGCGCCGATCCAACAAGGAGAACACACCTCCCAACCCAACGCGCCTGACCAAGGACTTGGGCTCTACCCCTACCGCCGCGGCACTCTCGCGCCAGGAACCCTACCAACCGCGCGATGAGACTACAAAACGCCAGGTGCAGATGCGCGGCCTGACCCCAGAGGAGATCGAGAAGCTCGCACAACCCAAGGTCAAGCGCCTGGTGAATGTGACCCAACTCTGTAAGTCACGACAATCCCCACCTGACCCCGCCATTCTAACAAGCTAGATTTCCTCGACCACTACTTCGACCTCCTAAGCTACGTTCACAACCGCCAAACCCGCCACACCCAATTCAAAGCTGCCTACCCCGATCCCCCCGTGACTCCCGAAGAGGAGCACGAGCCCGCTCTCCTGAAATATCTCGGTCGCGAACGCGCACATCTGCGTAAGCGTCGCACCCGTCTCCGCCAAGGTGACTTCCAAATCCTGACTCAGGTCGGTCAGGGCGGATATGGGCAGGTATATCTGGCACAGAAGAAGGATACCCGTGAAGTATGTGCATTGAAGGTCATGAGCAAGAAATTGCTGTTCAAATTGGATGAAATCCGCCATATTCTCACGGAGCGCGATATTCTTACGGCTGCGAAGAGTGATTGGCTGGTGAAACTTCTCTACGCCTTCCAGGATGACACCCAGATTTACCTCGCCATGGAATATGTGCCTGGTGGTGATTTCCGCACCCTTCTAAATAATACCGGCGTCCTGCACAATCGCCATGCGCGGTTCTATATTGCTGAGATGTTTAGCTGCATCGATGCTTTACATATTCTCGGATATATTCACCGTGATCTTAAGCCAGAGAATTTCCTTATCGACTCCACCGGTCATGTCAAGCTGACAGACTTTGGTCTTGCGGCGGGTATGCTCAGCCCGGGCAAAATCGAATCTATGCGCGTCAAATTGGAAGAGGTCGGAAACACCCCTGTTCCCTTCGGTCGTCCCATGGAACAACGAACAATGGCCGAGCGACGACAGGGATACCAATCTCTGCGCCAACGTGAGGTCAACTACGCTAAATCTATTGTCGGCTCACCGGATTACATGGCCCCCGAGGTGCTCAAGGGAGATCAATACGACTTCACTGTGGATTACTGGAGTCTGGGATGCATGTTGTTCGAGGCACTGGCTGGATATCCACCCTTCGCAGGAGCGACAGTCGAAGAGACATGGCAGAATTTGAAGCGCTGGCAGAAGGTTCTCCGGAAGCCGGTGTACGAAGATCCCAATTACTTCCTCTCACGACGGACTTGGGATCTCATTACCAGATTGGTTGCCGGAAAGGATACGCGGTTCAAGAATATCAAGGAGATCCATGCCCATGATTACTTTGCCGAGGTGGACTTTGGCAATCTGCGCGAGCAGCGCGCTCCTTTCGTCCCCGAACTTGATTCCGAGACCGATGCTGGTTACTTCGACGATTTCAGCAGCGAGGCCGACATGGCGAAGTATAAGGAGGTCCATGATAAGCAACGGGCATTGGAGGACATGGCCGATCGCGATGACAAGATGAACAAGGGTCTGTTTGTTGGCTTTACTTTCCGGTATGTATCCTTGTTGGCTCTGTGAATTCCCCCACTGACATGGTTTTAGGCATCGCAAACCCGCAGTCGATAGCAATGGTCGCAGCAGCTCACCTCGGAAGCCAATCGCCACAGATGGCACGTTTGGAACGATATTTTAAGTTTCTCTCTAGTCTTTCATCTCTTCTACGCGTGACTCCGAGCTGGATCTTGGTTTCTGTGTCCTCGGGTTTAATGGCGCTTTCTTTTCTCTTCGCTTCTTTTCCTGTCAGATTATATCTTCATCGCAATACGTTTTTAGTGTCCTCTGGCAAAGTTATGTCCTTCCTTTCCATTTTGTGTATGATACAGGCCTAGACCGTTCCTGCTGGTATGATGAATATCAATGGTGTATGAATTGATCGAGTACAAGGTAGCCTATGTATGGGATTTCCTTTAGTTGGCAGGGAGCTGGCGCACCATGCGCAGAATTTCAGACTCGTGGTCTCCAATGACAGCACGGCCGTTAGTCCAGTCAACAGTCTAGTCACCGGTTAGCAAACAGTCCAGTCCAACACGGCTGAAGTTTCACATACCACGGGCCTGGCGAAGTTCTCATTGTTCTCCTTGAACTTCTTCAATGCATCCTCTGCATCGCGAGCCCCCTTAACAATCTCCGCAACACCGTATGTCATCTTCTCGCCTTGGCCGCCCACGCCGCTGACGGGGGAGACGTAATCCAAGATGTTGCGGAGCTGATCCAGAGTCGGGGGGCCGGTGGTGACCTCGAGCTCGAATTCGCCACGCTGCTGCTTGGCATGTCGAGAGTGGTCACTCGCTTGGTCTTCGGTTGCAACTTCACCGGCCGTTGCTGATGCCTGCTTGAGGATGTTGAGGGTGCGCGTCGATGCTGAGAGCGACGGCGAGTGGAAGAGGGTGATTGGGTCGAGGGTTTTGCTCTAGATTTTCAGTCAATCGGTGTTCAATTTGAGTTATAGGTATTTGGTACGCACGAAACGGAACATGGTGGCGTGAATTGGTTGTGTATGGGTTGAAGAGGAGAGAATTGGAGCAAGAGCTTAGGCAGTTCCTGGATGATGTCATGTGCTCGGGCTGGCTCGGGTAATGAGTCAACTACAACTATGTACAACTACAACTACGCTTCTGGGGCTGGGCCAGCGCTTTGGTTCTTGTGGCAGAATTCTAGTCGCCTCATAATATCTTTTCAATGGGTGGATTCTTGTAGTCATCGCAAACGTTGACATCAACTACTTAAGTAATGGGTTGTCCGTTGACTGCCAGATTTTGGTAGTAATTGGACTTTTCTCTTGTGTAGGCAAAAATGGGAGATATTCTTCACCGATCAGCATGTTGGCTCAGAGGAAGCGCGTCGTAAGTTTCTGGTGAATCTCTTCACTAAGAAAACCAACACTAACATTACCAAAGGGGCTCATAACCCGAAGGTACGATAAATTCTAGGAAATTTCCCATAGTTCACTCAACTAACATCACCAAGGTCCCTGGATCGAAACCAGGACATGCTATGTCAAACATATCTTTTTTTTTTTTTCTTCTTTTTTCATATACCTGTGATGGTCTAGTTTTGCTACCATCGGCAGGTTTGCTTTCCATGCGTTTGCGCATTTGCATACTTTGGATACCCTGTACTATAAGAAGCTCTCCCTAGAGATCTCCATAGGCCTCTTCATCTTAGTTCTCTTCGTCGAATTGGACCTTCACTTCTGAAGCTTTGCCTCCCTCACACTACCTAGGTAGAATTATATTATTGATTTCTCGCTGAACCCTCCATTCAACTATTTCGAAAGGCTTTGGAACTTAAGTGCATTGATAGAATTAAGTGTACATATAGTCTTTCGACAATCTATCTCTTGGAATTCTACGATGTATATACGTACCAATGTCTCTTGAATATTAAACATTATTTTCGTGAGTATCCCTCTAGTATATCCACGAGAGAGTTTATTTTATTTACATTCAATTTTCGATTGGTAGTCAGTTATTGAAAAAAATCCCTGCTTGTATTAAGTATGGTCTTTGAGAAAGATTACGAAACGATTGGTAACTTTAGAAGGTTATCTATCTGCGTCTTACGAGCATATATATACTTAAGTATGTGTGCCCAGGTGGGGAGCTTTAGTCAATCCGAATCGAATAAATACTTCGTTTCTGTCATTAATCTCCAGGTCTAGCTTTCGAGAAATTGTGGCTTCCAGTATTGATTGTACCAAGCTCTCTATTGTGGTTTTTGATAATCATGACCTCCTGAAGTCTTGGCCAGTTAAATATACTTCTAGTTTCAGTTCGTTTGCTTTCTTTCTCTTCCATGTTTCCTTTCTGTGCCTTTGTCATGTTTGATGGAGATCTTTGTAGTATTAGCAAAGCTCGGGATTGAATGAATTGTGGACATCGTTGAAGGTATCTCGTAGGTTCTGTGTTTTGACGCACAAATAGATCTATATCAGATAGATACTTTTGAAAGGCAAGTTTATCATTTATCGCTTTTGCGTTAAGGATTGCAATAAAACCTTGCTAAAGTGGCAATGTAATATTGAGATGACTGCCAGCCTAAAGTTTGTTAATATCTTCAGGAAGAAATTACTCCAAATGGACTCCTTTTAGCCTTTGAAACATCAGGCTCATCCACATCTCCTGCATGTTCAGAAGAAGCTGATCCTTTTCAAAAGTAATCGTCTTATAGGTAGCCAATGTGACGAACACCGATTATATCTCTGTCCCAGAGTCCCAGTTTGTATAAGGCTTAAGTATAGCGAAGTTTGGCGTTTTTGATGAAAGGGGTTATTCTAAACAACAATCTGTACACAGAGCTCGATGGCCTGACCGATATAAAGCCAAAAGCAATCAGGCATATGTCGTCGCCAGAGGATGTATAGATCTATAGATAGACTCCGGTATTTTCAGAATGCTTAGGATCACCTTCTATTCCAACTATGGTTTTTTCGAATAGAATCATTTTCTCGAATAGAATCATACTTCGAAAGAGTAAATCTTTTATTCTCGTATATCTCTTTCACAGTCGGAGACAAGTTGCCCTCTAGAACAGTTTCTAAGTCAGTTGAGTCAAGCATCTTTGCATGTTTCTTTTTGTATTCGATTCCAATCCGAGAAATGAGTTGTTTCAGGACTCGTGCACGATCGATAGCCCCGAGAGTTTTCAGTTGATAATGAGAGGCGGAAGGCCTAACACCGAAGGAACTTGTAGCATCACAATCCTAGCAAGAAGTCAGAATCCACGAACCAAAGCTCAAGGAGAACTCAGTTCGCCAGATCAACACACAAAAGTATCCACATCTGACATTGGTGGACAGATGCGATCACATGTCCCAGGTAGAGAGCTTCATAGATCTTCGATGTATTTGGCGGTTGGAAAATCAAAAATAGTTGATATTCATCCATTAGGTATTCGTTGATTGTGTGTTATCTGTCGCCCTGGATATATATAGCTTGTATACAATTATCACCGGGAATTCTGTAAGGAAGCGTTGCAAGTACGAACGCAACAACCTCCAGTTGCTGCCTCATCGTAAGTATCACTTCCGCTCTCACTTCTTCTTTTACTTCCTGAGCAACTAGCACCCACTTAACTTCCCTCTGCAACGACTAGCAGTCATGGACGAACCCAAAGAACCCAAGAAGCGAACCAAGCTGGCTCCTAGGGATACCAAGCGCTTGGAAATTCCGTCACGAAATGACAAAGAGCATTTCATGAATCTCGTCCTGGACGGAATCAAGGAAGCAGGAACTGACTACGCCAAGCCGGCAAAAGTGATCCGGGGGCACTCTTACTACGGAGACGGCGATCTCAGCGATACTGACACGTTTTCGCTCTCCACCGGAGACACCGCGGACAAAGTCATCGCCAACTCGTGTGTTGTAGGTGTGACTCAAACCGAAGACTGCCATGATGATCTGTGCCATGTAATCCCCTATGGCTGCATCCCCAATGGCTGCGTCGCCTGTGGCCGGATCCCCTATGGCCGGGTCCCCAATGCTTGGATCACTGATGGAAGAAGTAACATTATTCGGGGGAAGGAGCGTGACAGCTGCCTGGTGCCAGACGCAGTGCTTTCATGTAATGTTCCGCGGCATTGATAGCCGCTTCCAGTGCCGCCTTTTGGGATGTTGCTGCGGCTACCGCTTCTTCGGCGCTCTATTAAATTGTTAGTTCCGGTCCCATGTATAGGTCTCCCGCCGCCACACGAACCCCCGCCAATCGCTTTCAGGACATGACGCGGTCTGAACATGCTAAAGCAGCCATTGGAGATCCGATCATAGGGGATCTGGCCACAGGCGACGCAGCCAAGCCGACGAGAAGAAACAGCTTGACTCAAAATGCAAAGAGCTAATCATCAAGGCCGAGAAGATCAAGGGCTCTGCCGACTGGAAATCTGCGGCTCATGCGGGCCCCCAGAAGGCCCTTACTTTGCGTCCGCCTGCATCTAGTCGGAAGCTCACCACCCGTGAAGAAATTATCATTCTCGAGGGCGCTAAGCTCCATGGTTTCATTTTCAAAGAGCATTTCATGCAACTCGTCCTGGACGCAATCAAGGACGCAGGAATTGAATACGCCAAGCCGGCAAACTTTAGAAAGTGATCCAGGAGCACTATTATTACGGAGACGGCGAGGAGGACAGGGAACTTGAAGCAACCATTCGCGCGTTCGACCAGGACAATAAGTGGATCGCACCAGCGGCCCGACTGCATTTGTCCGATCTGCAAGCTTACACTGCCGCTAAGAAGCTAAGCAATGCCGAGCTGGTCAAGAACTGGCCCCATGATTTTGACTCCAACGGCAATGTCCGATCCCTGCAACCGCAAGCCAAAGGATCCAGCACCGTTGATTTGGGCACATGGCATCCCCTGGCTAGTGGTGAACCGCGACTCAGTAGCCATGACAGGGACCCTGCCCAGCTCGACAATTGAAACAAAAGACACAAAGACATTGGTTAAATCCTTCTTGTGCACACTTACAGTACTCGTCGTATAGCTCGATAATTGCGAATAGTTAGATAAAAAGAATGTGGAGGGAAGGAAGGCACCAGGTTTGATAGTAAATGTTAGGAGTTGGAGAAAAACATCTCTTTGGATGACCCCAAGGAAATCGATTTAATCTCACAATTCAATCTTGGAACTTATTTAACAAAACTAGGTATCTACAGAGCAAGAAGAATCCGACCTGATGAACTCAAAAATATTCGAGGTAATAATTGAAATCAGCCCATCCTGAATAAACGTAGGATATTTCTGTATTGGACTAGGTGGTAGGTATGAATGCTACACTACATGTAGCCAAATTTGACAAAATTTTGCACCGATCAGCATGTTGGCTCAGAGGAAGCGCGTCGTAAGTTTCCGGTGAATCTCTTCACTAGCAAAATCATTACTAACATTACCAAAGGGGCTCATAACCCGAAGGTACGATACATTCTAGGAATTACTCATAGTTCACTGAACTAACATCACCAAGGTCCCTGGATCGAAACCAGGACATGCTATGTCACACATAATTTTTTTTTTTGGGAAAACTTTCCTGAAATTCATTAATACTTGAGCCGCTTTTTTTTGGTTTTTCTTTTTCAGTAATTTTCTTCACTTTGCACTTTGCTTAAGAATGATGATGTAGGGTTGGAAATTCCAGGACTTTAACTGATTGTAATAGCATCAATAGGGATCTCCCTCTGGAAGGACTTCAGTTGTCACAGGTGTGAGGTCCCTCCTTTAGAGGGTTGCCAAGGTTGATATCCGTTTAACCTTGGAAGATGTAATTAAGGGAGTGATGAAATATTCTCTCTGATCCATGAAGCTGCACTTTTCCCGTTGAGCTGCACTTCTCCTGTAGAGCTGCATTGCTCCCATAGAACTCGTTTGCTCTCTGTGGTCATAAGATAGTCCTATATATTCCCTCACCCCCCTCTGCTCTTCTCTTATCTACGCATCCAAATATCGTTCTATCTCCCTCTGGGGAAGAGATAGACCTAAAGGCTGC